CTCACATGCAAAGTTGTCTAAAAGATTGGGGTGAGTGTTACTCACATAGTTCCCGCCGTTCACTCTGTTCCTCTACATATGAAATATCAGAAGAGGAGTATGGTTAGGAAAGGATGTGTTCCTATGATCTTTGCGGGTGTGTGGGTGCACAAGCCCCTCGTACCATGCCCCGAAGGATGCGGTCTAAGCTTCGGTGTCAAGATAGACGGTGTGTATTCATTAGCGTAAGCCCAAGACCAATGGTGCTATATTGTTTATAACTCAATCAGAAGACGATTAATCAGAAATCGTAAAGCTGTATTTGTTTGAAGATCAGACCTTATTGAAGTATTGAAGCAGAGTGCCAAAAGGATCTAGTGGAAGACCAACAGCATACAGAGAAGGTCCCCCTCCAATAGAACGCAGAAACAAATTTGGAGATGAAAGAAAAATGTCCCAATACGAACAAGTGGCCCAGAATTAGAAAATACAGAAGTTCCTAATGAAATGAACCAGATGGAAGATTACTGGTGTTGTTCATGTTCAACAACCAGCAGACCCGAAGGTTCTCAGAACTAAGAAGATCTTAGTAAGAGGTCTGAACCATAAATACCTAGATATCCAGTCATGAGTATGTTGACGACCTGAAGGGGGAGAACGTAAAAAGCTTTTGAAGATGCTATAGAAATGAACACAAGAGGATCTGGTTGAAGCCATGCAAGATGAAATGAAAGGAAACATTTGAGCTGGTGAAGTTGCCTAAATGCAAGAAAGCTTTGAAGAACAAGTGGGTGTTCAGGATCAAGGAGGAAGAACACAGCTCCCAACCACGATTCAAAGAGACTGGTTGCGAAAGGATTCAAAAAAAAAAAAAATCAAAGAAAGGGTATTGATTTTGATCTTTTCACCAATTGTGAAATGACATCCATTCAAAAAGTGCTCGGAACGGCCGCCAGTTTTTGAACTGGAAATCGAGCAAATGAATGGAAACACTACCTTCCTACATGGAGATTTGGAAAAAGAAATATACATGGAGCAGTCAGAGGGTTTCGTAGAAAAAGAGGATTGTGTTTGCAAACTGAAGAAGAGCTTGTATGGCTTGAAGTAGGCACTAAGACAGTGGTACAAGAAGTTTGAGTCTTGGTACAAAGAAGTTTGAAGTCTGTTTCATAAACCGGGGAGCATCGACTACAGAAAGACTACTTCAGATCACTAATGTTTCATATTAAGAAATTCTCTGATGATCGCCTACATTGTTTTTAGTTCTATGTGGTTGATATGCGCTCGGATCGTTGCGTCAGAATTAATAGCTTGGAAGAAACAGCTAAGTAAGGTCTTTTGCCTAATGAAAGGCTTGGGACCAGCAAAGCAGATTCTTCGGCATGAAGTTACCAAGGAATCGAAGAGCCAAGAAATTATGATTGTCACATGAGAATGTACATTGAGAGAGTACTTCCAAAGGTTTAGAGAAATGGGAAAACGGCTAAAGCGGTTAAGTTATTCTCGTTATTAATCACTTTAAAATTGAGCTTAAACAGTGCCCTTCTACGGATGGAGAGAAGGAAGAAAAAAAAGATTCCCTATGCTTTCAGCAAGTTAGAAAATTTGAATGAATGCCCATGGTTTGTACACGGCCAGATATTGCTCACTCAGTTTGGAGTAGTGAGTCGGTTTTTCTTTTCAAATCCTTGGAAAGGAACATTGGATCTGCAGTGAAATGGATTTTTCATGATATCTTCGGGAGGTCAACTATTTTGGGGCTTTTAGGAGGGAAGGTCGTGTTCGTGGCAAGTCAAGATCTACAGAAGTGCTTGAAGGTTGCACTTCTTAGAATCGTGTCACAACGTTTGAGGCATAAAGGAAAAGTTCTGAGCTTGGGTGGAATGTCAATAGCGCAAGAAGAGGAGAATCCCACCATACTCGTCGGGAGGGGGAAATGTTGTGGGGTCCCTCCAACATGTGGGAACCACATACATTTGGAAATTATATATAAAACACACGTCTTTTTTAGAAGGAATCAAAGTTGGCAAGCGAAAGTTATTCCCAAGGTTGGCAACCAACCATGACATAAAAATGGAGAGTCCCGTGTGTGACAATTATTCTCTCCGTAACCTCCGCCTATAAAATAGAGCGCAGATGCCTCTACACATAACACACCAGCAATGTTAAAACGAGCAGAGATAAAGCTAACAAAACTTAGAGAAGAGATATCTAGTTTATTAGGAAAGGGTCTTCTTCTTGGGTAATTAACCAGATAGCGGTACGATAAACAGATAGTGAGGAAATTATTATGAGGTTTTTTTGGGAAACCAGTTAAGTGTGCTTACCTGAGTTCTAAATTTGTATTACTCATGATTGTGTACTCCCTATTTATTTTTCATCAGGGAAAGAAATATTCGGAGATGTATGTTGTTCCCACATAGGACGTTAGCCCTAAGGAATTAGTTCTTGATCGGTGATACCACGGGGGAGAGAAAAATAGTGAGGAAATTATTATGAGGTGTTTTTGGGAAACATTTTATGTGCCACTATTTTTGTATTACTCTCTTTGTGTACCTACTATTTTTCATAGTGGAAGAAATATTCGGAGTTTGTCCCATGGACGTAGCCCTAAATAGTTGATGGTGAACCACGTAAATTTTTGTGCGTCACAATTTTACTTTTCCGCTGCCGGCGTTAATTTTCTCTTAATTGATTGAAAGGGCCAAACAAGTGGTATGAGAGCTGATGCCCAACAACTGGTATCAGAGCTGATCCCTAATAGTTGGAAAACTTGGAACAGTGACCGGGTAAAAGGACGTGCAGGACGCAAGAAAATTTGGCATTTGGCGTTTGATGCTACAAGGCATATTTGTCAAGGCATCTCCATCGTAGTCCTTTGTTGAGTGCCGTTGCAGGCAAGCTGATGCTTGATAGTAATATTTTTGCAGAAACATTTAAGAACTCAAGGATAATGCTAAGGAACCAGATGCCATTGTCCTCTTTAAAACAGCCCAGTAACCTTAGGTGCCAAACCCAAGAAAAACAAGAAAATTAAAATGTCTTTATGGGCTCAACTTCCACCGGAATTTCTTCAAGTGATTGCCGAGAAACATACCAACTATGTTGATTATTACGTTTGCACTCGAGCTGTCTGCAAATCTTGGTACGCAGCTATACAGAAGAGACCCAACAACAATCTTCTTTGCCAACTCCCATTTCTATTGCTTCCTAACCATCTAAACAAACCAGACCACCGTGGATTCTACAGCATGTCAAACGACAAAACGTATCGTCTTGAATTGCCTGAAGCTTTTGAAAAGCGCTGTTGTGGATCATCCCATGGCTGGTTAATTATGGTTGAAGAAACCCCAACTATTTTTCTCTTAAATCCTTTAACAAGAACCAGAATTGAGCTTCCTAGCTACGATTACCGGACTTATAAATTTGTGGCTTACAAGTTAGATACGAGCAAATCGATTTGGTTAGAGTTGGATAGTTTGGGCAACAGGATTTTGTTCTTGGGTTGGAATTGCTTTCATTCCATCAGCTCAAATTATGAGAATTCCAAAGGGAACTGTATCTATTTCACAGACGATAATTTTATGAGTTGCAGCGATTTTCCATGAGAGGGTCATGACTTTGGCATTTTCAACTTTGATGATGGAAGCGTCAATCGACTAGAGTTGTCTTCATATCCCATCGAATTGCATTCTTCTCCATGCATTTATTGTTATGAAAGTGGCATGTATCGAGATCAATCATTGTTCATTTTGCCACCTCTCCTCTTTGGGTTACAATCAGCCCCTGAACTATGTTATGTAGATATGATGTTAATTTGTGAAGTTTCTACAGCAGATCCTTGCCTGACTACAATAGCACTAAATGAGAACTAATTTGTAATTGAATAGTTAATAAAAGTTCTTTGTGATAATAAAATGGACTACTAAACACCAATAAATTTGATTCAATGATAAAATTAATTAATAAAGTTAAAATTAATCGCTCTGTACATTTTTTTTTCTGAAGAAACCATGAATAGTTGTTAATAGAAGTATTTTGTAAGGAGAATAAAACGGAATAAAATGTGATAAAAATTTAAAAGAACAAACTAAATTATTTATAGCTAATAAAGTATGATATGGGTGGTTTTTTTCAGTGTGAGAAGTGAGAAGTAGAACAAATATGAATTATATATTTAAATCTGAAAAAGCCAATAAACAAAAGTGCGATCAGAAATTTAAATTTCTTCCCTTAGGTTTCTAATTTATAAGCAAAAAAATTTACATTAAAAAATCAAGATAGAATTCCAAAATTAATGTTCTACATGAAAGCTAAATAATGTTCTACCAAAAATAACGTTAAAGTCAATGTTATTGGATTAGAATAAGGGGTCGGCATAATCAATGGATATGACAAATGGAAAAAACCAGGAAGTTAAGCCAAAAGAACAATAATATAGCCAAGAACTTCAGGTCAGAAGCTCTAGGAATTAAAATCCCTATTTAATCATCATAATCTATCAAAACACCGAACAAATGCAATAAGTAATTAACCATGTCCATGTGGTCGGAGCTTCCACCGGAATTGCTACGGACCATAACCCAAATACAAGCTAACTACGTTGATTACCTCTCAATTAGGGCTGTTTGCAAATCATGGCGGTCAGCTATACCGAGAAGCCGCACGATCTTCTTCGTCTTCCTTACCACAAGAACCTTCCGGACTACCGTGGCTTCTACAATCTTTCAAACGGCGAGACTTACTTCCTCGAATCATCATTGACCCTTGAAAAACGATGTTACGGTTCTTCCCATGGTCGAAAATACTCCTGACATTTTTTATTAAATCCCTTAACAAAAGCTAGAATTGAGCTTCCACCGCTATCCACCTTCACTAATTTCCCAACAGAAGTAGCGTATCAGAATTAAAGAAACCAAAACAACTATTTTATCAGGAACGACAAAATTCGCATCAGGTAATCTTATATCAGAAAAGCTATAGTGTCTGAAAATCCTTCGACGGTCACCAATTTCACGGTCATGGCCATATATAGAACCGTGAGCAGTGGTGAAAATATAGCTTTCTGTAGATCAGGAGATATAGCATGGTCTACCATTCCTGAAACATCTCCGGTTCCGCATTACAGGGATATAATGTTTTATGCAGGTAAATTTTTTGCATTTTGACGACAAGGGCAGGGTTTCAATTTGTAATACAGAAAATGCTGTGTCAACCATCCATTTCGCTGATCCACCTCCTTTCCCACTAAAAATGGGATACAAGCAATGGTATTTAGGGCTTTTAAATGAAGATTTATTATTACTTGGTCGGTTTAGGAAATATAGAGTTCCTGGCTACGAGTATCAGACTAGTAATTTTGTTGCTTACAAGCTAGACATGAGTACGTCAATCTGGTCAGAGTTGCATAGTTTGGGCGATAGGATCTTGTTGTTGGGGTGGAATTGCTTTCATTCCATTTCTGCTTCAGATTACGCCAATTTCAAAGGGAATTGCATCTATTTTACAGACGATAAAATGAAGGTTTTCGATAGTAACCCGTGGGAGGTTCATGATTTTGTTATTTTCGACTTGGTTAGGCGACTAGGGTTGCCTTCATATCCAATCAAAGCTCTGGAACCTTTATTATGAAGAAAGAAGCTTCCGTCGTGATCGGTCCATATTCATTTTGCCACCTCCTGTTTGGGTTCCAATCAGTCCCTGAGTCAGTTTTTTCTTTGTTTATATTTTCCGTGTTGTTGTCGTCAATATTGGACTTCTTGTTGCCAGCCAAATTGTAACTGAATGCACAAATGGCACTCAAATCTTATTTAATTATTCAAAGCACAAATTTAAATTTAGATATGTAAATTTTTGTATTTGTATTCTAATTGTAAGTTGAGCCAAACAAAACTTAATTAATTATAACTGACAAATGATATGAGCAAACAAAATACAGAATACACACTATCTGGTTTATGGTCAAGAAAATGCATGCACTGACTATAGAGTCCAACCCAACAATCCAAAATGGTAAGCAAATCAAGAACCAACTGAAAATGAAATTTATAGAATCAAGAAAAGGAATTAATCAGAAAACACAACCAAGAAAGTAAATAAGGTTTTCTCAGTGACATTGGAGTAATGATGGTGTACAGCTTGGACAGGAGCAAGTGAATTCAATTGTACTAAAAAAAACTTAACCACCCAGGAAAGAAAAATGACTGTAAGTCTGTAAAGTCATAATATAATTCGGGATTTTATGCCAAAAAACTAACAAAAAACAACTAAGAGCAATTTGTAAAAAAAAAACCAAAATTGGAAAGACAACAAATTTTGAGGATAGTCCTAAAATTAGTCGTACTTTTTAAATGTTAAAAAAAATGCACAAAGCTGAAAATTATAAAGGGAATTCAGAGTTAGTGGGTATATACGGTTTCCGCATATTTTATACCCATATTAAAATAATTAAAAAATGCAATTTTTTTTTTTTTAAAAGAGAAGCTTTGGTGATAGTCATTGGTCAGCGTAGGACCAAAAGCTGTGGAAAGACACGAAGGTACATTATTTGCACGGGCACATATTCTCTTGTGGTGATCCTGTAGCCTCTGCCGTTCGATTAAAGTCATGATCAAATTATGCGTCCGAAAGTTAGATGCGATGCGATAGAGAGATTAGAAGCTTTTGCATCTATAGGATTTACGCGTACCTCCCGCGCTTAGAATCATATGAACATTCCACCAATCCAGTTTGAATCAACCTAAAACCAGACTAATCAAAATTTCATAATTTCCCCGGTCAACCTAAAACTCTGCTTAACGAATCATAAACCATTTTTATTATTTGACTGATAATTTTCAACAAGAAAATTATGCTGATTCTCTCGACTTGAAAAGTTACTCAATAATTCACCCACTTACACTTTTGCTTCATAAAATATTGGTTTCGTCTTACCTACCGCCAGCCTTTTCTTTCTGTATATATACCTTTCTGAGTTACAGTATATCTCTACCCTCAAACCCTTTTATTATATGCCAGTCTTTTCGCTTCAAATCCCATCTCAATCTTCGTTTGAGAATTGAGAGAGACGTCCCTATGGGCTCAAATACCAGGAGCCTTCAGGCTAATATTCTGGGTGCACCAGGGGTTAGGGGGAAGAGGGTCACCCATTTGTCAAAAGATGGTTTAACTGATTTCATGCAATCCATCATTTTCAATAAACAAAATGACAAAGAACCCTTTTACGTACTTGATTTAGGAGTGGTCGTTTCCCTCATGGACAAATGGACTCGTGCCCTCCCCATGGTTCGTCCCTTCTACGCCGTCAAGTGCAACCCCGACCGGGCTCTTCTAGGCACACTTGCGTCTCTCGGCTCCAACTTTGATTGTGCGAGCCGGGCTGAGATTGAATCCGTTTTATCCCTCGGAGTTTCACCAGAACGAATCGTTTATGCTAACCCTTGCAAAGCAGAGTCCCATATACAATACGCTGCTAGCGTAGGTGTCAATCTAACAACTTTTGACTCGCGAGATGAATTAGACAAGATCAGAAAGTGGCACCCGCTATGTGGTTTATTGATCCGAATCAAGGCTCCGGATGATGGTGGAGCTCGTTGTCCACTGGGGCCTAAGTACGGGGCACTCGCTGAAGAAGTCAAGCCTCTTCTCCAAGCTGCCCAAGCTGCACATCTCAAAGTTGTTGGAGTTTCTTTCCACATAGGAAGCGGCGCTACAAATTCTCGCGCATATAGAGGAGCCGTAGCAGCGGCAAAAACTGTGTTTGAAGCTGCATCCAGGCTTGGCATGCCTAAAATGAACGTGCTTAACATAGGCGGCGGCTTCACAGCTGGCCTTCAATTTGACGATGCGGCTGTAGCAATCAGATCCGCTCTCCAAGCTTATTTTCCAAACGAGCCGGAGTTGAAAATAATTTCAGAGCCGGGTCGGTTCTTTGCAGAATCGGCTTTTACACTAGCCACAAACATTATCGGGAAACGTGTTAGGGGCGAATTAAGAGAGTACTGGATCAACGATGGTATTTACGGTTCCATGAATTGTCTCTTATACGATCATGCAACGGTCACGTGCGCGCCTCTATCGTGCGCTTCCAATCGTGGAAATCCTACCTGCAAAGGGTTGAAGAGATACAGCTCAACTGTTTTTGGTCCCACATGCGATGCGCTTGACACCGTCTTGAAGGGTCACCAGTTGCCGGAATTGCAGATTAACGATTGGCTGGTGTTCCCCAATATGGGAGCTTATACAGTAGCTGCTGGGTCCAACTTCAATGGATTTAAGACTGGAGCAATTCTCACATATCTTGCTTACTCCAGTTCAAGCTAGCATTGCATTACATAATTTACATTTGCTTTTTTTTTTTTTTTTTTTTTTTTTTTTCCCCACCATATGGGAGCTTATACAGTAGCTGCTGCGGTCCACACTTCCAATGCGATTTAAGGACTGGCAGCAATCTTCTCATCATATCTTGCTTTACTCCAGTTCAAGCTAGCATGCATTACCATAATTTACATTTGCCTTTTTTTTTTTTTTTTTTTTTTTTTTAAAATCATCCAGAACCCTATTCATCAGTAAGCGTGCTTACTTATTACCATGCTTTTTTTCCTTCCCAAAAGGTAAAAACTTTTGTGTTCACCCATTATGGAATATCAATCTGTTTTTAGATTAATTCCTATAATTAACTTAATTAGCATTACTTTAAATCTTGTGAGTTAGTTTTATTCGTGGGTTCGGGTATTGCTTGTTTTGCTGGCCTCACAATACGGCCCTTCTTATGTCCACTTCTCGCTTTGGGTCGCCGAAATCTCTTTGTTAATGTCTTGCGTATTAAGGGCCCATAGATTCTTTTTTTTTTTTTTTTTTTTTTTTTTTAAATCATCCAAGACCCTATTATCAGTAAGCGTCTTCTTATTACATGCTTTTTTTCCTTCAAAGGTTAAACTTTTGTGTTCACCATTATGGAATATAATCCTGTTTTAGGATTAATTTATAATTAATAATTAGCATATTTAAATCTTGTGAGTTAGTTTTATTCGTGGGTTTGGTATCTGCTTGTTTTGCTGGCTCACAATACGGCCCTTCTTATGTCACTTTCGTTTGGGTCGCGAAAATCTCTTTGTTAATGTCTTTGGGTATTAAGGGCCCATAGATTCTGGGCCGATAACACTAGCCCATGTGCAATGAGTTGGTTACATTCGTTAATTTATAACCCAAGAAATAATATCCCCTCTGTTCCCCTCCTCCACAGACAAGTCATGTAAAAGATCGTCGTCACGTCTCTCTTGGTACATCGAAATAGCCATGGAAACTTTAAGCCCATCTGCTTCCATCGTCTCTTCTTCGTCTTCTTCTCTCTCCTTCTTCTCCCCGAAGAGATTGGATTCTCCTGCAAGATTCCTCCGATTTCATACTTCTTCCAAAAGTAAGTTTTTTCCATTTCTCCTCTTGCCTCTAATTTCTATTTTCTACTTTTCATTTTGTTTAACAGAATTACTCATATGACTCAGAGAATGAAAGCGAGTCCGATCTCCGATCTGAATCGAACGATTCAAGCATCGTCCCTTTCTTTAACAACCCAACTCTTTCCAAGGTGAAATTCTTATATCGTTTGAATTCCTATTTTGCTGGTTTTTAATTTAATTTCGATGACAAATTGGTAAAATATTGTTTCGTTTTGGGGATTTTGGTTAATAATTACTATTAGGACGCGGCGATGGGGTTGGTTTTGAGTGCTGCTTCCGTCAGGGGCTGGACTACTGGTTCCGGCATGGAAGGGCCTCCGGTGCCTGCTGGCGCCGACGAAGGATCCAATACGGAGAAGGTTTCGACCTTACCGTGGTCTCTCTTCACAAAATCTCCACGTAGGAGAATGCGCGTTGCTTTCACTTGCAATGTTTGTGGTCAAAGGACCACTCGCGCTATTAATCCCCATGCCTACACAGATGGCACGGTTTTCGTTCAGGTGATTGTCTATTTCTATACATCTAATACAGCTCTTGAATTCTAATTTTCTACTTCAATTATAATTTATATAGTTCTTAAGTTAGTCTGTATGTCTGGTTTCTAGTGCTGTGGGTGCAATATTTTTCACAAGCTTGTGGATAATTTGAACCTGTTTCACGAGATGAAGTGCTATGTGAATCCGAGCTTCAATTATAGAGATGCAAAATGGGATGGTGGATTCAAGTTCTTTGATATGGATGATCATGATGGTGATGATGATCGAAATGATGTGTTCCCAATCTAAAGAGGTGAAATATTTGATTTTATAATGTAAAGTCATTCCTTATACTGGAACTGATTTGTATGTCATTGTATATAGTTCTTTACTGATCTTTTAATTGATGGGTTAGTATTTAATAAGTCTGGATTCACTTCAAACTGAATAATTTTTCATACTTTGTTAGTGTATATTTATAATGGAGACACAAAACAATGCTTATTCAATATTAAGAATTTTGGCGTGGTGTTGTTGATAGATAGTACAACTTTTTTGAAGATCATTTTGTGTTTTTGATATTTTTTATTTCCCTTGACGTTGTTGGTACTCCTCAATTGTGCTCTACCAATTATGTACTGCGAAGTCAGAAAATAAAAAGGTAGTCTTTGTTCTTGAGAGAAATTGGAAGAACATGAGGAGATAAAAGTCTGGCTGAAATGATTGTCACATAGACATTTATTTTAAGAGCATAAGTATTTCACAAATTTGCTTTTGGTGGAGAAATTTTCTTCTAGTTGATTAGAACAACTTGATCACAAGAACTATACAGGATAGAGAATGTTATATTATTATGCAGGGCATTGTTCATGTTTGATAGTTAGCTGTTTTGCGGTCTCATCTGAATATAACCTTTGAACTTTATTCGCTTTGGCTGGCATAGTAGTTACAATAGTTATCATTAGTTAGCAGATTTGGTGGAAGAAGTGCTCTTGATACAAACACAATAAGGGATGTATTAGAAAATAATGTCATTAGGGTAAATGTTGGCTATTCTTCAATGTTAATACCAAACCTAGTGAAATGGTGATAGTCTAGATTAATATTCTACCAACAAAGGTTGTATTAGGTGGTGGTGATTGGTTTTGAGAATATTAGAACAATATATTAATGTGCGTTTATTTCCATGATCCACTGTCTCCAAAAGAAACAAAATTGAGATTGAAATAACAAAAAAAAAAAAAAAAACTCTGAAAAGCCTAATAGAGAGCTAGATAATTGTACAGTTTACATGAGGTACTTCTACGATTTGATGTGTCTTTTTCTTTGTATTTAGATCAGTTTTTCAAATTGGATACTGTCTTGCTTTCTTTTTTTTTTTCCCTATGAACAATTGCTTCTTCTGTAGAGTAGTTTGGAACTGGAGTTTGGGATGGGAAAATAGATTAGGCTTTGGTTTTGAATAGTTGTTGAATGTAAAATTGAAAATTTGGTCAACCTTGAAAGAGTGAAAATGCCTTTCAACTCGTGTACAAATCTTAGCGATTGCATGCAAAGCAGTAAAGGATATGTTTCTGACGTGGTTGCAAATTGCAATCTTTAAATGATAATGATACTGTTTCTCTGTATTTGAATGGAGCCCAATTCTCGATCTCCCTTACTGCAGAATTTCCATTCTGCGGTCATAGTATGCAGCATTTCCGTTTTAGGTAAGAATTCTTACTGTAAATTTGAAAGGGTCAATTAGATGGCATCGAGTGATTAAATGTGCTATTGCTTCCCATTTAGTTGGTTTCAACGGTTATTAATTTGTCTTTTTGGGAAAGGATATGTGTCATATTGACATTGCTTCTGGAGCCACACCTGTGGCGTCCATGGCTAAAATATCTGGTAGAGAAATGTCAGCTGCACCACATATTTGCTAGGTTTCAGAGCGTTTAATGGAACAAGAAGATAGAGACATAAATAATACACAATTGTGGAGCATTGCCAATATCCGGTACCTTACATTTTAATTATCATACCTTTAACTAATGATACAAAACGATTGGTTGGTTGTGGTATATTGATCCAATTTTCCTGTTTCCATTCTGATAACTGCAAGGTCCGTAATCATCTATATGAGAAAAAATGAATTTTTAATTATCACACTTTCATTTTTCCACTTTATGACCAAGGAAATAATAACAATAAATAAATAAACATGGACCATAATTCAAGCTGTAAGCAAGATATTTACTAGTATGTAATCCAAGAGACCACGACATGCTCTAAACATCCAAAGCCACGTCATGAGACAACATCCAAGCTAGCCAATAAGAGCAATCCTCAGTGGATAACCCCATTCGCTCTGCCCATTCACCTTACTATCCATTATCCAATCACATGTTCCACCTCAAAATTTAAACCACACAAAAAAGAAGCCTCACCCTCTCTGCATCACTTATATTAAAATCCAATCATCCATCCTTCTCCATTTGATTCCTTTCAATACATAACATAAAACACCAAAAGAAACAGAAGAAAAAGAAAAAGAACTTCAAAAATGGCCGCCGTCACCTCTGCAGCTGTTGGTATCCCATCTTTCACTGGTCTTAAGGCAGCAAATGGCACAACAGCCAAAGTGAATGCCAGTGTCAAGCCCGCAGCCTGCCCAGTCCCAAGACTGAGCGTCAAGGCTTCAATGAAGGACGTGGGTGTTGCTGTTGTAGCCACCGCTGCAAGTGCAATACTTGCAAGCAATGCCATGGCCGTAGAGGTCTTGCTTGGAGGTGATGATGGGTCATTGGCTTTTGTTCCAAGTGATTTCTCTGTGGCTCCTGGAGAAACAATAGTTTTCAAGAATAATGCTGGTTTCCCACACAACGTCATCTTTGACGAGGACGAAATTCCCGGTGGAGTTGATGCATCAAAAATCTCAATGAGCGAGGAAGATCTCCTCAATGCTCCTGGAGAGACTTACAAAGTTACTTTGACTGAGAAAGGAAGCTACGCTTTCTACTGTTCCCCTCACCAGGGAGCTGGCATGGTTGGAAAAGTTACCGTCAATTAAATCCTATGTAAAGGGAGTCAGTTATCTCACCTCGTTTCCTAGTTTGCTCTTTTTTTTTTTTTTGTTTTTTGGGTGCGGCTTGAACTGAGAAAGGAAGCTACGCTTTCTACTGTTCCCCTCACCAGCGGAGCTTGGCATGGTTGCGAAAGTTACCGTCACATTAAAATTCCTATGTAAAGGGAGTTCAGTTATCTCAACCTCGTTTCACCTGAGTTTTGGCTTTCTTCTTTTTTTTTTTTTTTTTTTTTGTTTTTTGGGTGCGGTAGCAGAGTTCATGAAAATCTTAATTTAAAGGTGGAGACTATGAGGTAATGTATGAGGTGAACCCTATTTGCATAATTCCTTGTCATTTTCATTTTTAAAAAATTGACATTGTAGATTTGTTAAGTCTTATCTATTCTGAGTATCGTTGGAGAGCCTTTTTCTTTACAACTGTTTTTCTATTAGTTATAATAATGTAGTGCAAAAAATCTAGCTAAATTAAAGAGGAAAAAAAGAAATTTATAAATGAAGCTCCTTCTGTTGGCCAAATTTAGACGTCGAACCCCTTAATTCTGAACTCTATATGCCCACCATTCTTCAAATCAAATCAAATTTGAGAGAGAACAATTGCAGTATATTCTATATTCCAAATCGGCATATTCAGTACCACACCGAGTAAGTTGAATTTAAGACTCGACGAGCTTCGTACCAGCATAAAAAATAGGCCTCTTGTAACAGTCAAAAGAGGAAAACCTGAATTTGTTATGTAGTTAACGCGTCAGGAAGGGTTGTGCGTGCTCCAAGGACCTTCCCACCGACATCCGGGAAATTCTCATGTCCAGGCAAAGCGCTTACTTTTCCATTTATATCTACCTCCAAAGGGTATTGAAGAAGGTGTCCCTGCAATAATGAAAATTCCTCGTCTGTGAACCTCCTCCAGTTATCTTCTGCAATCTTGTTCACAGTCTTTACACAATCTAAAGTTTCAGGCTCTTCAAATAAGCTATCAACTAATCCCAAATGTTCTGCCCAAAGTGACATTCTGTATCCATATACCTGAAAGTGAATCATATAGTTTAATAAGCTTAATCTGGTTGAATTATTGAAACACGTGAAGCTAAAGCAATCAACGTATAACAGATTTCGCGGGAACAAACCTGGCCTCGTGGGTGTTTGTACTTTTTGCCCCAAGTGTAATTGGGTTGGTATGCACCCATTGCTATCTCAGTATCTCTTGAACCAGCCAAAGACCGTTGATTTATATTTGCAGACCCCAATATTACATATTCATCATCGACAATCATTCCCTTGGCATGTACATAAATCATAAATCGTTGATATTTTTGAGAGGCTGCCTGAAAATTAGTAATGCAAAAATAATCACATTTAAATGGAAAGCACATTCAAAAGAGTAAAGGAGAACATGCAATTATAAAAATGAGATGATAAATTCCCTGAAAGTCAGAATGATGATTGTAATATGAATCTGGATTCTATTGTGAGAAAATAATCATCAGACAAATGATCACTGCACAGCACATTTCAAAATAACAGCGACTAGAAAACTCAAAGTTGTAGGCCTTTCTGTTATGGTCTTAATCAGATGGACGATAATAACATTCTTTTCTTTTGCCTGTTCCACTTCATGTATGAAGGAAAATCAACCATTAGTTCCTTTTCTTTTCATTCCTTCCCCCTTCTGAAACTGCATATCTTCTCTTAGGAATGCAGAATTCTTCTCTCACAATGAGTCTATCTAATGGAACTAATGAACAAATTTGTATTAAGATAAGAAAGAAACATAGAACCCAATCTCATTCCAGAGCTGGGAGCTTATTTGCAAAGAAGTATACCAAGTGTTGTACAGTGCTAGGGATGATTATGCATATGTAAAATGGAAACAAACAAATAACATGGACCTAATATTCTTGACCAACAAATCTACATGATTAATCTATCAAGTAGAAAATAAATTTCATATAATGTGCTTACCGCTTCTCCAGAACTGGGAGATTTATCACTTAAATCTGTCAAATCTTTCGGAAGTTCTTCCCTGTTGCCAAGACAATAAAAATTTAGGTACTCTCGTGGATGCGAATCCTGAAGATTCATTGATTTCAATTCATTTGCTATGAGTTCATACATCATTTGCATTGTCTGTCCCTGTAAAGCAAGAAAAATAACAATCATATGGCTAAACTATGCCATTTGGAAATGAAATTAGGATGATAAAAATACTCAAGGTTCACTCAAAAGTCATCATTCTCTTTGGTTTGTACAACCAAAAAATTATTCTGACTGCATAGCATGATTCTGTTCTTGTTTTGTTAGGTCAACATTTATATGGAAAAAATAGAGGAATCTGAATTTGACCTCCTGCAGTGCTAAAATTAAGATAAATTAAGCACATGGAGAAATGATGAGTTAGGCATTTGCTTTAATCCATATAGAAAGAACAATGCTGTCATTTAATAATAATTTTCCTAATGAAATGCTGCTGAAAATTAATTTGGCTTCTTCATTTTCACTTTATATCAATCTCAATTTAAACTTAGTGAACTAAACAGCATTTTATGTTACCTGCCAAAAGAGAATTTCTTGCACAGAGACAGATGTGGGAACACCCTCAGGCCACATTGGTATGACAACATAAACAGCAAATCTCTCCTTTGCTCTGATTTTACTAGCAATCTTCAATGCCAACTCCATAGGAATTAGATTATCAGCCCCTAATAACACCAATGTTAAAAAACTTGAGGAAAAAATCTGTATCCAAAATTACTGAGGCTAATATGATGAGCATTGTTCAAGCAGAAGAGAACATCTGTTTATGTCAGTATATCATGCAAAAAACAAGAAAGAAAATGCTAACACCTGCTTCTTTGTAAGATGGCCAAGCATATGATGATCCAATGAAATATTGATTCTCAATATATATAAAGTGTTGGGCAGATCTGATAGCCTGAATGTATGCTGTTTGAATGCTTTTATCAATCACCAGATTCTTAGCACAAACAAGATTCTGCAATAAAAGAAATGCCGCAATTTATCAAGTAACTACAGAGATCATGCTAAACCAATGGACAGATATTTACTGAATTAACATGTTAATCTAACATTATTTACCTGAGCCTCAGCATTAAAAACATCTTTAGGAAACCCTTTCAAAGATCCTGAATCTATGGACCGGAAAACCTGTCATTTCAGGAGACTAATTAGATTTCGTAGCATCATAAAATAAGCGTAGAGAAGCTTTTCTAAGGAAAGTGCAGACTAATTAACCTGAACATGCCAGTTTTCAGGGTCATCTGAGGTGGTCACCCATAATTTAAGATCGTCATTTGGAATTGAAGGCGCAGGACTAAGTATCCATGAGATCCGTTCCAATCTTATCAAAGAATCATCATGCCAATGAGTTACCCTTTTAAAACGCCGTCCAAACTCTGACCATTTTGAGGCTTTTTTCCACCGCTGCTCAAAGTTTGTAAGAATATCATACGCAGCAGGTCCTTCAATTTTGCAATGCCAATCATGCCACGGTTGTCGTGGACCCTTGCTTCCTGCCTATCATTTAAAAGGAAATGAGAACAAAGACATATTTTATTTAATATGAGCTAATTGTCTGAGAACAAAAGTATAAATATAAAACAAACCACAACTCACACAATCATGCTGAATGATTGACTAAAAATTTATTCTCTACTTCAGCCCCAAGACATAGAGATTAATTTATCTTCAAAAGAAGGGAGTGGAAGTCACTTTTGCATTTCACGGTGGAAAAACTAACTATGTTTCTTTTCCACAAAGACCGATATAAAACAAGATGATATCCGAATTCAATATTTGAATATATCTATGAAAAACTTTTAGGTGAAGGAGTAGGACTACTGAAGATAGAATGATGATAAATTTACACTCACAGAAAAAGTTGGATTATGAAAATCGTCCTGAAACACAGTGTCAAGATCCCGAAACAACCGATGTTCTGGTGTATCATAGCGGCCATCACAGAGATCTAGACCTCCTATAAAGGCAGTTATCTTCCGGTTATTTCCAGATGCTTGCGAATCAACAATCACACATTTCTGGTGATGCGTAAAGAGGGTCCCAACAACCTGAAGGAATTTAACAGTAAAAACTGTGAGCAACTTTTTGTCTAATTACAAAAGAGATCTCCATCTTTTCCAGTTAACTTGTAGACTTTTCCTATACGTATTAAATTAATTATGGAACTATTTCTGTTAGATTTATAGTTATTGAAGGCACAGGAGAAATAAATCATGCACAGACAATGCCATGAAACCATTATGAAATTTTATTTAGTTAGGGTGATAGATTTTAATGCATGTCGTTTTCAAATTAATGCTTTAGTAACAGTTACAGAAGAGATTTATTTCCTAGGAAACTGTCTGTTAAGCCAAGAACTGAATGCATAAGAATGAACTTCAAGCTTTCAGCAGTACTCAAGCCAAATATCAACACAAGTTCTTTTATTTCAGTTTTTTATTTGTTTCAGTAACCTGCAATGAGAGAAAAACAAAAATAACAAGTGAATTTGGCTCTCCACCTAAACTTTCACAGAAAAGGAAGCTTTTTGACATTAGTAAATCTATCATTTCCTTCTTTCATCTTCCTAGCATACTTAACAATAAACAAGAGAAAATAACAAGTTCGATGATGAAATCTACACCAGAGCACCAGAAAACAGCAACTGATACTATAAATGAGAATATAAGTATGCAACTCTTAATCAGACCACTATTTAAGCTACTAAAAACAAAAATATGATACAACAGTAAGTGGAACACTGTATAAGCATGCCTGTTGCTTGAAAATGCTAAGCTTACTGCTGGCATAACGCGGGGATAACACGCAATTAACAGAAGAATGCTTGAAAAACTTGCGCGTTTCCTCATCATGCGTTTGCATCACTCCAGACTGCATTCGAAGTCCACACAAAATCAAACATTTATTAGAATCTTATGATCTCAATTGAAATTAAGGTCCTGTCATTTGAATATACCGTATTGATAAAGAACTTGCTATGAGAAGTCTTATCGTCCCAAACCAGCATCAGAACTCTAACCCCTTCTTGCGATTTGTACTTAAGCAAGTCCCCCAAATTCAAATTCCCACCGCTAGGCAATGGCCTTGTGGGCTCTCTCACTAATTTCACCTTATGATAAATCGACCAACCCACTATATACACCAGATGGTGCGCCTCTAGTATTGCGTGACAAATATCCTCCCAGCAAGTATCGTGCTTAAAAACGTCACCGTTCTCCAATTTAATCTCAGGCGAAAAAGAGTCCGGCACGTGTGCGTCCTGATAAAGGGTAACGGAACTGCCCCGTCTCACAGGAAAATAACAATTTTCAATGCCGAAATTATTCGGACTCGCGGCAATGCCGTATTGATATAATGGATTCTCCTGGCATTGCATGAAATTCATTTCAATACGAATTGCGGAATCCGGTTTTGGCGGTTTTCCGTAAGGACCGATTATCGATAACCATTCGCTGATCGTTTCGCCCGAAATCAACTTTTCAACCGGAACACTAGCTATTCCAATCAAATCGGCACCAAACACGTCGTTATCTTTGACGTGAAACTCCACGTGATCGGCCGGATGAGCGACCGGAATCTTGAAATGCTCGTTCCAGAAAGGATTTTGCGTGTTAGAAATGACGCGCGTGCGAGCCACCGTGGCTCCCGCGAGACAAACCGTAACATAAGGGTCACTGGTGATGATTCTATGTGGAGGCTCGTGCTTGGTTTCTTCAAGGCAAGGCTTCCGGCAGTTGTCGAAGGCTAATAAACAACGTCGAATACGTTCTGTTAACAAATCCATATTAGGTAAACGTCGAGCTTCAATGATCTTCAAATCAAGGTCGCCGTGAATATACATTCCGGCAACCATACTCTCTTCCGCCATCACACTACAAAGGCATAATATCATGCACAAGAATAAATGTATTGGTCGATGGATAAATGTGAGAGAGAAGGAAGTTGGCTAGCAACGGAGCAACCGCAGAAACGACTGCGTATCGAAAGGGAAATGAGTAATGAGCCGCAGTCACATTGAAAGGTTCTTCTTCCTTGGTTTCTCCGGCGAAGCCAACTGCAAAAACTGTTGGCGGTGAGATGCAGAAATTGAAAAAATTTGGGTAAAATGGAAGCGGAGGGTGTCGAGGGTGGTTGTCTTCAATTATTAACAGCGAAGCATTAACACGTGGATGGGTATTAGTGAAGGTTTTTTTTGGCTGAACTTGGTGTACGAAAGGAGATTTCGAACGTTGACACCTTAGTTACAGTGGGCGGGTCGACCTTTGACCGCCTCCCATCATCGCACAACTTTACCGCCTACTTTCCTATTGTCCAACTTATTAATATTATCCATTCAAAAATTGAAAATGTATGGTTGGCAGCAGCGGCCATGATAGCTGCACGTGCAAATGTCACTGGAATTAATGTGGATAATCTAAATGGACTTCAATTTGTAAATCTTAATAATATTGCACATCTTCCTGCTTTAGGAATTTTTATTTTTATTTTTAAAATAACGATTTAATAAAAATTCATGAAATAATAGTTTTTTATAAATTTTAATTATTTAATAATTTTACAAGTTGTCGAATTTAGAAATGCATTAATATATTTTTGCCTCTTGGAATAGAAAGGAAGAAAAATAATAGGAAAAAAATAATAAAAGATAATTAAATGGTGTTCTAATCTTGCATGTTGAAGTAATACATCCTGCTTTTTGAAATAAAGAGGAAGAAAAACAATAGAGGAAAATAATAAAAGATTATAAAATTTATTTTACGTGATTATTCTCAACTATATGTCTATTTATTTCTTTATTTTAAAATATCAAAATTTATGGGAAGAAAATATTATTATTAAAAATTATGATTTTTTTTCATTGTTATTTTCTTTCCAATTTGGAGGTATTCATCCAAAACGCGTAGATCTCGAGAAAAAAAAAATAGACATTGCTTTTTTTTTTTTCAACATTTCCCTCTTATTTTTTTTAAATATATTTTTATTGATATTTTCTATAATTATCTCCTTTCCTTCAAAAACATATTCACGTCTAAATAAAGGCTAAGAGAAAGGAAATTAGAGATAAAAGCAGGGTGCTTTTCTTTTCTTAACGTGTATGTTTAAATTGTAACAAACAGCTGAAAGCCTGACGCTCATGCCCTGGCAGCATTTGAGTTGTAGATTTTGTTCTTGTCCCGTTCAAGCTATGTCAGCTGATTCCTTTTCTTCTTTCACACAAAATGATGTTCCAAATCCTTGAAACTTTAGATCGTTCATGAAATACACATTTACCAAGTTGGATTTATTTGGTGAAGTATTCAAAAATCAAAATTAAATCATCCAATCGGGCAATACAATTCGCGGTGATGACAGAAGAAATTCACAAAAATTAAAGCTTTATGGGGACAATTACTCCCCAAGGCAAAGAATTTACCTCCTAATCACCAGTAAATTGTAGATTAACAAGCCAGTAATATTGAATTAAAAACAAATCAGGTATTTTTTAAAAAAATATATTGTTTCTAATAAATTCATCCTAACTTGTAAATAGAGTTTTCCACTTCTTCTCAGACCTGGCTAACATGGACTACCCAAAAATAGATATAAACTAATACAACACCACCAGACAGACTCCACTGCAGTTATCACTGATCAACTTCCAATTTAAGGTCTGAAATCTTGAACTTCTTCAGCCGAGCGCTACTTCAATGAGATAAACTCCCTACCTAGAGCATCAAATAGTTGAAATCTTATGGCTAGTCCTAAGTTTCAACTTCGTTTTCGGGATTTCTAGCCTCATAAATCTATGTTATCCCTTAATATATACAGAAATATAGAGAAAGGTTTTGCATAGAGATTAAGGCCCAAAATGATGATAGAACCAAATTTTGTGGTTTGACCCACACTTATCACGATCAGGCATCCACATAATTGCAGTTATTGACTCTCTCGTTTGAAATCAAAGGAGGCGGCAATCTCATCATGATACTCTGAATCAAGGCTATCATCTACACAATGCAATAAAGAGCCATATTAAATATGAATAAAGGGGAGGATTGTTTATCACATGCAGCCCTTCCCTGCAGTTTCATGGAGTTCTCACAATATGAACTTTTAAGTCACAGAGGAGCAACCATACGGTAAATGTAACAAAATGCAAACCAAAAGCTTATCTAGAAAAATAGACAGGCATGTTTCCTCATAAGAATGGAGAAGTCCTTACCGAGGTGAATCCAGCGCACATGATACTGAAACCAGGGAAATGGAATGGTGCTCTTTCAGATAGGAACAGAGCTGGGGGAAAAAAAAAATCAACCTTTTAGCATTCACTTTTCGACCTAATAATATGTCACACTAAATTCCATCACCTGTTAAAGGAGAGAACAGCAAAGGAGACACGACATTGGCAAATGAACCTATGCCTGAAATGCATCCTTGAGCCTTGCCCTGAAAGAAAGAAAACATAGCCATACGTTAAAATCATATGAGAAAAATGACTAGGAGACCTGGGAAATTCTTGTGAACAAAGCAAATCTATATGCTTAAAAAGGGAAAATCAAGCATCATGAAAACATCTTTCTTTTTTTCTTTTCTCCTAACTTGTCAACTTGGTCAGAAAAATATTCAAATCTTTTGCTGGGACCAAGAAAATCTTTCATATTCTAATCCAACAATTAGTTGAAGAGCGATCAACTGAACATTCAATCCACTTTTCAAGAATTCTACCTGTTCACAGCTCCCAACTTGCTTTGACACAATGGTCCGCATCTGCAAATCATTTTTAGGAAGTTGTTCAGAAATCATTGTTTGAACTACAAATAAGAACTTTTAATGAGAAATGAAATAAGAAACTCACACATGGTTGTGAAAACACAAACAAAATGGAGAGCATAGCAGCAACATAAGGTACCTATTATCTTTTGAAATGTTAGCAGCTAAAACATAGACCAGAAACAATTAGGAAAATCAATAAAGCATACTACATAGTGAACACAAATGTTTTCCAAAAATAAAAGAAAGCCTGCAGTTGCTAGGTAAGCCACAAAAACATACCCAGAAGGTCCACGCAATGCTGTAAAGAAACATCTGCATGAAAGGCCATAATCAGTCAACCAATTTACTTTATATATTTACATGTATTAGTATTTTAGCAGTAATGGTGAAACTACTCAAAGAAGTGAATATGAATTGACAAGAAATAAAGTAGGGGACCTGGTTTATCACAACATAAACAGATGAAAAATTACATAGAACACGAGTTACTTACATGTGCACATGAAAAAAAGAGCCCTACTGAAAGCAATCTCCCCTCTCCTAAAACAGGAACCAGTATGGGCATGAGAAGCAACTGCAAGTTTACAGAAAGCGAATGCAGGAATACACTATGCAAAAAGAAAAAAGAAACAAAACAAGAAGAAGAGCAGAAGAATATCACTAAATTGAAACAAAATAGAGCAAATTATACCTGCGAAATGGTTCCAGCAATCCCAGAAATTACCATTAAGTCAGCAAATTGATTCTTGTTAAAGTGAAATCGTGCCTTTAAATAATACTGCACGGGGAAAATGAATTTCAAACGCTTGCTCTACATAAATATACAATATTTGATTCGCTTGCCAAGCCAACCAATAGTTAAGGTCTCTTTGGCGAGGGACGTACCATTGCTGAAGCATGAAGGCCAACCTCTGAAAGATTACTGAGAAATGCAACTATAGCGGCTTGCGAGAACGTGGCACTACAAATAAGCATATTTACCATATAATTATTTGAGAGATGAAAAGTAAAGCACTCTTTAATCTGAGATTGACAATCCTGAAACTGGGAGCTCATTACAGCTATTAGGTGCTAATTAAGAAAGACCTCTAACCTGCTCTTGAGCAAGCAGAGCGTATCGTCCAGGGAAGGCATCGTCTTGAAAATATGAACATTCTTGCTTGAACTTCCGATCGTATTATCAACTTTACTCTTTCCATTGGAGAGCATCGGCGTAGAAACGTTTTTATCAATGATTGAATCCTGAAGGAAAACCTTCATGTACACTAAGGCCACGATCGCCACTGAGGCAGCAACCTAGTAATTAAATACACTAGATTATCCATAAATCCAACATCTTAAGCTGTGTTTTAAAAAAGATAAAACTATAAAAATAAAGGGACACAGAAAGCAAATTGAAAGTAACCTGGAAAGTTGAGGCAGTAGAGAGGAAACGAGTAGAAAGTGTTCCACAAACGAATGCCGAAGATCCAATCCCTGAAAGGATTCCAAACGCCGATGCTCGCCGCCCCTCAGGAACATTGTCCGCCTGAAAATAATTCCCAACATAACAAATTGAAAAAAAAAAAAAAAAAAACTGAAAGGATTCCAAACGCCCGATGCTGCCGCCCCTCCAGGGAACATTGTCCGCCTGAAAATAATTCCCAACATAAACAAAATTGAAAAAAAAAAAAAAAAAAAGAAAGAAAAAGCAATTTCTTTTCTCTAAACTGAAAACGGGGAATACTTGTTACATTTTTTTGGTAATTAGTGACAACTGGAAACAGTGAAGAAACTTTTAACGACGGGGAATGCGTTTTTCCTTATAAGTCCAATAACGGGCAACAAACCTTTTTGAGCCCACTACAAGGCCCACATTTTTTTAGCCCTGTTTCTCGAGCCCAAAATTGGGCCTATATATATATATATATATATATAATATTTAAAAGAAATGGGCCCTTTTTTTAAAGGTTTTTGGTCAAATATAATTTCTTGTTTTTTTGACTTTGTATGACTATTTAGTTGGTTGGAAAGAAGAAAGTTATATATATATTTAAAAGAAATGGGCCTTTTTTTAAGAGGTTTTTGGTCAAATATAATTCTTGTTTTTTTGACTTTGTATGACTATTTAGTTGTTGGAAGAAGAAAGTTATACCACGTAGGCGAGAGCAAGGCAGTGGACGCTTCCTTCACAAACCATGGCAGTGAGAGTCCTCAGCACATAATATGCGTAGAAGAAGTATCTTGTTCTGCTGTACGCCAATGTGACTGCAACCATGTTTTAGTACTCAAAAGTAACAAAATATAAATAATTTTCAGCTTAGAAAAAATTAGAACGAACTAATTGTCAGACTCCAGATTTAGTGGGTTTTTTTTTTTCTATGATTATCTTTATACCCTTTTTATCTATCTATGAGATTAATCTCTTTTCAAGTTTGTAATTGCCTCTCTGTGCAATTATTTAATTAAAAACACAAGCACAATTAGACCTCAGTTGTTATTTAGTAGTAGCTTTTACGCACAGAAAGACATCTAGATGTCAAACAGGGATGAAAATTTTTGTCTGTTGCTTCAAATTTCAAAAACAATGAAGCTTCGAAAATAAAGGTCGTTTGCAAGCAATTATTTTCTACGCATGAGGTGTTGGGTATTAAAAATTCAATTTCTTTTGTCATATTCATATACACTTGGCTTGAATTTTGGACTGGACCTCTTCATCCAGCACGAAAATATGCAAGAAAATCAGCTTCTTTACTGTAGCGAAAGCTGAAAAGTAAAAGCAACCTTGTCTTGTTTTGGACTATGCCTCTTTATCCAGAACAACCCCCTCACTCCCCCACAATACTCAAAAACGAAAAGAGAAAGAGAAAGGAAAAGAAAGAAGATTTAAATTCTAATTGAGTTTATACAGATGGTAATTAATGAACGATTATAAACACAGGATTGAAATTAATTAATTAAAGAAAGCTTAATAAAATATTAAGTTGGTTAAAATCCAACAGTGATAAGATTACCTAAGGGTATTATGCCAAGAACCAGTGGTACGGTAAGCAAAGCTTTCCTTCCATATTTGTCTGATAAATTTCCCACCAAAGGCATCATTAGCAATGTTCCCAGCCCTATGATCTGCATAAAATCAAACATCTCTTTTTGATTACTTATCTTTGATTGAATATTTAAACCAAACCAAACGCCATTCCCAAGCTCATATATTTCATGCAAATACTCCTAAGGTAAAGCCAAAAAAAGAATATAAAGTTCATGCGTTATAAGAAAAACTTTAACTGTAGGGAGGATGTGGTACTAAAGACAACCGCAGTTGACACTAACTGTCGTTTCTCTAAACTGGTGGAAGTTTCCTTCCTTCAGAAATACAGGAAAAAATTAACCAACTACAACTTTTCTTTGTACTTCATATCTGTCTCCATCATTTTTTTCAGTTAAATACAAAAGGGTTTCACTCTAATTAAGAGAATATTAAAAATGAGTAATAAAAACTATACCGCTTGTTGAAATCCGGAGAGAAAAATAGCAAGAGAGCACTCATCTTGTCCAGGACAAAGTGCAGACATAGTAACATCAGTCATGGCCGGAGTCACCATGAAAGTTGAGAAGTTATAAAGAAAGAATGTCAAGAGGAGATGACTTAACCGTTCCATTTATTTTCTCCACTTACCTTACTTCTTCTTTTAGTTTCAAAAGCCTTAGATACAAAAAAGAACGAAAGAGCATATCTAAAGTAAAAAAACAATATGACCTTAATAATTATATAAAATTATGCCGTTTAGTTATGTGTAACATGAAAGTAAGGAAGTATATGACTATATGTGCATCTAGGCTAAATTATTTTGTCACCTATTCTCACCCTATCAATTAGATCCACATAAATGGAGTTGAGATAAGGATACTGTTTGTGCTTTTTCCATTTAAGTGAATAGGTGAATAGGGAAGGTCCTTATATTAGGTATAGTGTGATTTTGACTGGCAATTGAACTTCGGAGATGATTTAGAATTGAAAATGTTTGCCTAAACGGATCTATGACCCCATCTTCACGAAACTAATAAAAGTAAAATTTTTCTTTTCAGACTATGTTTAGAAATATCAGTAGTGTCCAGCCGGCTATCAACCAGTCCAGGCAAGTTAATCAGTTTAAATTTGGGCCTGTTTAGACTTGGGACTAGATCTTTACTGTCTAATGCAAGATTTCCTGAGCTAGCTGCGTCATGCAATCAAGTTAGCAGTTGGTAGTTTGGCAGTAGTGTTGCATATACAGTTGAAAAGGCCTGTTGGGTGAAACCGAAAGGAAATTTCGTGAGATAAGGCAGCAAAAACTATATTTTCAGTTACTGTTACCGGCAACTTTGATCCCTTTTACACAACAGAATTGAATTGGGAATTGATAGTTTTTAAATTCTGTCCACTCATCGGGCCAATTATAATCTGCAAATCGTATCTCTGCAAAACCCACTTCCTTAATTTACTATCATTTGGATGTATTATTGTTTGATTTTGCTGGACCCACAAACGTTTTTGAGGTGTAATTAAGCAAACAAGTACTTGGATTAGTTATTTGATTAGCTTTAAGAAACTGTGCTAAAACAGTAGAACATGAATATTAATTTGAAAAACAGAGTATATATCCTCAATTTTAAAAGAAAAGAAAAGGTCGTGCTGGTTACTGGTCTAAAGCTTAATTCTCAAGCTAGATATTATAATAAAGCATTTACTTTACATGACATATAGAAAGATTAGTCACAGTTAGTCGCAGAAACAGAGAACAAGTAAAAATGCTTACAGGAAACCTGATAATTAATAAGTTGCAGAGAAAGATATTATTTTATATGAACTAACTGGAAAAAGAGTGAAAGAAGACATAAAAAAAAAACAAAAACGACATACCGCTTGTTGGAATCCAGACAAGTAGATGGCTAATGAACATTCATCTCTTCCAGGACAAATTGCAGACATTGTAACGTCAGTGATTGCAGGAACCACCATATACGTTGAGAAATTATGCAGAAAAAATGTCATGAACAGATGGCTTAAACCCGACAATTTTTCCATTTTTCCCAAAAAAGAGAACAAAACTAAAGAGAGAAGAGCGAAGAAGGGGAACAAAGCTAAAGAAAGCTGCCACTCACTTCCCAAAATAATAGAAAGCCTACAAGTATACAACGTTCCTTAAAGCCGCAAAAGGACACTTGTTTAATGAGTAAGTAAAGTATGTTATTATTATATATATATACAGTTTAGATTTTACTATTTATTTAATTCTGAAAATTTTTTTACTTACTTAAAACTAACCAGTCGTAGGCCTGGAAGTTGTATTGTATCTTCACTTTCAAGGGTGGACTAGAAAAATACCAGAAAGGTAAACAGGCAAGGATAAAAAGAGTGACAGTGACAATGATTTAGTTGAAGGATGCGTTGCTTGTAAGGAGATGAAAGGAAAAAACAGAGGCAATATTAATTTTAAATGACGCGTGCAAGGTGTAATTACGCAATGATACGTGCAAGTTTGAGTTTGGCTCGCATGAAAATAACCCAGAGAAAATAGTTTCTCATGGAACTCAATTTTTCTTTCTTCGGAAACTTAGCTATAATTGCCTTCTTAATTCGTGTGGTGGTTCTAGTTTTTTTTCTCTTTCGTTTTACCTTTCTTCTTTGTTGTTTGTTTTTTTTTTTTACTGGGTTTATGCTAGATTTGGTGAGGGTTAAATTCAAATAGCTAGATTCAATACATTTCCAAGTTACAAGGTCTTCTACTTGGTTAACATCTTCACAGAATAATAGTAGGGTCATTTATAATAATTAAGAAATTAAAAAAGAGTAATTTTGTGTCATCATCAATTGACATATTTATATTACAGTTAAATCTCTTTGCTCTTACCTGCAGATATATTTAATGGAGATCGAAGTTAATATTACTTTCCACGTACTAAACATGCCGCGCGAAGTGAGCTACAACTGCAGAAATATACAATCATATAAATATTAGATGGAGTACATGATGGTGGGCCCAAACAGAACGAGACAAAAGGCTGAAGAAAGAGCCTGGGCCTAATTGTATATTGGGCCTCAACTGTTAATCCATTGTTAAGCAAAGTTGTCGATAGTTTTGAAATAGTTGTTTGGTTGGATTGAGCTTGTTCTCCCTATTTTGAATTTGCTATGGACCGGTAGGGCAATTGCATTCCATTAACCTCTCATATCAATTTTCCAGCAGCTAAAGAAAATTAAAAATAAAGAGAATAGAAAAGCGAATTATGAATTATTTGGTCAGGTTTCTCACTAATACAAGGAGTTACAAATTATAATTTGAGTTTTTTTTACTAAAAAAGTTTTTAGCAATTTAGTCAAAACGTTATTTCGGTCATTAAATCTTACGAGAGATGAAAATAATGTTATTTGGAGATCGAATTTTCCAGTGAATTAAAAAAATTAATGTTTCAGTTGATATTACAAATTCATTCATTGAACATAAGTATACATCTATTAATTTGTTATTACTAAAAATATATTAAAAAACAATAAGTTCTTACTAGAAATAATAGTGTGTTCTCAATTGAAGTAATAAATTATTAAAAAAAAAAAAAAAAAAAAAAAAAAAAGTTATTACTAAAAATATATTAAAAAACAATAAGTTCTTACTAAAAGAAATAAATAGTGTGTTCTCAATTGAAGTAATAAATTATTAAAAAAAAAAAAAAAAAAAAAAAAAAAACAACGGTATATACTTTACCAATAAAGTAGAATTTAAAAGAAAAAGCGATGGATCAACTGGCGAAAATCCAAAGACCAAAAGCAACTTTCGGAGATGGAAAAAAGGAATTGCACGCAAAGCAACTAAGGCAAGGCGCAAAGTAAAAGTTGATTAGTAAAAGGAAGCTCATGTAGGTGCACGGCCAAATCTTTTTAAAAAAAAAAAAAAAAAAAAAAAAAAACAACGGTATATACTTTACCATAAAGTAGATTTAAAAGAAAAAGGCGATGGATCAACTGGCGATCCAAAGACCAAAAGCAACTTTCGGAGATGGAAAAAAGGAAAGTGCACGCAAAGCAACTAAGCAAGGCGCAAAGTAAAAGTTGATTAGTAAAGGAAGCTTCCATGTAGGTGCCAAACGCCAATCTTTTTAAAAAAACTTTCTAGCTACTAGGCTACTGCACCAGCTACTTATAGTAGCAGTTGATTTTACTTGCAGCCTTTTTCCAGTTTCACCCTCCCCACTTCCACTAGTCTAGCACTATCAACAAAACATGGACTGAATTTTTTTTTTTTTTTTTTGAGAATTATTCAATAAATGATTTTTTTTTTAATCATGAGGTATATATCATGTTGTTTCATGCAGTAATTTTTAGTATTTTTACTGTGTCAAAATATTATTTTTATTATAAGCTTTCAATATCATATTAACGTTTAGAGTTTAAAAGAGCTCTCATTAATACTATTTTTATTATAAACCTTCAGTACCATATTAGTGTTTAGAGTTTAAAAGAGCTCGTTATGAAATATTATTTCATTATGTTTATAACTATTAAATAATTGATTTTTCCCAACAAACTCATAATCACCTAACAGACTAATGCTTAAAATTTTTAGCCTCTTAATTTATAGGAATCGAATTTGTATTACTATTACAAGAATCGAAATCATTTACCACTCTGATTAATATCTTGTTAAATATAATAATTATTAATTTATTTTCTTCAATAATTTAATGTATTTAGAATTCAAAATTTACAAAAGATGTGACAAATGAAAACGGCATAAAATGATCGCGGTCGTGACAAGCAAGTTATATGGACAAAAGGAAGAAAGTAAAGTCATCTCATTGTAAAAGGAAGCATATAGCTATAGCAGTGGACCCACGTTCTTATTTTATTTTTCAGCAGAAATCATTTTATTTCTAATGTGTTAAAAAGAAATTAAAAATTGAAATGATCACCAACGTAAAAATAAAGGAGACAAGAGGATAAAAACAAGTAATAGCATTATTTATTACTGCTATTACTGTTGGTTGGGTTGTCCATTTGTCATTGTTGTAGTCCGACAAGACAGAACATTGAAAGTGTATGCAAACGCTGTACCTATATTATGTAATGAACTGAAACTTTGATAAACAATGGCTGTTGTCGATCTGATCTGTTGTTATTCAAAGCAGTTAGCATAGGAAAGTCCGTAGGCCGCTAATACAGACGAGCGTGATTTGAGCCAAATTAACAATGTTTAACTTGTCTTCTCATCACGTGATAAAAAAATAAAATAAAATAAATTAGTCTCCCTGTATTCTTTGTCGTTAATATGTGGTGTGTTTCGTCAGAATTCATACCAAACATTCTATTGTCGTTGATCTATCCACTGTGTCGTTAATATATTGTCGTTAAAAGTTATTATTTAATTTAGTGTAAAATTGAAAAAGTTAATTTTTACGCTGCTTTCAAGTTTAGGAGGTAAATGATTGTTATTCCTTCATCCATTTGCTTAATTAATGTTTTTTTTTTTCTTAACAAATGATTGAAATTCTTAAAATTTTTTGAAATTTTTATTAAAGCTTATTCTTTTGCTTTCGTTATTGAATATTTAATTTTGACTTAATACAATTTTAAAACTTGAATTAATGAAAAATATCACTTAAAGAAATTAAATCACGACTACTAATAACATAGGAAACGTACGTCATTTTAAATTTTTTATTCTGTTTCTATATATGTAAAGTTACTAGATTCAGTCATTAGTTCTCTTTTTGCATTAAAAATAAATATTTTTTAATTAATTTTAAGAATAATTAAGACTGTAATTATGGAATGTAAGAAGTAAAAGATAGTAATTGGAATGTCAGTTTTGAATCTTTTGATCAGTTGCAAGCAACGAGGTGTTCAGGTTTAACGGTGATATGATTTTGAAATAACTGCTTCCAGAAGTATATTAATGTCAAAAGTGGAGGCGAAATCACATGATAGCGAATGCACTATAAACGCGTCTTCCTCTACTGGCGGTCAGAGGTCAGTAAACTACGTCCAAGCATCCGTTTTAAGGACGTGTACGGCCCAACACGCAACAGCAAGACTGTGATCTATCGGCACCATCTCCCAGGGTCCCTGTCGGTGTGGTCAACCTATTCAAACAATACGAAAAACTCACCATATCACTCTCCTGCTGGTAATTATTATTATTATTATTATTATTAATCATTTCACAATAAATTAATTATTTTATTTAATTATTTATTTCTTAAATTTTATTTATATATATTATACGAATTTCATTTTTAAACAATAACATTACTTGGATAATCTTTAATCATCCCAAATACGGCATTATCAATTTGCTAAACTAATTAGTCCAATTGTTAATTGGATAATGAGTGATTGTGAAATTTCGAATATATCCTTAAGAATTCGAAAAAAATCATTATTGCTTCATTTCTGTTCTTGCTCCTTTTCTTGCCATTTCCGCAGCTTTGATAATTCCATTCATTGCAAAATCAACGCTTGTCATCTTAATGATCCCATATTGTTGGAAAATTGAGATAAAAGAAGAAAATGACTTGTTTGTAAGGGATGAGTTTGTTTCATAAGGGTACTTTTGTCCAATCATACTTGTTTTATTTGATTTTTGTAATCTATTATTATTAAGCTCAATAATAGAAATTGACAAGGATTATTAATAGAGGGATCTGATTGTGAAATAAATTGATAATATATAGATAATAATATGTAGTTGATCAAACTATAGATGATATAATAATTATCCCAAATTTATACTTTTTATTTGAAAGAAATGAATTCTATAAAATTTTACTAAAATATAAGATTTTAATTCTACAAATTTAATTTTATGAAATTAAACATAATTAATTCAAATTCTAATAAAGTAAATAAAATTTTCAAATTAATTCACAAAATAGATAGAACTTTCGTGTTAGAAATATATTCAAAATTTAAAATATATTCTCTTTCTTTACTAAAATATCCTTGATATAAAAAATTTAGATAGTTAAAAGAATAGATAGTTCTATTTGAATTGTTTAAATTTATGAAATTTAATAAAAATTCGATTTGGTTATATTCAAATCTATGCAATTGAATTTTACCAAACATAAGAATCGATTTATAATTAAATTTCATAGAATTTTAAAATTTATTTATTCAAAAGAGGGATAAAATTTTATTATAAGATATCATTTTATCCATGTTTTTCTAAATTTATTTTAAATATAATTACGTAAATTAAATTCAACTCACATATTTTAAATTTCGATGTAACAAATTTACGAAAGATTTATTTATAATTAAATGAATTCAAAAAGATAAATCCGATCCAATTTGAACTTCCAACGTTGCCACCATCTCTTGATTTTTATTTTCATGTCTTCAAAATTCCACGTGTTCATGCAGTACTATTGTCTCCTCCACGCGCATAGCGCGTGCATTTCTCAAGTTCACAGGCATAAAACGACTCATAAACTCCTTCAATAACTCAAACAGGATAAAAGAGGGAGGCGTGCTAATCCCTCTCCGTCGCTTTTTATCTTTCCCCCCTTATCATAATGGACTCTCTTGCTCTCGTTTGCACTGGAGCTCTTCTCGCCGGCGGGCTTTACTGGTTCGTCTGCATTCTCGGTCCAGCAGAGCAAAAAGGCAAACGCGCCGTAGATCTATCCGGTGGCTCGATCTCGGCCGAGAAAGTCCAGGATAACTACAAGCAGTACTGGTCCTTCTTTCGCCGCCCCAAAGAAATCGAAACGGCCGAGAAAGTCCCCGATTTCGTGGACACATTCTACAACTTAGTAACCGATATATACGAGTGGGGATGGGGTCAGTCCTTCCACTTCTCTCCCTCTGTTCCTGGAAAGTCCCACCGCGACGCAACGCGCCTCCATGAAGAGATGGCCGTCGATCTCATCGATGTGAAGCCTGGAGAACGAATCCTGGACGTTGGATGCGGCGTCGGGGGCCCCATGCGCGCCATCGCCGCTCACTCGCGCGCTAATGTTGTAGGCATCACAATCAACGAGTATCAGGTTAACCGTGCGCGTTTGCACAACAAGAAAGCCGGTCTCGATTCGCTTTGTGAAGTTGTTTGTGGGAATTTCCTTGAGATGCCGTTTCCAGACAACAGTTTCGACGGCGCGTACTCTATCGAAGCTACTTGTCACGCGCCGAAGCTGGAAGAGGTATACGCAGAGATCTTTCGAGTGTTGAAGCCAGGATCTCTCTACGTGTCCTACGAATGGGTCACAACTGACAAGTACAGGGCTAGTGATCCTCAACACGTGGAGATCATTCAAGGCATTGAAAGAGGAGATGCTTTGCCGGGGCTGAGAAGCTACGCAGACATTGCCGAGACGGCGAGAAAGGTAGGGTTCGAAGTAGTGAAAGAGAAGGATTTAGCAAAACCACCAGCGCAGCCATGGTGGACTAGGCTAAAGATGGGAAGGATTGCCTACTGGAGGAATCACATTCTCGTTACTATATTGGCTGCTTTGGGTATCGCACCGAAGGGAACCGTGGATGTCCACGAGATGCTTTTCAAAACAGCCGATCATTTGACACAGGGCGGCGAGACTGGAATTTTCTCTCCGATGCATATGGTTCTCTGCAGAAAACCTGAGAGCCCTTCAAATTCTTAACCCCCCAAAACCAAAAAAGACTGAGGTAACACCTGGTTAATTATGTTGCAGTAACTCTGTTCTTCCCTTTCTTTCCCTTGTGACCTTAGTTTTCCTTTTTATTTTTTTAGGTTTTCTTTTTCCTTTCTAAATCTTGATTTTTGTTATGATCTTTGTATTTTTGCTTTCGAATTTATTTAAATGTCATGGCTGGATCTCGTTCTTTTCCTCTTGTCGCAGTGAAGATTGATTTTTTTTTTTATGAGTTGGTGGCCTGTGCTGAGCTCTGTAGACCAGAACAGTACTGTCACTCTGAGAAGAAAATGGTCTGCAAATTTTAATTTTTTATTATCCTTTCTTTAATAGTTTATCTGAAGAATCTGTTTGTGGGATTTTCCACCACGTCTCGTCTAAATTTTGAATAAGAAAAAAGAAATAAGAAAAAGAAAAAATCAAGATTAACGATAGAGAGCAAAAGTTGGCAATGAGTAATGGGTTGGGAGGCGCACATGGACTAAAAAGAAAAGCCCCTTTTGAAATGAAAAGGCTTAGGTGGTTGTCACTGGATCATGACTTTTGCTGTGTTGTTATTTTGCCCAATTCTGGTGTTCTACCAAATTAGTTCAGCTTTTGTAGCTTTGTCTTTTTATGCCTTATTTCTTTTTTTGCTTCTGAGCTACAAGCAGCGAGGTCCACCTATATCTCCCCCATAGATCTTTCTGTTAATGCAATGAAGTCTTGGGTTTCCTTCTTTCTTCCTTCCCTCCTCTTGTATAATGTGTACCGTGAAGTTTAGTTTGGATTTTATTTTCAAATTCTTTGTTACTTTTACATGACATTCAATTTTTTTATTTTTTATTCTGGACTAAGGTAAAAGATCTGCAACCGCTTAACGCAGGGCATATGCAAGCTGTATATGCAGACTGCATATCAATCACCTTGTACATGGAGATTAGATTATTGTCCTTTTTTGTCCGTTATAATTTTGTTTTCCTCTTTTAAACTGATTGTGGAAAGGTAGGAGGATGGATGCCACTCAATATAGGCTGGCATAGGCTTTATTGTGTTGGCTGAAATTTTTTATTAGGCTGTCACTTGAGGGATGGATATAAGGCATATCAAGGGTAGGTACAGGAGGCAGGTATTAATGGAGGAATGGTGAGGGGCAGCATATGGGCTTAAATCTCAGTATTTAATTGCAGTTGAGAGAGAGAGAGAGAGAGAAAGAGAGAGAGGGCTACCAAACTTCCTAAGTTCTGAATCTTATCCTAGGTAGCATAGTAAATTTGGATATGTTGCTATCTATATCAATGGAACTTGTAAGGAAATGATGGTCTTATCAACTTATGGCCCCCTGGACTGTTATAAATGGCAAAGTAATAAATGTCCTCATATCATTTTGGTAGCAATTTGGAACAAAATGTTGAAAGTTTGATCATCTCCAAAACCAATTTGAAGTATATCAAGGGCCTTTCTAGCAATGTTAGCTATTGTAGCCGTTGTAATAGCTAGTGTTGTAGCAGCAGCTAGCTTTTAGCTGTAATCTATGTGAAACATGTTTCGCCTCTCATAAAAAGTTCGCAGATCTCCTCCAACCTCTAAAAGCTGTCATAGAAGGTCTTCCAACTCTTAAAAATTATTATAAAAACTATGTTGCCAAATAAGTTAGTTGTCTAACAGGTAATCTTCATAAGATGATAATCAAATTGAAAGGCTTGGAATATTAGCGCATCAAAACAACGAAAGAAAATTTTGGTCTGGAACTTACAGGCTGTGAGGTCTATGTCGAAAGATAATGAATTGGATTTTTTTTTTCCGGTACTTTGTTTTTTCCAGTCCTGGGTAGTTTCCAGCTCATAACCAAGTAGATCCATTTGCCACAGGAAAAAAAAAAACAAAAGGAAACTTCCTGGTCCCCACTCTTCAGTTTTCCCTTTACAGAATATCCACCTCACTTTCACAATCCTTTCATTTCCTCATTGTAACAGCGGATTTAAGTAGCAGGGACATGGAAAGATATTAGGTCTATTTGATTTTGCTCATCTGATAACCTACTAAAATGAGAATGAAATATCTAATTTTGACTATTTTATCTGGCACTCATCAATTTATTAATTTTTTTTATATAAAAACTATTATTTTTGGTATATCAGAAACTTTTAAAAGGAGAAAACAGGTGTGAATCTTTTATCAATTTAAAAAAAAAAAAAGGGAAAGGTGAATTTTGATGTAAAAGCATTGAGGTGTCTTCCTTCGTGGCCCAATTTAAGTGGGCTTCTTCATGAAATTAACATCCACAATTTCAGTCTTCAAAATGAACAACGCGTGAATTCAATGTAACGCCCAAAATTCAGCCCAAATTGGCATTTTCAAGACCCAACTTGCCCATTTGTTTAAGCCCAAAAGATATGAAGATAATTCCACAATGTGTTTGTTTGGGCCGCGAAAAGGACCTCGGCTGATATTCCTGACTTAGAACGAACATATCCTTTAGAGGAAAAGGTTTGTTCACAAATATAAAAAATCGGGGAAAAAAAATCCTAAAAATCAAGTCGAACCAAAATTTTCTGGATAACATAAACCACAAGAAAATGAGTGGCTACCGTTTTGGTCACTCAGATTTTGTTAATAACTCTGTAGATCTCTCTGCTTTCTGTGTGCTTTTTCTGGGGCAACATTTCCCTTCTATTTGCTTCATTCTCTTCCATGGCTACAATCACAAATTTGTTGTCGAAACCACCATCTTCTCTTTCAACCATTCCTACGATCAGTCCCCTTTGCTTCCGTGGTTCTTTCACAATACCCTTTGCCTCTAAACATAAACCTCTCGCAACAAAACTATACCCAAACAGAACAAACTTCACTGTAAAGGCCACTGCTTCCCCTGACACCAAAAAGAAACCCGTTAAGGATGAAAGGGTACAAAAAATCCACAGTATAGAGGAATTCGATGAAGCACTTAAAACGGCCAAAAATAGGCTTGTTGTAGTAGAATTTGCCGCCAGTAATAGCTTTGAGAGCAGCAAAATTTACCCTTTTATGGTGGACCTTAGCCGAACATGCAACGACGTCGATTTCCTTCTTGTAATGGGCGACGAATCGGAAAAAACCAAACAACTTTGCAAGAGAGAGAATATAGAGAAAGTTCCTCACTTTAGCTTCTACAAGGGCATGGAGAAGATTCATGAAGAAGAAGGAATAGGACCAGATCGGTTGATGGGAGATGTGTTATACTACGGAGACAACCATTCAGCTGTGGTGCAGTTGCATTGTAGAGAAGATGTGGAGAAACTGATTGGAGATCATAAGGCTGATAAAAAATTGATCGTACTTGATGTGGGGTTGAAGCACTGTGGACCATGCGTGAAGGTTTACCCAACGGTGGTAAAGTTGTCGAGACAGATGGCTGATACTGCAGTGTTTGCGAGAATGAACGGTGATGAGAATGATAGCTGCATGCAGTTCTTGAGGGACATGAACGTCGTCGAGGTACCTACATTCTTGTTTATAAGAGAGGGTAAGATCTGTGGAAGATATGTGGGCTCTGGAAAAGGAGAGCTTATAGGGGAAATTCTTAGATACCAAGGAGTTCGTGTAACCTATTGAACTAGATAAGAGTATAAAAGTTAGACAAAAATCACTGTATGTGTGATTTATAATTTTCAGTAAGAATTGAAAATGGCCTTTCTGAAGCTTCTTTTGCAGATATATATACCAAAATAGTTGCTTTTGATGGCAGAGTAATTTCTTTCGAAGGTACAATGTTAATTTAGGATTAGGAATATTGGTTGCAATGTTAGCAATCAGTAAGATTAGGTTAGGTGTGGCATGCATATCGGAAGAAAGCAGTGTGCTTAACTTATGTTATCAATCAAAAAGAACAAGAACACTTAATTCTGAAATTCAAAGAGTAATAATGGTATACACATAAATAAAATCTATGTATTTTACATATTAATTTCAGAAAAATACATGTCTACGCTGAATATATAATTCGTACAAATTTAATCATAAAATTTGTGCAAATAAGGGTATGGGTATTTTGACTATGTGCTGCTCTATTCTAAGATTACAAAAATATAATAAAAGAACCAAATATTAACTTACATTTAAAAAAAAAAAAAAACAAAAAAAAGGAAGAAAATTGTACGCAATTCAAGTTGTTCTGACCCCTAAATTCAATTGAAGAGGTTTAGGTGGATTCATGGTTCTTCTCTTCCATAGATTAACTTCTTTCCTCGGTTGCAACGCCGCACCGGAACCGATTAGCATAGGAGCGGAGAAAGGAATGATCACCTCATCTTCTTCGCCTTGATGACAATACATTCTGTCATCTTCATCAGAAGAATAATCTCGGTGATCTGATTCCACCGGTGTAATCTGAGCCGTCCAATCAAAATTCGAAAAAGTATCGCGACCGCTCGCAAACCGCTTCATTTGACCCAAAGAAGGCGCTCTATCAGAAAGTGGTGGCCTATCATAGATAGAAGCATCAGATCTCCTTCCAGCAGTTGGTTTTGCACTAATACTAAACAGCCTCTTAAACTTGGATGCATGTTTTTTCACGTCCCGTGGAGAAGATACAGCCTTTATTTCTTTAGGAGGAGAAGTTCGCTTCGTCTTATTCACCATCTTCTTCTTGTGCTTGATTTGGCCAATGCATGACACCTTAGGCGAGGTGGGTTCTTGGGTCTCAAAACTTCCATTCTTGGGCTTCCGACGAACTTCATCGGGAATCATAGAAACAAATGGACCGGAAAATCCTTTACCGACATGAGCTTTAAGCCTGTGGCAGTAATTATTATCCGATCTTCTATCTCTATTAGGACTGAAAGGAGGATTATGGAAGTAAACTGCAGAAGCTGCTTTAGGTAGAAATTTCAAGATATTGTTCTTAGATTTGGGTTGTTTCTCCATTTTGGAAGGCTCTAATGTTCAATCTCACAGTTGTGGATGACTTTATATAAATGTGATCCAATAGGAAGATGATGAGAGGGGTTCAGGGCCTGTTTATTGACTGTGTCGGGACAAGAGAGAGGGGGTTTGGTCAAATGAAAAGGTGCGACTAAGCAACCATTAATGTTCGGCTACTGCTACGTTTGCAATTGCAGCGTTTGAGAGTATTATTCAGGTTTCCGTCTTCTTGCCTAGAAATTTGTATTCAAGAGTTAATATAATAAACTGACGTGGGGACGCTTTCCATATGCTTTGTCAATTGTCTCTTTATGACTTTATCATCCTCTCAAAAAAAAAAAAACAAAACAAAACAAAACAAAAAAATTAATAATAAAATTAATTTTCAATAGTTGTCTGATTATTTCTATTTCACTCGTAATGGTCATATAATATCATCATTTCATTATATTATTCTTTCATCTATACAATCATAAGAGCTTACACGTGGATGATTAAGTATAGATAGTAAAGGAAAAAAGTAATAATGATTAATCACGAAACAATAAACCAAATTTCCAAATCAAAAATTAATGAGATAATTCAGCGGAAATACGATACATTTAATTTAAATCAGGGTGAGTAATGTGACATTCAATAGATAATTATCAGTTGGTGGAAGAGTATAATCATAAAATGCTGATTTGGCAAGATTAAGGATTTGATCATCTAATAGATATTTTTTGAAAATTTAATAATTCATTAATAATGAATATAAATCAAGTATACCATAATAATAATTCTATAAAAATAAGAAATACAAATATAAAACATATGCCTACTTGTCCATTTTATTTCATTATTAAATATTTTTCCCTCCCTTATCCATAATCAAACATATTAATTATTAGATTTTTTTCTCAATGGATAATTGGAAAATTTATCATAATAATTAAATAAAAAAATAAAAAGCAATTCCCACCAGAAATTGGAAGGAGCAAAACTTGAAACGGTCCATATTCGAATAATGAACAATTTAATTTAATAAGGTAGATTTCTGTCTTTCTCAAACTTAATCATATATAGAGATTTGTATATTGTGAATTTGTTTTGGGAAAAGTCAAACATATACTACGCAGTACTCCTCATTTTATAGCGTATGGATTTGGAAAAAATTTAACGTAATATTCAATTAAGCACACTAAACGTGTGTTAATTGGATGACACAAACAGAGATATAAGAAAAATATTAAGATAGAAACAAAGTACGGCAGACTTATTTTAATCACTGTTGAAATTTATTAATCAAGCCAATTGATTGGTAGTTGATCAGTCGACATGTGGACGGCTACCGGAAAAATAATAATAAAATAAAATGAGTTTTGATACAATTATCGTCCAATGCTCTGGCGTGTTCTTCTTGTTTTTCATCTTTGACAAGTTTTTTTTCTGGGGGAAAATTACACCATGCCGCCAGCATATCAGTCCATTAAGGTTAAAATGCTTAGAGAGAATATTTACTCCGTCTACGAGAACATAATTCTCCATTTTATTTAAAAGAGAAGAATGTCGAATTACTCATTTCAACCGTCATTTCATCTTTTTAAATAATTAAATTAAATTAAAATTTAATACTTTTTATATTTCAAAAAATAAATCGTTTAAAGTTTTTGTATATGGATTGAGAAAATAAATAATTCTTCTAAATTATAAAAAAAATAAAAATAATCTGATCAAATTATCATTTATCTCAAAATCAATAATAACATGTAAATTTAGTTATTATATTTAATATAAATAAGAGTAATATTAAAAAAACGTTATTCATTACATTTTATAAATAATCAAATGATTTATATTTTAAAATAAATAATTATCCGAAAACGACTTATATTTTTAGACGGAAATTAAAAAACTGCTTTTCATATCACGTGGAAAAGTTTGATTCTAAGGAGACAAAAGGGCAACCCTCTGTGAGTAATGATTGATGAATTATCATGCATGCAAAGACAAGGTAAGTACATACTTGCACGAAATATTGTGTACAAGCAAACGCTTATAAATATTGCCCCAATCTCCATGTAATGGAGAATATAGACACTTCCATTTCATGATGTCTAAGCAATCATCCACCCAAGACTTTATGTTTTTAAATATTTTGCATTTTATTCAAATTTAGCAACTAGATTGACTTTGTGAAACAGATAATTATATTATTTGTAGTGCAAAATAAAATAAATAGAAACAATGCAAATGCTCAGAAGTCAAAATTAACTCCATATGTACTTAAATCAACTTGAATATATTTGGAGTTGCCATGGACTGTTTAATTTAGTTTTTTCTAGCATCAACTTGTAAATAATCCAAGGCAACTGCAGACCAAGGTTTCAAAGTTAGAAGAGGATTAACAGAAATTTTAAAAAATTACAAGGGGTCAAAAAAAAAAAAATCATAGTTTTATAAATAGAAATTTAAAAAATTTTTGGGTCTAGAGGTTGATGGCCTCCACCCATCCCCTTCTGTGATCTGTCATTCATCCAAGATATAATTTTAAAAAAGCTTGGTGGGAATAAATTAAATCAAATTTCAAAGAATTATATATATATATATATATATAATTTTACACTCTAATAAATTGTTAAATAATTTATCTCAGGAAATAATAAGGGAGAGAATCCTGGGAGGCAGGTGAAGGTTCCTTCCTCACAACCGTTTAACTTTAAGCATGTTATTGTTTTTTGACCTTAATCTCAGTAGTTGGGAATTTTGAAAAGAAACGACAATCTACAAATCAAAATTCTTACCTTATCCAAATGACAAGTCGTTGCTTGTTAGAGCAAAGAACTTCTTGTTGAAGAAATTTATTACCATCAAAAGACATTCTGAGCTAACTTAGAGAAGTTTGTCCAAATTTTGATAGTTAAAAGAATGAAAGTTATTATTTTAAATATTATTCTAATAACAAATCAAATTAATATTTTATATATAAAAAATCAAATATAATTAATTTGTAGAGATATTTAATTTATCAAAATTTATAAATAAGCGAAAATTTATGTATTTGAGATTTAATTTGTCATGTCGTGTTGAGATTTGACGCATCATAAGTTTCCCCACATACATGCCAACTTAGTTGCCACATCATCACTCTTTATGTGATTTACCACTTTCACTGTGCATGCAAATTTCATGCCAAATTTTCAATTGAAAAAAATTAGTTCAGGCCGGATGTAAATGTAAACTTTTATTTGATGAAATGAGACTTCACGTGTGATATTATTTAATTTATTTTTATATGATTTAATAATATTTATATAAAGATTTATTTGCAATAAGAGAAATTATTTGAAATCAGAATTAGGTAAAGATAATTTTTTTAAACATATACTTATTCTCAAAAAAATAGAATTAGTTTTTTATTTCAAACTATAAATCACTTTCCTTCTTGAAAATAGTTAATTTCTCAATTATTTAATATATTCTTTCCTTTTTTTTGTATTTTACTCTTTAAAGTAATATTATTTGATATTAATATAAAGACACATTAACAAAATGCATGTAGGACTTTATTATTTAAACTATAAAAATAAAAACAAATTTATCATTATAGAACTGGGAATAATATTAGTTTTTATTTTCATGAAAGCAGCGTAGAGTATATCTATCAATAAGAAAGGGCCCGTTGGCAACTTCACATTTCAAGTTTCATCTTCGATGAAATTGCCAAATGGAAGACTTTTTATTGAAAAGTCGTACCGTGAAATTCAAACCTTGTGCTGCCCACAGCGACTGGAACACTGGAATGAGAAACTGCGATCTCTGAAATGACAAAAACACCCATTCCTAACTCACCGACGTAGAAAATGACACATGAACCGAAGGGTAATTCTGTCTCAGAACAAAAATCCATGTCCAAAATAACTTGCCATAAATTTCTCAGTTCCAACATATAACGGACGTCCTAAAACTGCCACCGCCACCAACTTCCGGTCCTAAAACACTGTTCGGTACTCATCTACATCTCTTGTTCCGCATTTTAATTCAAATACAAGGAAATATCGGCTCAGTTTTGCGTGGAAATTAGTGTTTTCCTTTTTCAATTTCGCTTTCGTTTGGCATGCTTCGGCTGATTCGTTAGGGTTTAGAAGCTAATTAGAAAATGGCGAAAGTGAGACATTCCAGATTTCAAGCTAGGAAATGGTCGACAATGACGTTGATACTGACGATGTTATTTATGCTAACGGTGGTTCTTTTGATGCTTTTGGCTCTTGGGATCTTTTCTCTTCCTATAAGCAACGAGGATTCGACTCCTATTGATCTCACCACCTCCTATAGGCGTATGACCGTCGAAAGGTATTTATCTTTTTATTTTTCTACAAATTGACGGTGATTTGATGACTATTTGATTCTTATATATATTATGTTGAAAATTTTTGGCGGGGCTTTGATGCAGAGATGGCGATGGCCAGGAGAAGAGAGAAGAGCAATGGACTGAAATTGTTTCTTGGGAGCCTCGAGCATTCCTCTATCACAATTTTTTGGTTAGTCTCCAAAGTTAATAAAATTCTACCTGGAAGCTATTTTTTCAATTAAATTACTATGATAGCTCTATTGAGATGTTTTGCACTTCATACTTACATGATACGATAAGTTGCTGCCATTATATTAGGCACATAGAATTCTGCTCATAATTAGCTTAGCATTCCCATGGTTCTGCAAATAATGTTACAGTCATAGGCATTTCCATCTGCTTTAAGCTTGTTGTCTAATGGATTATGATATATCTGTTTTGCTGTAGCACCGAACCCATTAGCTTGTTTTTAATTGGTTGTGTGATTAAGATCCTCCTTCTAATCTTATAATAAAGTTCTGATAATTCAAATGAATTTTTCTCGCATACTTGATAGAAGCATAATTTCGGTTTCCATAATTTTGACCATGGATACTGATGTGAACAGTCAAAAGAAGAATGTGAGTACCTAATAGCTTTGGCTAGACCTCATATGGTAAAGTCAACTGTTGTAGATAGCAAGACAGGTCGAAGTAAAGATAGCAGGTATGAGTTTCTTGTATTACCTCTTCAGTCTGTTTGTAGATTGTAAATTATAGGGGTTTGCACTGTCCTCTTAATTTTATTTCCTAAATTAATTTGTATGCACTCTATTGCAGGGTGCGGACTAGTTCTGGGATGTTTCTGAGGAGAGGACGAGATAAAATCATTAGGAACATTGAAAAGAGGATAGCAGATTTCTCTTTCATTCCTGTAGGTATGACATTCAAAAACATTAGAATGAATGTTTAAATTTGGCATACAATAATAAACTTAAGATGTTAGACCAGAAGAATCTCCTCTGCTGATTAGGCACATCCAGACATGACATTTTGTAAAGTCTGATTGTTCATTTTTATCTGTTGCATTTTGAAATATTCAGTGGCAAGAAAGGTGACGATCTCTTTCTTTCTTTTATTTATTTATTTTTAAATAAGATCTCTAATTTCCAAAACTTGTCACTAAAACTTGTACGGGGACAGGCAAACTGCGCCTTCTTGTACCACCTTTTTATTTACACACTATCTTAACCTCACTATATATTTGTATGGGTTGCATGGCATGAATATTTTAAATTTCGTATGTTGTTTTGTCTGGAGGTTGTTGATACTCTAATGCATTTTGAATATACAAGGCAGTGGTTTACTTTTTTCCTGAATTTTAAGTGCCCTTTGGCACTGGCAAGCTCTAACTTCTCATTTAGCATGTTTTCCATTTTTCATTTAATGAATTGTTGAAAGGTGATTTAGGTCATGGGCGAATGGTACATGGGTAATGCATGTTGTAGTAGTATTCTATTGTTTCCTTACATTCTGAACTAGTTGCTTGAATTCTTGTACTGTACGTTTGAACTTGCTTTATGGCATGCAGAGCATGGAGAAGGACTTCAAATTCTTCACTATGAAGTTGGACAGAAGTATGAAGCTCACTATGATTATTTTCTTGATGAGTTCAACACTAAGAATGGTGGCCAACGAACAGCAACTCTTCTAATGTATCTGTAAGAATATCTACATTGGATGCAATGCTACTTAAATTTGTGTTTGTGGTATCTTGGAATATTGCTTATACTTTTTACTCTTCTCCTGTTACTTCTGTCCTGATGCAGGTCAGATGTTGAAGAAGGGGGTGAGACAGTGTTTCCTGCTGCCCAGGCAAACATCAGCTCTGTACCATGGTGGAATGAGTTGTCAGAATGTGGCAAACGGGGTCTTTCAGTGAAACCGAAGATGGGCAATGCATTGCTGTTCTGGAGCACAAGGCCTGATGCTACACTAGACCCTTCAAGTTTGCATGGTTAGTAGCTTTAAGTGAGACTCAAATGATTCAGCAGTTTTTCTTACATGTATACTGGAGAAGAAAAACATTTGATCCTAATGGTTATCTGATTCTTGATATTAGGTAGTTGCCCTGTAATTAGAGGAAACAAGTGGTCAGCTACAAAGTGGATGCATCTCGGGGAGTACAAGGTCTGAGCCAGTATTAGTAAAGGTACTTCTCATTTCCTAAACAGTCATGGTTTATTTATATTATTCCAGATCTCTTTGTTACCACCTGTTATTCAATCTCCAAGTCCCAATTTCATTTAACGTAAACTTTGAAGTCCTCATAGCTTATTAAATTATTAAAATTGGTATTGGCAACCTGGCGGAAGGGTGCATGGTTGAGCTGTTGATAAACTTGGTGTGTTGGACAATGTCAAGTTGTTTTGTTGTGATTATAGAGGATGTTGGATTAGAGTAAATTTGAAATAAGGACAATCAAGAATAAGTATATATTGTTAATTGAGCCAGTACATAACAGTGTAATATATGTGAATCCTCTTGATAATTCCCCTCCCCCCCCCCCCTGTGATATAGAGGATGTTGGATTAGAGTAATTTGAAAATAAGGACAATCAAGAATAAGTATATATTGGTTAATTGAGCCAGTACATAACTAGTGGTATATAATGTGAATCTCTTGTAAATTCCCCTCCCCCCCCCCCCCCCCAACAAACCCCCCCCCCCCCCCAACAAAAAAATACAAAGTTGCAGATACGCATCCTATAAAGCCCATCCAGCACCTACCTCCCATCTATTTCTATTTTCTTCAGGAATGGAAGCCTCTGTCGTATTAAATTACTGTGCCTATTTACTTTCAGCATTATAATTTGCAGACCGTAATTATACGCATTTTTCTCATCCTTCTCCATCTGCAGGATTATTTGTGGTGGTGAATGGTGAATTCTGTTTTCCAGACACAGTAGTGAATGCCTGATCCCTTAAAGTTAGCATACAAGATAATTACAACTTAGGCTTGACATTTTTTTTTTTTACTCCTCATTTGATGTACCCTTTTAACTTTTCTAACTATTGGGGTAATTTAATTAGGAGTTGTTTGGACTTCTGTGGTCCTGAAGGATATCTTTTGTACTTACAAATATACTTGGGGATAGAAAGACAAGCTGCAATAGGTGATGCATCACTCTCAGTGGGTAACTGTAAACAAACAAAATAATGGCTGGAATACAAGTCGTCTGATTTTAATTTAGTTTGGCTGCTTCTATAAATTTCACTTGTTAGACTGACTTCCTATCCCGTTTTCGTCTCTTGGGAAATAATTGATTTTGTTAATGATTTTCTTTCTTTTTTTAACTTGAATTGCCAGTGTCGAGTCAGTAGCACTGTCGAAAACCGAACATGTTTGGTCTTTCTTCTTGTGTTCACACTGGCTCTTGAGGTGGACCAGGGCCGATCTACACAATAGTCCAGTTGAGGTTTGGGCTTTGGTGGCCCAAATCCAACAGAATCCAAACTTAAGGGGCCGATTGAAGTTGCAAGTCAAAACCATATAAAATGCAAGTTTGACATGCTACTGCCTAAGATTCGCCATTTATGTTGGCTACACATTACATTACAATCTACATGTGCAATATTTGGGATTTTTTTTTTTTTTTTTTTTTTTTTGGGATTTTTTTTTTTTTTTTTTTTTGGGAAGATCGACATTTGGATGTATAGTAAATTACTGATTTGGCTTTTTTTTTTTTTTTTTTTTTGGGAGATCGACATTTGGATGTATAGTAATTACTGATTTGGCTTTTCGCTCCTAAAAAGGCCATAAAAATGTAAAATAGTGGGGGAAAAGGGTATGAAGACACGATGTCCTCCTCCAGTTGTCGTGAGTGATGTGGTTGCCCGCTCTGCCTGCCAAACGGACAATATTCAACCTTATTATCAAGAAACTTCTTTGCAGTTTCCTTTTCGTGTTCTCCTTTTTACCGACCGATGGTCCAATACCATGCATCAATAAACTCACAACTTTACTTTTTTTTTTTGTTACCATTAAATTATGTTTTGGCTGCTATTATAATGTTGTTTTAGTTAAAAGAAAAATTAAAGGTTAAAATAGTTATTTATATAAAATTTAGCACAAGAGGAATTTCGCACGTGAAAAAAGTAAATTTCATTCGAGTTACAAGATTAACTATTATGTGGATATTACATGCATAATTCGAAGGTAAATACAATAATAATATGTAAATCTTTGGGTAAATATAATTTTATATGTATAAATTATTCGAAGCTAAAGCTGTAGTTTGATGGGTGATTTCATAATTTCCAACTTTTAACGGACCACATACGGTAACGGAAAAATGCAAAGCAATGAGTAGGCGTCCATCAGTCCATGATTGTAAACGATTTAACGATACGAAAAAATCGTTATGGGTTGAGAAAAAACGGATCGAAAGCGAACCGGACTGATTTCGTTTATTTTCCTCAATCATTTTCCCATTTTACGCCATAAACGATTGAACAGAAGCTGAAGCTGTGAGTGTCACCTGTGCGTTCCTTCTGCCCTTATCAGATCTCGCCTTGATTTTAACTTCAAGTCGATAAGCTCATAAATTCGTTCATCGTTTTGTATCTGCTGTTCGATGCTTCAATTCTATTTGATCCTATAAAGCACTGATTTATCTTTGGATGGTTCGATTGATGAGATTTCAGAGTTCGTTCTCAGTGTCTAATTTCGTCTTGTTTTTGTATCAATCAGATTGGACTTGAAGGATGGGAATGGCAGAGAATAGTTTGGAAGTGGAGGAGGGAACGCTTGAGATTGGCATGGGTGAGTTCTTACATTTTCTCCAACTGTTCTGTCTTATATAAATATTTTGATTCTTCAGCTCTTAAATCTGATTTCACGTTTGGTTTTTTTTTGCGCTAAAATATGCATCGGTCTTTATATAGAGTATTCATCATAACTTATCCTATTTGCAGAGTATAGAACAGTCTCTGGTGTTGCCGGGCCACTGGTTATTCTCGACAAAGTCAAGGTTGATGTCCTTTATTTGATTTATTCTACTGTGATCACCGAATGTGAATGACATCTGTTTTTTTAAATGGTAACGGTACCATAACCGTTCAAATGTTTCAGGGTCCAAAATACCAGGAGATTGTTAACATTCGTTTAGGAGATGGAACGGCTCGTCGTGGTCAGGTCTTAGAAGTTGATGGGGAGAAAGCTGTTGTGCAGGTTATTATTTGCGGCTTTTGTAAGCTTTGATTATGTGTATTTGCGTGTAAACATGCTGCGAAAGTTTATTTGCCTTTTAATTAGCTTTTGGACTCGGTGCATTTTAATTGCTTCATGTTGATTTTTTGTGCCTCTTCTTTTACTTTCTTGCATTCTTGTACTGTGTCAGATTAAGCTCCATGAGCAACGAAGAAGCTTCCCCTTCTTCTCTCCCTCCCCTTCCTCTTCATTTTTGTATAGAAATCTATTGTTAATTGAACATGATTTTAATAAATGTAACTAAATTCATTTTTTCTTTTCTATGTTTTGTTCCTGAACATTCAATTGATTGAGTACAATTTGCACCTAAATCATGGGCTTCTCTCAAAAATTTAATCACTTGAGAGTGGCCTGAGCAAGGTGCAGACAGAAATGAGGAAAATAAAGATACCTGAAAGATGGGATCCACCAATGAAGTGCCACTTAGGGTGGCTTTTTTCTGTTGATTCCATCGCACATTTTTCTTCTTTTTTGCTATTATTTTTTCACCAATTTTTATCTTGCACTTTTATCATGGGCTGCACCCTTATTTCTGATGCTGCAGCCTTGAGCGCATATACTAATGGCTGGTTAACCACCAGCAGCCTACAAGGGCGAGTGTTTGGTGCCGTTTAGTATACTAAATTAGCATTTTCTTTTTCCCCTTTAACCATCAGCATAGCTTTTCTGTCATTATAGTGGAGCAATTTTGACGTGCTTATCACTCTTTATTTAAACGCCTTCGGCATGTATTTTCTCCTGGCCTGTCAAAGTAAAGGCTGCTACTGGACAGCAAGTTTCTCCTTGTTGCTTTAGGCAATTAAAGTTGCTCATTTCCTCTGTTATTACATTGTATCAGGTTTATTTTTCTCTTTTTGCAGGTTTTTGAAGGAACCTCTGGTATTGACAACAAATACACAACTGTGCAATTCACAGGAGAGGTACAAAGTTTCCTTTCTTTCGGTTTGTTACAGTTATTTGGCTTCAACTGTTGGTTGAAATAGGTTGGTAAACCTTGTGACTGGCCATATCATCAATATGTGCAAAATACAAGAATTGTTGAAACCCCCACACTGAATTACATTTGTTTGATCAAAGGAAACTTTCTTTCTTTTTTTTTTTTTTTTTTTTTTTTTTTACCTGAAATTAACATTGTTTGATCCAAAGGAAAACTTTCTTTCCTTTTTTTTTTTTTTTTTTTTTTTTTTTTGTTGGGTGCTTTTTTTAACTAACATTCTACTCAATTGAAATCAAATACAATTAAAAGCTAGGATTTGAAGGGCATTCCAGTTTTTTTTTTTTTTTTTTTTTTTTTTTTTTTGTTGGGTGCTTTTTTACTACATTCTACTCAATTGAATCAAATACAATTTAAAGCTAGGATTTTGAGGCATTCCAGTTTATCAACTGGAAATTTCAGATTTTTTTTATCATGGATAAGGCGGAATTGTTGAAGATTTCTTAGAATTTCATTCAATTCATTTGATTAATAAACTAGGTACCAATTCTAAGTAAAAGGAGCAAGATTTTATACATGGAGAAGCCTAAGTCACTCTCTTAAAAGAAGTTTTTTTGAGATTTCTGTATATTCCATGGGAATGGATTCTCATGCCTCATGTAATGACCATGGGTGAATATGCATCAAGGTCGGGGCTATTCTTGTTATTATTAATATCAAGTTCTTTCTTTGAATTTTATTATTTTAATATCATAACTCCCCTTATCATGTTTATTTTGCAGGTTTTGAAAACTCCTGTATCATTGGATATGCTTGGTCGCATTTTTAATGGTTCTGGAAAACCCATTGATAATGGTCCTCCAATTTTGCCTGAGGCTTACCTAGACATATCTGGTGAGAGTTGTTGCAGATATCATGACAATTGCACCATCAGTGGATGCTGGAAAGTTTATTGTTTTTCGTTGGTTCTGATTGTAAACCTTGGCTGTCTTACTCAGGAAGCTCAATCAACCCCAGTGAAAGAACCTATCCTGAAGAGATGATACAGACTGGGATTTCTACCATTGATGTCATGAATTCTATAGCTCGTGGTCAGAAGATTCCACTTTTTTCTGCTGCTGGTCTTCCTCACAATGAAATAGCAGCTCAGATTTGTCGCCAGGCTGGTCTTGTAAAGAGGCTCGAAAAATCTGGAAATCTCACGGAGGTATGTGGTGTATAATACATGATGTTTCATGAATCCAAAAACATGCTTGAGAAGGTGGATCTGATTTGTTCAGTTAGAACTGAGTTTATGGTGTATTTTTTGGATCTTTTGTCACTGGACATCAATATATTACTTCTTTGTTACTGAATTACCAGAAGTGGCGACTTAAAATAACATATAGTTCTGAAATATCATCTATTATGGTCCAGCCATTTATTCGACATTTCAGTTCCCAACTACTATCCAGGTTGAAATAGTCTTGGAAGGTAGTCTGACTTTTAAGATATAATTTTCAAAGTTGAAAGAAAAAGAAACTATTGTAGTTTGAAGAAAAGTTATTTGAAAGACGGTAGTTCAGATGATTTTGCCTTCAATATTTAGGGTAAGCACATTTGTTGCCTTTTTTTTCATCTTATTTGTATTCCTTTTTAGTGAACTTAAAACGGTAATTTTCTTCCCCATGCCATGACTTTGACTGCAGGATGGGGAAGAGGACAATTTTGCCATTGTATTTGCAGCCATGGGTGTAAACATGGAGACAGCCCAATTTTTCAAGCGTGATTTTGAGGAAAATGGATCAATGGAGAGAGTGACCCTTTTCTTAAACTTGGTAACCTTAAATAAATTAATCTTTCATCCTTCTTTTGTATGGTTGTTCTCGACCTTTTCTTTATTGAATGGAAGTTGCTTTAAGTATTCATTTGCAATCAATATATTTCCATTGTGCAGGCCAATGATCCCACCATTGAGCGTATTATTACCCCTCGAATTGCTCTCACAACTGCAGAATATTTGGCTTATGAATGTGGAAAGCATGTTTTAGTTATCCTGACTGATATGAGTTCTTATGCCGATGCTCTTCGTGAGGTAATAAATTTTATTTTGTCAAGTGTTCTGGAAATGTTTCGTACTACATTTGAACCAGATAAAAGGTGTCCGGAACTTTAAGTTGACATATCTTGCACCATTGGGAGCATGGAGTTCTGTCTTTCATAAGTTTTTTGACTTTGCATCTGACTTCCTGCAATTCATTGGTTTGACCTACCTGCCATTGTCAATTCTCACTCCAGGTATCTGCTGCTCGAGAGGAGGTGCCAGGAAGGCGTGGATATCCTGGGTACATGTATACTGATCTGGCAACAATTTATGAGCGTGCAGGACGTATTGAAGGGAGAAAGGGCTCAATCACTCAAATTCCAATTTTAACTATGCCGAATGATGGTATTTTTTGCATTCACCATAAAGAAAGTACTACCTAGCAAGCTATTTCGCTTTTATCTATTGTTTATGGAGTATTTTGGTCTTTGAACAGACATCACACACCCTACTCCAGATCTTACTGGTTATATTACTGAGGGTCAGATATACATTGATAGGCAACTTCACAATCGGCAGGTGATTTTGTAAACATATTCTCAGTCAATTTATGCCTATTTCCCCTGAAAAATTGTTTCATTAATCAGGCTTTGTTAATGCTTACTAGGATAGGATTGTTTATATATTTACTTTTCTGAAGCCCTTTTTAAATAATTTTTTTTAAAACAAAAAATTGTTATGCAAGTTGCTTGGTCAGCAACTGTGTACTTATTGATTCTTCTTGTGAGCAGATTTATCCTCCTATTAATGTGCTTCCATCACTTTCTCGACTTATGAAGGTAAGATGTCATTTCTTCATGCTAAATATTGTATCCTTGCAGATACACAATTTGGAAAATTCATTCTTAAGCTTTAGTCTTTAATATGTCTCAGAGTGCTATTGGTGAGGGAATGACCCGTCGAGACCATGCTGATGTGTCCAACCAGGTTTTATTTCTTTGCCATCATTTTGCTGAATCATTTCATGACTCTGTTTAGGTCTCTTAATCCCTCTTGATTTTGAACTTCAGTTATATGCAAATTATGCTATTGGAAAAGATGTCCAGGCGATGAAAGCTGTGGTTGGAGAGGAAGCACTTTCTTCTGAGGATCTGGTTTGTTCACTCTCTCTCCATATTTATGTGTGTTTGTGTGGTCTGTATCAGCGGGAACTTCGATACAAATTTTTATATAAAAATTTGCCAGTATGGCCAATTATATTTTTGATCTTTGATTTAGTTGTTATTGTTGTTTTGTTTTCGGTCGCCAGCTTTATCTAGAATTTCTGGATAAATTTGAGAGGAAATTTGTGACACAAGGGGCCTATGACACCCGCAACATCTTCCAGTCACTCGATCTGGCCTGGACACTACTCCGTATCTTCCCTCGTGAGCTTCTTCACCGAATTCCAGCTAAGACGTTGGATCAGTACTACAGTCGTGACACAAACTGAGCTGAAAAGGGAAGCACCTTTCACTTATTTCACTCCACTTTTCAGATAAAGAGTTTGCATCACTTTTGAACTGCTTGTCTAGCTTTTATAGTTATGGAAATTCTTTGGTTTTAGTACCCACAAGGTCTTTGTAACAACGCATGTTTCACTTTTTATTGTAATTCCTTTGCTGCACTTTGGCCAACTGAAAATAATAGGAAGTTCTGTAGAAACCCAAAGGCCCTTTGTATTAAATTTATTATCCCCATATTGAAATATAAGAAACTCGTGTAAATCATCCTTGGATATGGAAATATCTTTTGGGAGGGAATCAGTATCCAGAAGCTTGGAAGTGCCAAAAAAAAAAAAATAAATAAATTGAAGATGGCGAAGCGAAAATAAAAAATTTGTATTTTCATTAAATTCTAAAAATGAGAATTGTCATTTAAATGAGACCCTGTGTATAAGTAAACTTATAAAAGAATCAATTAGCAGAATAGCGTTCTGTACCATACTAACTTACATTATGCATGTGACTTCCCATTTTACATACGGTAGCGATTCGCGTTCTGGATAATTTGGTTCTGCACAATGGGCAAGAACTGTGTTTGACAAACCACTTTCGAATACACACAAGATGAAATGTGTGTCGGCAATGGGGCAAGCAACAAACTGTTTCCCCCAAGTCGAAGTCCTGCACGATCATTTCACAAGAACAAGAAAGACGAATTAGAGATTTAAAAACTAAATAATTGAAGATTATGGAAACTGAAGAAAGTAATAAAGTCGAAAACCTGAAGGCAAATCGAGCAAGATGGTCCATTCCATAAGGTCTCCACAATGTTTTCAGGTGTAAGCCTAATCTTTGAAGAATGCTTCTTTTCCCGATGGACCTCATTCTGAACTATACTGAATGCATCTGCCTAAACAAACACAACATTTTTCATATTAAACCAAATGCTTAACCATCCAATATTTAATATTGAATAATTATGTATTTCTCCATATTAATTAATCACCTGACTTTCTTCTTGAGCTTGGTTGGTTGGACTAAGCCTTCCTCGTATGAGTATTCCCTTTAGGTAGTTTGAAGCAAGTTCAATCTTTAAAAGAGAACGGAAGAACATCAATTACCGGTTGCAAGTCATGAATTGATTAGTGCTTGCGAGAAATTAATTAGCATGGAACTTACCAAAGAAACGAAGCATCCAATAGCTAAATCATCAGAATCCCAAACACCAAAAGATACTAAAAAGATTTCAGCAGAGAGAATAAACCCCATAATAGTTCCAACTGTGGCTCCATGAAATAACCCACTCTCGCTTTTCACTCCTACCATAGCTCCAGAAATGGCTCCCAAGGTTGTGCCAACTGCAAACAGAAAATTACCACTTTACCATATGAATATACGACAATGGTTGCCTTCAATTTCATTTACTAGTAAAACATCCCAAAATGTGTTTAACGTTGCGTGATGGTCATGTTCTATCCAGATACGGAGACGGCTAGTCGTCTTAAAGCATTTTTTGGCTTCACGTATTTTTGTTCGTTACCTAATTTTACACGCAATGCTAAATTCCACGATTCATTCTTCTCCAACTACTGACATGGCGAGCCAATCTATGGCAGCCCATATAGGCTACCCTTAGCAATTCTTTACATCTTAATTAGCTAGAGGAGAAAAAGACGAGGAGGAACTCACCTACTGCGAACAGAAATGCCACGATTGCGAAAAACAAGCAGCAAAATATTGCAGAAATCGAAGCAGAAGCCCACAAAGCAAAAGAAGAAGATGCGCATATTTCCATTACTATCTCCCTTTTGGTTGAAAACTCGAAAATTATTAAGTTAAAAACAAAAAGAAAGATACCCCAGGTGTGAGCAAGCTTTATCCTGGCTGGCCAGAGATATATCAAATGAGCAGAGCAGCAAATGATACAAAACAAAAAGAATATTGGTAGAGAGAGATTTTGTTTTCAAACAATGAGAAAAGAAATGAGAGTTGAATCATAATAAAGCAAGAGCCTTGGTCATCAAAGCTGACCGGATCAGTCTGGTTTTGACGCCATACGTAAGAAAAGATCAACTTGTTTTGGGACATTAATTTTACGTTGAGCACTCTGGTCGTTGTCTGCTTACAAATATCACTGTTTGGAATAAACTTTGAAAAGTAAACAACTAAAGATAGAAACAAGCAACAACTTTGGAAAATCCTCCAAATAAGACCATTTTATATAATTCTGAGTCTGTCGCATAGTCAATTAGTCATCTTCCACGAAATGAACTTTTAGATTTCCTAAATTTAGAAAAAAAAAAATTAAACCTAGGAATGGGTAAACTGACTGTTCATGACTCTCTATTCCTAAAGCCTTTCTTTTCAATGTTCCTAGGCTTCCATCCTAGCAATTATTGCGAAGAACACTTTGATTGTACAGGAGGAGTCTCTGTGAGTTTGGTGAAGTGGGTTTTTGAAATATGGAAACTCGGATTGCTCAGTATTCAACCTGCACAACTCGACTAGCTGTTTATTTAATTGTTTTATTTGATAAGACTATGCTTGGTTTATAAACATGCTCAATTAGAAAAGAAGTTTCAAAAAAAATATCATTATTTTTCTTTTTCATGTAATAGATAATTTTTTTCCTGTCTATTAGCTGGTTCTGAGCGTAGGTAAGTTTTCTGGGTCTCATCAACTCTTATTGAACATTCGTACCGGATCAAATTTGAGTGAGAGAATTTAATATGGGTTTACTGATAAATTTTAGTATTTTTTTACTTTTTACTTTTTGCAACGTGTTTTATTCCGGCCCTGAAAGGCTGAAACTTTTGCTCTGTATAATGGGTGTATCATGTGCTGGTTCTCGTTACCCATTAAGGCCCAGTAAGACTTTCTGCTACAGATTGAGAGACGGAGAATGTTTTGGGCTCAGAATAGTTTTTTTTTTATTATTATTATTATTATCAGATAATCAACTGGATGTGAAAGTGTGATGGTTTCATAAATTGTGGGAAATTTCCTTATTGCACACACGAAACGACAACAAAACACAAACAAAACGGTGAGATGGCATGGAACATGTCACCATACTTCATTTACTATTAATAATAAAAAAGTCAGTAGCTTTTGAAGTTCCTAATACGAAAGTAAGTGCCTTCCCTTCTGTCTGTCTCTTCTTCTAGTTTTACTTTAACTTAACATCTTCGTCTAGGCAGAGACAAAGCAAAGCAAAAGCTTATATGAGCAAAAAGTTAGAAATGATACCCAATACCATCCAAGACGCAAAAGCAAAGCACCCAAAAAAGTAGAATAAACCCATCGATCCAAAATAACCATATATTTTGATTTTTTTCATATATGCTTTCCTAACAAATCGAAACTCACCGCCTGAACACACAAAATCTTCGCGTCTTTTCTTCACTATGGGACTCTGTTTTAGCAAATCCTGTTCCCGTAATATTCTTATCTCTTCCTCAGACTCACCTTCTCATACTCCGCCAAGAAGACCAACAACAACCCAAGACCGATATTACCCACCACAGCCACCACCTCCGGTTCGGCCTAGAACGACTCCCTCTTCCACATCTTTAGCTTCAAACATTGGCCCTGTTCTTGGAAAACCTTATGTTGATATAACCGCACTCTATGATCTTGATAAAGAATTGGGCAGAGGCCAATTTGGGATCACTTATCTTTGCACAGAAAAGGCAACTGGATTAAAGTACGCTTGCAAGTCTATTTCCAGGATTAAGTTAGTGAATGACAAAGATATTGAGGATGTTAGGAGAGAGATTCTGATAATGCAACACCTTTCGGGACAACCCAATATTGTTGAATTTAAAGGTGCTTATGAAGATAGGCAAACTCTGCATTTGGTAATGGAGCTCTGCTCTGGTGGAGAGCTTTTTGATCGGATTATAGCCAGAGGAAGCTATACGGAGCGTGAAGCGGCCTCGATTATGAGGCAGATTGTGAATGTGGTTCATGCGTGTCATTTTATGGGGGTGATGCACAGAGACTTGAAGCCTGAGAACTTTTTGCTTGTTAGTAAAGAAGAGAAGTCTCCATTAAAAGCTACTGATTTCGGACTCTCTGTTTTCATCGAACAAGGTAACAATTACTTCTTTCTCTTCAATTTTTGTATCCTGCTTTGCTTATTCTTTAGCTTTTGTTGAAATTACAAGACAAGATTTTGGAGTTGGATCCTGAATTATTAGCTTAACTACAAAATTCCAAATTTTGATTTAGATAAGATATTAAATATCTGCAGAAATTCTTAACTAACAAGAACAGAGATTTGGCAGTTTGGAGCCCAGATTTTCTTATTTCATTATGGGTCAACGGGACCAAGTCAATGGAGACAGGGACCGGTATACCGCGTCAACGGTTCTTTTATAATTTACACGAGAAATATGGGAAAAAGGACAGCAATAAAATGAGTGACCAGAGACTAAGCACTGTCCCACTGCTCCTACTGACAAACGTATTACAGTGACAATTCACAAACAAATGAAAGCACCATTAAAATCCACCACACGACACAACATAAGAGCTCTATTAATTTATGTTGTGAACTTCTATCGCTGTTATTGTAAGAGATAACGATGAAACATCATGCAAATTAACGTGATAAAGCTTTATCTTGTGTTTAACGTTGAGGCTTTATAATTAATTACCTGAACTTGTGGCTGTAAATTTCTTATCTTCTTCAGGTAAAATTTACAGAGACATTGTTGGAAGTGCATACTATGTTGCTCCAGAGGTGTTGAATAGGAATTATGGGAAGGAGATTGATGTGTGGAGTGCTGGTGTCATTTTATACATTCTTCTAAGCGGAGCGCCTCCATTTTGGGGAGGTATATATTTTTTTTAATTACTCCTTTTTAAATGTTTCAAACTGAAATATTCTTATACTAGTGTGTTTGGATTGATAAATAAATATGAAATTCTGTTTTCATTTCATCTCTGACTGATAAAAAAATATCCTGATAGAAAATGAGAAGGGAATATTTGAAGCAGTTGCAAAAGGCCAACTTGACTTACAAAGCTCACCATGGCCTAAAATTTCATCTTCTGCTAAGGACCTGATCAAGAAAATGTTAACAAGAGACCCCAAGAAACGAATTACCGCTGCCCAAGCACTTGGTAGATTACTACTGCGTTATTATTATAATTATTCATGAAAATTTTTGATTTGCCAGAAGCCTAAATTGATCTGCGAAGTGTTTGATTTGATTAATATACACATATAGAACATCCGTGGCTAAAGGTGGATGGCGAAGCGTCTGACAGGCCGATCGACAGTGCTGTCCAAAGTAGGCTAAAGCAGTTTAGAGCAATGAACAAATTAAAGAAGCTTGCATTAAAGGTACGATTAACGGAACGTATTTTAATTAGGTAGCGGACATATATAGCTAATCCGAAAATTTAATGTCTTGAAGGTAATAGCAGAAAACCTTTCAGAAGAAGAAATACAAGGCTTAAAGCAGATGTTTAACAACATAGACATAGATAGAAGTGGTACCATCACATACGAAGAACTCAAAGCTGGATTGGCAAGATTAGGATCCAAGCTTACTGAAGCAGAAATAAAGCAGTTGATGGATGCTGTAATTAAGAACTATTTAATTTCCTTCTTATCATGAACATACTTAATTACTGTGTTTTAACAGTAATTAGAAGCTTAATTTTGTGTTTCCTGTCAGGCTGATGTCGACAACAGCGGCACTATTGATTATGTCGAATTCATTGCAGCGACAATGCATCGACATAAACTGGAGAAGGAAGAACACTTGTACAGGGCTTTCCAGTACTTTGACAAGGATAATAGTGGGTTAGTGCATAGCTTCCTGTTTAGCCATGCAAATCTTGCTCTGGTTTTTGAATCATTTCTTTCTCATGCATTTGTTTAATTCCATCAGGTTTATCACAAGAGATGAACTGAGAGAGGCCATGGCTCAATATGGAATGGGAGATGAAGCAACAATTGATGAAATCATTGATGATGTTGATACTAATAAAGTAATTATAATTATTTTCCTTTCAATCTTTCAAATTCATTATCCCCATTGTAGAATAATCTTATTATGGTTGATTGTTTATGAATGCAGGATGGACTAATCAACTATGAGGAGTTTGTGGAAATGATGAGAAAGGGAACACAAGGTATTTAATGGAGGGAAATTGAGATAAATTATGTAAATTTGAAAAAATCACATTTCGTAATTATATCGATCAATCAAATAAAATTTGTTTCTTCTGTCTTCTATAGTTCTTGCTCTCTCTATTTCAAGTCTTTAATCACTTCTATTAGTTGTTTACAAATCAAATAATAGTGAAAAAGGAAAAATTGCATTTAATATAAGGGTGTCTACTGTATACATTGATCAAATGAACAGTAAAAATATCCGGAATCAACAGATTTAGTGCCATCAATTTCACCTGACAACTGGTAATTTCCTCCCAGAAGATATGATACACACATCTTGTGTCAAAAGGAATACAATCAAGAAAATTGTATGCACTTAAATATCCATCTGCTGAGGGAAAAGTTTTCAACTTTGAACTTTAATTGTTAATTAATGCTAGTACTAGGCTTACAAGCGAAACCAATATCAAGACCAAGGTATGAACACAACAGTAACATCCGAAGCTGAATTAGCAAACGTTAATTAGCACAAACACCCAACCTTAATTAAAATTATTCATCGACCACGCGCAGATCCACCATGGTCGACAGCTCGAACACATTTAGGATGCACCTCATACCCACATTCAAGGCACTGATAAGCCCAACCAGACCCTTGCTCATCACAATCACAACAAATGAAAGGTCCACCTCCAGTTCCTTCTGATACTAAATTGAGCTCATGTTTATGCCCTATATGATACTCTGATCTTGGTAAGTTCTTAGCTTCTTCCTCCATTTGTTTCTCTAGCAGTTCAACTCTTGCCTCGGTAAAAGGGTATGCCTTTTCTTGATACAAGTTTATCAGGTTCCTCCCATGTCTAGTAATGGTTTTACCATCAGGACCTAAAATTATCAAACAGGGAATTCCCTGCACTTCAAAATGCTTTGCTAGAGATTTTATTGTTGGGTCTCCAAATGGCAATGCTAGCCATGGCATGATACTGAAGTAGGATTCAAACCCTTGTTGATCTCGATCAGTCGACACGTATACAATTTCAAAATCTTCATCATCTTTCTGCTTCACCATCTGCTTAATCTTGTTGTAGATGGAGATGAGCTTGGGGGTGAATTTCAAGCCTGGGCGACACCATTCAGCTGAGAAGAAAAGTCCGATAGTTTTGCCAACAAGAGAATCAACTGCCACCTGCAAAGGAACAAAATTTACAGAACTAATGACTAAATTTTGAAAAAAACCGAATTATCAATTTTAATTCATTGGCCTTACCTTGAGCACTAGAGTATGGAATATGGATACCTATTGACCAGGACAAGTTAAATTAACCATCCACTCTGGTTACTCCTTGGATCTTATCTGACACGTCAGATTATGAGATGCTACTTCACTGGTGTGTGGTGATTGATAAGAGAGAGGAAAGAAGGACTAGTGTAGTGGGCATAACTGTACATCAGTTGGGAGAATGTGGTCCAAGGATTGAGACATAGTTTGGTTAGCACTTGGCACAGCCAATCAAAAATCAGCAGGAGTAGATTATATCTCCAGGCGAACTTTAGCGGTAAGGATAGAGTTCAAATCCTGGAGACCTCACTGTTAGGAATATTTTACCTGAATTTCACTCCATGCCCAAACATGAACGTGTATGAAAAAATAATAACAATAATAATAATAATAATAAAGCAAATGAATGGCACATGCATATGTAGCCAGCAGTGCATTATATTTATCTATTGTGCAAGCCTCTTAGCTAATTTCATCAATTTCAGGCTCCTACTATATTGTGCATGGTTTTGTCCCCGACTGAAAAATAAGTGGGCCTAAATATAGCTAAAGAACCGAATGATGGATGAAAACAAAAAAGAAAAAAACAGAAATATTTTTCCTAATTTTTTTATATTTTTGAAACCTAATGAAAAATTGTACCAAAAAAAAAATGTGAATTTTCTTTTTTTATGAAAAAAAGAATCTAGTAAAATCTTGGGTTATGGGTTCAAAAGAATTTGCCAGCAACTTAAAATCAAAACTGCCTCAAAGCCACGAGACCAAGTTCAATTTCAAGCAAGGCAAGGTAAGGACTGACCTGTTTACGTGCAGGATGAGCAAAAAGAAAGTCTCTATGATGATTTGTTAGTAAATTGGTTAAGGTCTGTCTCTCATGCTTCGCCTTTTCTTCCAATTTCAGTTCTTCCAGTCTCTCTTTTGTAAATGGGAAAGCTTGCACTCCAAATCGATAAAGAAGTTCAACTCCATCGTGCAGAGTTGCCTCATCCTTATAATCATGAGGTTGCAGAATAATTAAACAAGGAATACCTTCAATGTTGAATTTATGATCCAAGGCTTTTTTTGTCTCCAAGTCAGGAAATGGAATCGAAAGCCATGGCATTGAAGCTCTGTACTTGTTGAAAGCCTCCAAGTCCTCATCAGAAGATACAAACACAACTTCAAAGTCACACCCATTTCTCTTTAGCTCTTCATATGCACCAACTAAAAACTGGGTGAAACTTCCACATGGCGGATACCAATTAGCTGAAAAGTAGAGCCCTAACACTTTGCCTTCAAGCTCAGAGACTTTAATCTATCACAAAACACATAAATACAGCAATTGAGTTCCTGGTTCTTGATTCTTATCCGCTTGAAATAAGTCATGTGATGACCTTATCCAAATCTTATAAGATTTCATATATTCCCCATTGAAAAGGAAAGGAATTTGTACATGTCAAAAACCTGACGGGTGGGAATCAATGGTGTAAACTAGGAAACTTAATTAACCAATGGAAAAATTATTGCAGGATATTCCCTGGAAAAAATGAGAAGCTCAAGCCACATAATAATAATAATAATAATAATAATATGTAGGAAAAAAAACATGTTAGGAGATAAATGTACAGTAGTTGTGGATGGGACACGTGTTGTAGCTATAGCGTTAATGTAAGGCTAAAGAGAGAATGACACCTGTCGACTCAGCTTGGTGTTCACGGACAAATCACTGTGTATGAAGAAGTGGAAACCCATGCTGATTAAGACAATATATAGCTTATCTCTCTATCAAGCAAGATGAGAATGAGTCATTACAACACACACATCCCATCCCCAGAAAATGACACCCACAAAATTATATAAACACCAACAGAACGTATTCTTTATCCGCCACAAACTTGATTATGGCTTAGGCCACTGTTTGATTACCGACCGACAACACACGATTTCTTAAAATTTAGAAAGACATTTGATATGTATTTTGAAGTATTTACAACCAATTTACACATAAAATAACCCATTAGTTCAAGAAATTAACAATTTTTTTTAGTTTACTTGTGTGTGTGTGTGTGTGTGTGTGTTGATTTACGTTTTATTAGAAATCCAGTAATTAATATTGTCTGAGCAAAACCTAATTTACTAACAAGGAAAGCAAGACTAATTTGGTGTAATGGAAAAATTATTTAAGGATAATATTGTTCAAGAGAGCGATAAAAATTAATTTTATTCGTATATTAGGTAGAATATTAATCTTGGATTTTAAAATAAACTCGACCTTAATCCTAGCTAACTCATCAAGAAGACTATCATATGCACCATAATCTGAAATACAAATACATACTAAAGAAAAAATAAATAAAAATGAAAGAATAAAAGTTGACAGGATTAGTACATGCTTGGAAAGGCAGGAGAAAGCGAGTCCATGAACATGGACATGGACATGGACATGGTCATCATTTCTTTTTCCAGTAAATTTAAAGCACTAAAATAGAATGTTTCAAATATCAGTTTACTTAAAGGACGCTCTCAAGCTCCAGTTAAACTGAAACAAAATATATGAATTAAGATAAGGAAACAGAAAATAATAAATAAATAAATAAATAAAATACCTGAGTTCCATCGGAAGAGAGAAGAAAATCGCGATCTTTAGAGGCTAAAAGAGATGAAAATCTACAGTGAGGCCCTCCGTTAGTTTTGGCTTCTTCAACCAGCAACTTCCTATCTTCTTCCTCTTTTCTCATCTCTCCACTCTCAGTCTCTACCTCCTCTGTAATTTCCTATTTCAAATATTGCAGCTTCTTGCTTATATTCCTTTACCCCATATTCTCACCACACAAACATCATTACATTGCACCTTCATCATACATCACCAAGCCCACACGTAGCATTCACCTCTCTTCAAAAGAAACTCCTATCTATTCTCTTCCCCACATTATCTCAATACAGCTTCGACAACCACTGCCACTCCCTTTACCTAAACTGGACCCGCTTTTATAGAAATCGCCACGTGTACGGTCGTGCATCATCATCTTATGTGAGTGCTAACACTTTATCAACTCTCCTGTGGTGTCATAAAAGACTTTGAATTGATGTTATTGATAGGCAAACAAACACGAGGACACCTGTCTCTCTATTACACTTCTTTTTTCTTTTAATTAATTTTTTTTTTTTTTCAAGAATTCCTTTGGGCTTTGGGGGTTTATGTACGATGCTCGTATCTCGTAGAGGAGAGTTTTGATCTAACGGCGTTGACAAGAGGCGGAGGAGTGTGGTATGGACAGAAAGAGAAAGCAATCGTTTTACAATCGACAATGACTGCCGGCTACTCTGATTGCGACCGTCAATTGTCCAAACTAGGTATTTATTTTCTTTTGTGGGCCCAAACAATTGATGCAGCTGTGACATCTGGCAATCTTTAATGCGAAGACTTTGGTGGACTTCTGCTCAAGTCTTTAAAAGAGCTTCGTGACCGTTGGATGTTTTCTTTTTTCACTCATTGAGGTACCAACCCATGTTCATGCCCGCAATCTCAAAGTTATAGTATCAAATGTTTTTCACTTAATTTAAAAATAACTAGTTAAATTATATTTTTTTTTCTTTTTATTTAATATATATCATTAAAAAAAGTAGAATTATTTTTAATTTTTATTAAAATTAAAATTAAAAAAATTTTATAAGAAATTTTATAGTAGTAGTATTATTCATATTTCGCTACATAAGAAATTGTTTTAAAAAAATTAAAATTAAAGTGATGATATGTGAACTGGAGTTTATATTAAATCATTATAACTTAAAAAAAAAAAAAAGAAAATATAGATATCCATCCAAACAAGAGAGAAGAAATAACAAAGAAAACAAAATTTGAATTTTTACTATTTTCAATCCTTATTTGCTTCCTTATCTTCTTTCTTCTTGAATCCAAACAAAGCGTAACAGATTATTGTAGAAATGATGTAAAGGTGAGTGTAATTTCAATAATTTGATTTAAATCAATACAAGTCATTTAGATAGGACAAGATGCTTTTTAGAAGACTAGAAATGAAATATACTATCAGAAAATTGCAAAAATAAAAAATAAAGTAATTAAATTAATAAAAATAAAGTAATCATATTAAAAATTAATTTTAAATGCATATTAAAATATAGTCTAGTCATAGGTGCATACGTGACGTAGCAATAGATCTAGATTCAAATCATTTTTCTTCAATTTAAAAAAAAAAAAACTCGTTTGAAATTGTTTGAAGAAAAACTTTAAAAATACAAACAATTAAATAAAAAAAATGAAAGGAAATAAAAGGTTTCAAAAAAATTTTATCGGATACAGGAAAAAAAATATATTTTTTATTCTTATGTTTTTTCTTCTTCCATGAACATTATATTTTATGATTATTTTTAATTATGTTATTACTTTTTTTCTCATGTTTTAAACATTAGCCAAAATTATTATTTCAGACAAATATTTGGGGATGTGAACTGGAGACAATCGGGGGGCATATATTGAATCTGAAGTGAAGAATTAGATAACAATGGGAAATTAGAAGAACTTGAACGCAAAAGACACGTGTAAGAGAAGGAGGACAGGTGTCGCATGATGCCGTATTAACATTAGAGTAGTTGGCTAACTTCAACTGATAGCCTCAATTATTCGAATCCAGATTTAGGGCCCACCAATTAGCCCACAAGCAGCTGGAACGAAGCCCACGTGTCTCACATACTGCCGTGTTCTAGTGGCTCAAAAAATTTTTAGAAAAGAGGAAAAGAAACAGTGAAATGCCCTCCAGCTATAGAGCCACATTCGTGTAGGCTTCCCATATGTCCAAGTGGCGCTAGCTGTACGGAGTTTGGTGACACACCGCTTCTTGTTTAATTTTGAGAAGATTTGTACGAAGTTAACTGAAAATAAGAAGGAAAGTTTAGGTGGAAGTCAGCTATGTGCTTTTCTCTTTTGTCTTATCGCTTCATCACTTGGAAAAAGCAAAAAGTGTTTTGTTCTCTAATCTCAATCATTTTTCTAAGGTATTGCATTAGCAGCAGGGGCAGAACCGTACATTAGAATTTGAAGGGTAAACTTAATTTTTTGAAATTTGAAAGGGTAAAATGCAATTCTTTAAATATTGAGGAGTAAAACATAATTGTATAAAATAGTATGCATTTTTAGAGCTGGAGGATATTGTAATAGTTTATAGTTTGTTCCGAAATAATTATATTCATTCACAGATAATTACATTCATACGTAGACAATGATGTCTATTTATAAACAGTTGCATACGTTCATGAACGCTAATGTTTATTTGTAATGATTATAATTATTTGAATATACCTTGCCTATAAAATGATATAGATGATATGAATGCAAGTTGGTTGGATCTCAGCCCAATCAGAGTATCTATAAGAGCTTTGGGTTTGTAATAGGCCAAGCCCAATCCGAGTGTCCAGCGGTTTTTATCCTTTTTCGTCTTGTTAAAAAGGGAAGATGGGCGTAACTCTGTAAATGAATCAACCCATTGATGACTAGTTCAAAGCTTGCTTCCGTACGAATTTGGTTTGATTCGATTCAAGTTCATTTTTGAAACGAATCAAGTTTAAACCTAATTTTAAGATTCATTTATTAAACAGACAAGTCTAAGCTTTTTTAAATGAGCATCTTAAACCAACTCGGCTTGACTCAATTTGTTTAAAATCCTAAATGGGGACGGTTCTAGATTTTTGTAACTTGTCCGAGTCTCAGACTGTTCTGTTTGATCATTTTTGTGGCTGTTTGTCACCATCAATTTAAAGCAACTAACTACTCAGATGTCGATGGCGATCTGCTCATTCAATGGAAACCAATAATTGGCTTACCTTTATTACTGCTCCAGATGTAAGGGTCCTAATTAACTCCAGCAAGTGGACCTTGCCATTTTCAACTGTGTTGCTTTTTTTTTTTTTTTTTTTTTTTAATTAACTCCAGCAAGTGGACGCTTGTCCATTTTTCCAACTGTGTTTGCTTTTTTTTTTTTTTTTTGGTCCGCATTTTTTTTTTTTTTTTTTTTTTTTTTTTTTTTTAATTTGGTAAAATTAACTGTTTTTTTTTTATTAATTATATAAATGCTAACGAGAAGAAACTGTTGCTGAGAGGCTTTTATATTGAAAGCAAGTGTAAATTTATGAATTAATATCAATTAATTCGTGTAAATTAAATTAATTTACATGAAGCCAGTCGGATCAATGGCCTCACTCGATTCAGATGCAAGCAATCTTCTCCTTTAATAAAGTGAAATTTTTCCCCTTAAGCAAAGGGGGAAAAAGGTGAAGAGCCATTTTCAATTGTCAGAGTCCCATGGACAGACTGATAAATATCTTCTAATTATTATTATTATAGCTGGAAATGGCAATCATTTTTCTAAGAAATTAGGGAAACGTCCAAGAAACGGCAATTCCTTTGATTTGATGAAAAAGATTAAAGAATCATTAATGGAAACTGAAAAATAATTTATAAAAAAAATATCTATATTTACAATGAAAAGAAGGCAAGTAAGAATCCCTTTTCCCACAAACAAAACATGATCATCAAACGGTTGCCAATTTAAATCAAATGCCAACCAGAAATGCACAAAATGCTTTTGACAGCTGTTAAAAGCCTTTGGAATTTATGTTTGAATGCTAGTTGGTCCTCTGACTAAATGTCTGATGCTCATGAACTTTATTCAGGTGCGCATCTAATGAACGAATAGCTCGAAAACTGTACCTTCACCACAGAACCAGCAGCATCACCTGCTTTTCAACAATCTATGCACCGCCACCACCCGCCCTGCCTGCCGCCACTATTCTCCAATCTACACCCTCATATTGCGCATCCAATTGGTCATTTCAATTTCTAAATGAATTCAAATTCCATTTTCTATATTACTTAGAAACGCTAATTTCTTAATTTACTTTGCGAATGTGCTTAGGTGTCTCCGAATTAACAACTGCATTTTCAAGAACACACAAACAACAACGACAAGAAAAGGAAACCCATTTTGTATTGCTCGAGGATAAGTGGCGCTGCCAACATTTTCTCTTTTAGTATGAAATTAAGGATATCAATGGTCACTGATCGCCGCCGTATCATCCCCCATAAGAAAACTTCTCCGATCGAGCTAAACAGAGAAATACAATCATTAATTAAGCGACTGTAATCAAGAATTCTAATTATATATACACACACAAAATCCTAGTAATTATGAGTCGCAATCTGCAATCTTCTGGCAACATAACAGAACAGAGCTGGAAGAACTTCTTGTTTGTTGGATCATGCTTGTTCAGAAATTAAAATTAACAAGGATTCTCATTAGAAGCAACGAAGAACAGAGCATCAAGCTTGGCCCTACAAACAGGACACACAGAATGCTTGCAAAGCCAAGTGTCAGCGCATTCCAAATGGAAACCGTGATTGCAACCGGGAACCAGTCTAGCCGGCTGTTCGCTCTCGATCTCATCTAGACACACCGCGCATTCCGTCCCCAATATCAACTCCTTCCCAGTCAATTTAGGCAATTTCTCGAGCTGAGAAGCCGATAATCCCTTCTCCGGTGCCGCCTTTACTGGCGGTGGGATTTCGGCTTGGTGACTTGCAGCGTACCACAGGAGACAAATATAGACGAGAAAAACTGCGCTCATGCCGATACAAGGCAAGAAAAGGGCCAAAAAAACGGAGACGAGCATGTTTTGGTTGGAGGCAGCAATGGAATTGTTCACGGAGGTTGGTGTCGGAGAGGGAGAGAGAAGAAGCGGTGGATTGAGGGGTGCGTAAAACACACCATCGCGCATTATAGGGTAGGGGCTACAGAAAAAGAGAATTCAGGAAAAATAAATAAGAAAGATGGGGAGGCGTAGGCGTTGGATCTTCCTTTCAGGTATATAGTAGTAGTAGCAGTAGTAGTAGGGATTACTGATTAGTGTGTTGTTGGATGGTGACGTGGATATTTTGAAATTAACGGAGATAATAGCGATTACGGGGTAACCGCTTTTATCACTTGGGAAATATACAAACTACAAAGAGAAAGAGTGTAGTTTTTGCCGTTTCTATACTTCGGAATTCGGAGACGACACGTTTCGTAGATGTGAAGCAAATATCATTGAAACGGCACTTCCAAAATTTAAAACTCTTGGGTTGCTTTTAGTTTTAGTGCCCTCTACTCTACTTTGCTATGTCCACCACACCACCCCCACAGTTTTAAGTCCAATTCATAACTTCAAATACTTTTTTTTTTTTTTTTACCTATTTTATACCAATTTGAATTTTGGACCGACATATTGAATTAATTCGTTAATTTCTAATTATTAAAACATGATGGATGATTAAATTGGCTTAAAAAACTAAATTTAATCCTTTTAATCCCACTAAATCAATTTAAAAATCAAAATAAATTTTGTATGTATAATATTTAAAAATAGAAATTTAATAACAATAACCAGATCTCACCACCTTAAAATAAGTTGAGATGTATTTATCCTAAAATTGAATTGTCAAGACTCATGCTAACATGCTCCAATCTCGATCTCTGTTTCTTTTTTTTTTTTTTTTTTTATTGCGCTAGAATTGAAATTGTCAAGGACCATGCTAACATGCTCCAATTCTCGATCTCTGTTTCTATTTTTTTTTTTTTTTTTCTAAACATATTATTGTGCAATTTAAGCATATTTCTGAAAAATTTATTATTTTTTTTTTTTTTTTTTCTCAAACATATTATTTGCAATTTAAGCATATTTCTGAAAAAATTTATTATTACGACAAAGTAAATTTAAAGCCCATTAAACAACAGCCCGGCCCATCAAAATTGATCTGTAAGATTACAGAGATACTGATTCAAGTTGTTTAGATATTGACAAAAGGCAATCATAAAAGCTCCAAGTTTATCCATTGATGATTGCTAATGGACATGAATTTGGTAAAAAGGCCAAAAGTTTTGGTTCGCCATTGGCTGTTTATAATGATCATGGTGCTGGCGTTTCTTTTAAGTTGGCATTATTGTCTCGACATTATCCCCGCGACGATAGAAAAGCAATTGGTGATGATGAAATCACTCTGTTGCAATCTGGTAATAATTAATTTATAGATATTATGTTTTCTTTTTTTGATTTATAGTATAAAATTATATATACTCAATCAGATATATAGTCTAATTAATTTTTTCACTTACTCAAAAAATGAGAGATTTCGAAAAATTTTTAAAGAATAAATCTATACCATATAATCATAATATTATTTCAATATGTTAAACTTTTTAAAGAATTAAAAAAAATATAACTGATAAAGCTTATTATGCATCTTGTTGTTCCATTGGGAATAACATGTTGTCATTTGATCAAATCCTCAACATGGTTACCAATGACTTAATTTTCACATTTTTTTTTTATTATAGATTTTATGTTCTCTAATACATTTATTTCTCATTCTCCACGTACACACAGAAATTACATATATAAACAATTTGTTTCCAAAATTTTAAATGATAATAATAATCACAATAATTAATCCTAATTAGTATTTTAATATAAATAGTTATCTATTTTTATTAGGATTATATTTTTGTGAGAATTAATTAAAAATAATAATTTAACTATGTAAAATGCCAAATGAAAATTTAAAATGTCAAGTGGAGATATTTAAAAAGATGCGCCACGTGTTAATATATAACGAAAAATATATCTTTCATATATATATATTTTTTTTTTTTTGCCCTCGAAATAATTAAGAGATTTTTTTTTTTAAAATGGGAATTAAGAGAATATCTAGCACTGAAGGAATTTAGGAAATACATTGGAGATAGCCTATGTTTTAAATTATATTTCAGGTAAAATATAAAAATTCATTATATGAAAATTAAACATACATCTGCCTCAAATAATTGTTTTTGAAAATGTATCTTGACCATTATATTGACCCAATACATAGGAAACTATAAAGGAAATAATTCTTGCGAAACAAACCTATCCTAAAATAAGAGAATCAGAATATAGAAAATGACCGTAGTTGGTGTGAAACTGTGAATCATCCATTAATAAAGCTACCGTACAAGCAGGCCCCGAAGAGACGATCCTTCAATAACATACAGGAACTGTGGAAGAAAGCTTAAAAAATGAATATAATACTAAGAGCACACTTCTCTACTGTGTTATTGTTCTTCTTATCTGTAATCAATGTCTCTGTGCGGGACGTAGATGCCCAAAGCTTGCCTCCTGCAAGGTACGATGGGTTCCCGTACCAGAAACAGCTAGATGATTCGAACACCATCCTGATTGAAGCCTTCTATGATCCTGTCTGTCCCGATAGCAGAGATTCCTGGCCTCCTCTCAAGCAAGCACTTCACTTTTACGGCTCAAGGACCTCGCTTGTTGTTCACCTCCTCCCTCTGCCGTCAGTATCTCTCCCTTTCTGAATTTGATTGCTGCGTTTTTATAATAGTTTATTTTTGTTTGAATTTGCTAGGAGCGGTTAAATTTTAATCTGTATGCTTGTTATATCTAGCAATTTATTATGACGATGAATTGGGGATAAATACAAAGATAATCTGATTAGAAGAGATCAATTAGGAAATTGAAAATCAGGAGTCTCAATTGAGTGCAGTTATTGAAACACCGTTCCCTGATTTGATTGTGCTAAGTTTGGATGTATGGAGCTGTAGCCAGAAATAAACTGAGTTTCAAGTAATATTGATGTTCAATCGATTGATTGAGTGATTGACTTCAGTTACTTATGAGTTTAGACTTTGAGCAGAAAGGTATTAGGCTGTCAAAAAGGTATTAAATTGCTAGCTTTTGAGGCGTGGTTCTCACAAGTCCATAGAAAGCCTTTCTAATAGAACAATTCAATTTTCCAAGGCTTCACAAGAGGTATCTCATAATCTGCTCTATCTCAATTTGTTATCTATTGGCTGTGACAGTAAAGCATTTTGCATCCTTTAAAATTGAAAATGAACGATCTCAGTTGCTTTTTGGCAAGAAACATGGAAATGATGCAGGAAAATGACATTTAAAATATAATCTTACATGAGGAATCGGTATTTTATATGGGGAAACAGCTCGTAGTTTTTGACATAAGTTGAATATATTTTTTCTTTCAATTGATTTGATAATGTTAACTGCAGATACCATGACAATGCATTTGTTGCTTCCCGCACATTGCATATTGCAAATGAGCTGAACACGTCTTCCACTTTCCCCTTGTTAGAGCGGTTCTACAAGCATCAGGTTAGAATTTCAATACTACAATTAATTCCATTTGCTTTATTAACAAATGGAATCAAGATAGCAAGATACTAGCTCTTTTTGTTTCTTTAACAGCTATTTATGAGGAAGACGCCATAATTCTATACCATGTAATTGGTGTGGGATGGGACTCTTTCAAAAGCATTTATTGTTTTAGATGGTGTTTATTTATACTTATTGTAGTTTGCTTTACTGCCATTGTTGGTCACTGTCCACCATCCCATTGATTGAACTACACCTATAAGTAAAGTTGTGGCAGGGCCCTTCTTAAGGTTGAATTTGGTGGTTCCTTCTGTTAAATTGATTAATCTTAGGGAGGCTTGTGGTCTTAGTTCCTCTAGTTACACCTAATTCATTGATTCTGCTGGAATAAAATGTGTGAATTCAATATTTTTTGGCTTATGTGGTCTATTGCCAATGGTTCTCGGCAATTACTCCGCCATTTGTGAAGCAGCTCAATGATATTATTATACATCCAGTTTCAGTTGCTAAAACCACCCTTTTTGTTACTTTAGTTTTCTCTTTTGGTACTCTATGTAGAACGGCTTCTAGTATTCTTTTGCTTCATGTTGCGAAGTCTCTTTTTTCTTTTTCTTTCTTTTTTCTTGAATCGCATTGAGCCAAAGTTCATTATAATTCACAAAAGATAGAAACCTGCTTGTTTTGTGTTCTGTTCGGTCTCAAAATAAACTCATTTTCTGCTTTAAATGCAACTGTTTCTGCTCTATGTGGTTCATATTGAATCAAATACACTTTTGTTGCATTTTCTATGCTGAATTGCATCTACTCTCTGTGTTCATGTCAAATCAAGTCTAATAGTTTCTAACCACATACTGACCTTGCACCAAGCTCACTTCTTCCTCATCTACGTCTAGGGATTGGATCTTTATCGCGTTGTACCTCCATTACCTGTGCCTGGGCAAACCTTGTATCTTTCTCCAATATCTGGTGCATCTTTCCTAGGATCTTCACTGCCAGCTACCCTTTTACCCGATCCTATTCACCAACCTACACCTTTAATTCCTTGATAAATAGCTGCTGCTTGTTCATTTGATATTAGGGAAAATAATTAAACATTGCTACCGCTTACCGAGATCTCTTGGATAAATTGTCATTCCATCCTGAGGAAAACAGAATCTCGTGTATGGCTGCAAGTAATTGTCAATCATGTTCACTAAATCCCTCCTGCCACCAAAGAGAGATGCTGTGTTTTAGTTTTAAGTAGTGGAATTTAATTTTGTGGTTTTACAACTTATTTTAACTGAGATTAACTTCTTCTATTCTGTGTTCTATTATCAGGAGAGGTTTTATAATGCTCAAACACACAACAAATCAAGAGCTACTGTTGTAAAAGAAATAGTGAAATTTGCATCTGCAGCAGTTGGAAATTCCTATTGTTCAGCAATTGAATCTGGTCTTAATGACAGACAAACTGATCTCAAAACAAGGGTTTCCTTCAAGGTAAGATGAGGTTCAATTACATTGATGAGTTGGAATGTCGCCATGCTCACAATATTTGTGCTGGAGAACTTTGCAACCCATAAACCTGCAAACTCATTACGCTTCATTTACATACTCTGTTTAGCTTTCACCTCTATGTATACCATTGATGTTGAACATCTTTTGTGATACAGTATAGTGCTTCGAGAGGGGTGTTTGGCACTCCTACTTTCTTTGTTAATGGATTTGCATTGCCTGATGCTGGGTCTACCGTAGATTATTTGGGTTGGAGAAAGATCATCGATCCACTGGTTAAAGCAAATGTTGGCAAAAGCAAGGATCAGTTGCATTTCTTTTTATGAAGAGCTTGGCTTGTGAGATCGAAATATAGTTAAATATTGCTCTGGAACTACTGATTCTGGCATTGTGGATACTGAGGAGACTGCGCTAAGCAACTCTGGATGCTGGCATTTCATTTTCTCCTGTTGTTTATATGTGTTAATAATGGTGTGATTGAGATTTGCTAGCAAATATGATGTTTATATATTCAATTTTAAGATAAATGACTCATATATACACCTATAGTTATGTTCATTAAATTACTAAAGAGGAAAAAAAGAAAAGAAAATGAAAGAACTTATCGCTGACAATGTCAAATACTTACAGGTAACTAATGGGATTTGGATGAGAAAACTGAACATGTCTGCCATTTCTGGAATGTTGTACTTTGCCTCTGTCGAACTGCTTTGGCCCACGCTATTTTCATGGTTGACAATTAAGCCGCTTTTAGCTGTAAAAATGTAACTAGAATATATACATCTCTGATCTAAAGGGGATAAATGCTAATTGAAGAATTATATTTCAAATTCAAATTTCTTTTTGATACAGTTAAGAAAATAGAATATTTTTTGGAAAAATAATTATTTCGTCTCTGAGGCTTGTCATAATTATTTGAGTAGTTTTCAATATTTATATAAATATTTATAACATTTCTGAGGTTTACTTCCGTCTTATTAATTGGTCATTTCGTTTTAAAAACACATTTTTTTCCGTTAATTTTTGAGAGAAAAAGAATTATCTTTATAAATTTTCATTATTTCGTCCCTGAGATTTGCCATAATTATTTAAGTAGTCCCTAACATTTATATAAATATTTATAACATTTCTGAGGTTCATTTCCGTCGTATTATTTGATCATTCTGTCCAAAAAACACATATTTTTTTTGTTAATTTTTAATAGAATGACCAAACTACCCTAAATCCTCTTATTAACATATTCTTCCTTTCAACTACCCTAAATCCTCTAAATTTACCCAAAATTTAGAAATTTTAATCTAAAATTTGGGTAAATTTCTAAATTTCTAATCTGCTTGTTCAATTTTGGATTTAAATCAAACTGGGTGATTACTTTAAATTTATTTTTTTTTGTTAATTTTGTTAAATAGGTAATGACCAAGACTAGACTCCTATATACCTTCTTTATTAAAGCATATTCTTTTTTCTTTCAACCTACCCTCTAAATCCTCTAATTTTCTGCGTCAAAAATTTAAGAATATTTTCAAATCCTAAAATTTGGTAAATTTCTTAAATTTTCTAATCTGCTTGTTCAATATTTTGGATTTAAAATCAAACTGGGTGATTTTATCTTTATAATTTTTAGTTATAATTTAAGTGATTACTTTAAATTTAGTTTACAATTTATAATTTAAAATTTACATGGGCATTTGTTAATGGTGGTGTCGGGTTTCAAGTGAATAAGAGTAAGCTAAATTTGCTATATAAATTTTTGTTTTGCCATATTGGTCTTCTTTTTGGCTGATTTTACATATGATTGCTGTTTCTGGGATTAATTGTTGAGGTAATTGAGCAAAGTAATGCATTAGATGCAAATACAAAGATTAAGTACATGAACATGTTTGATGCTCAAATAGATGTTATTCATTTTGCTTTGAGCTCTATGAAATTTGTTTATACCATTTTTGTGAGAGAGTGAGAAGGAAAGCAAATGAGTTGAAAATGAGGATATCTTAATTAGAGGATTTAGGATAGTGTGGTTATTCTATTAAAAATTAACAGAAAAATGTATGTTTTTTGGACGGAATGATCAAATAATATGACGGAAGTGAACATCAAAGATGTTATAAATATTTATATAAATGTCAGGGACTATTTAAATAATTATGGCAAACCTCAGGGACGAAATAATGAAAACTTATAAAGGATAATTTCATTTCACACCTCAGGGACGTAATAATGAAACTTATAAAGGAATAATTCATTTTTTTTTTCTCAAATTATTTATTACGGAAAAAGTGTGTTTTTTAGGATGGAAAGTATCCGAAATTTAATATAGACCTGGAAGATTAATCCTGCAGAGATATTATACTAATATCTTGTAATATATGTTCGCGTATATAACCTCAGGGACGAAATAATGAAAACTTATAAAGGATAATTTCATTTTTTTTTCTCAAAATTAACGGAAAAAGTGTGTTTTTTGGATGGAAGGATCAATTAATAAGACGGAAATAAATCTCAGAGATATTATAAATATTTGTATAAATGTCGGATATTACTTAAATAATTATTTATTAACACAATTTAAATAATTATTTATTAACACAAAAACAATCCATAAAAACAAGGAAAAAAAATTTTCCTTCAATGTCTTATGCCTTGCCTTATTTATTAACACAATTTTCCTTGAATTGTTTTCCACGAAAAATATTTTAATATTTTTTCTATTTTTACTTTACTTTTAAAATGTTTTTAATCTGAAGAGAACGAATCCCATTTAACATAGACTTAAGGGTTAGCTGTTGTCCTGAAAAACTCAATAAAAAAATCTAATGAAAAAAAAAAAAAAGAAAAAATTATCTTGTCTTAAAGAAAAGCTGAAAATTAATTGAAGTATTGAAAATTAAACCGTTCTTGATCTTAAACATGGGCTAAAAACAAAATGAATGATAAATTAATTGAAGTGGTTTAGAAAAAAAAAACAAATTAATTGAAGTGTTTAAAACGTGGCAACGTATGAAGTCGAACCAGTATGGTTTGGGTGAAGAAACCGATTCAAACCGGATAAAGGGGTTCGGTAGGGTAGTTTTGGAAGAATGGTGCCGTACTGTTATATAAGACAGAAGACGTCTCATCGAGCGGTTTAGGGCGTAAAAGAAGAAACGAAGCCGTAGAAGAGGGCTCTTTCTTGGCCGAGCAAACTTATCTTCAAATCTTCAAGTTGTATCTCTTACAGATCCACCCAAACTCTAGTTCCTTTTTTTTTTCTGTTCGATTATTCACTTTAAAGCTTCTTCATCTTCATAACTTTATCTGTTTGTTCTTTTAGCTTTTGTTTTAGCTTTTATGTCACTGGTTTTTGCTAATTTTTTTTTTGAAATTGATACTGTAGATGGATCGGTACCAGAGAGTGGAGAAGCCGAAAGCGGATACAGCAATCGACGAGAATGAGATTCGGATTACTAGTCAAGGAAGGATGCGCAGTTATATATCATATGCTATGAGTCTGCTTCAAGTATGTCCTCTCTTCTCTTCTCATTCATTTTTCTTTTCAGTTTTATGTTCTCTTTTTGGTTTTCTGTTCTGTTGTGATGACCTTTTTGTGCTCGTGAGTTATGTACTACTTTTGGTTTGTGGATACTGACATTTAGTTCAAATTCGGATTTGTACAGTGTAATTCTAAGTGTTCATGAAATTTTTTTAGAGCCAAAATTTGAATGTCTTCAGCTCTTAGAAGTCTGATAATGCTTTCATTCCTAAACTATAAAAATCTTCGGATGTGTTGAATTTTATTGTTGCTAACTATGTTTATTTGGATGATAATCAACTAATCCAACTTGCGCTATGCGCACATTCATAGACTGGTAGGTAGGAAACATTATTACTGTTTCGGGTTATTCATAGTTTAGTAGCTTTTGTTGCCTTGGACTTTTTGTCATATTGTTCTTTATGCATATTTTTGCAGGAAAAAGGGTCAAATGAAATAGTATTCAAAGCAATGGGAAGAGCCATCAACAAGACTGTGACTATAGTGGAGTTAATCAAGGTTTTCCCCTGTTACACTTAATAATAGTCCATGGCTTCTTATAATTCACTTATTAATGGTGATGCACTCTTCTCTAATCATGATGCAGAGAAGAATCGTTGGTCTCCATCAGATCACAGCAATTGGATCCACAGACATAACTGATACATGGGAACCCCTTGAGGAAGGCCTCCTTCCGTAAGAACAGTCTGGAAAAGAACATTTCAATGCTAATATTCTTCTGTCATCTTTTGTTGTTACAGTTCTGACATCAAGCCTTGTTTCTTTATCAACACAGTTTGGAGACTACAAGGCACGTGTCCATGATTACTATAACCCTCTCCAAGAAGGAACTGGATACATCTGCTGTTGGGTGAGTTTGTATAGTACAAATATAAAACAGCTTTCCTGTCCCTTAAATTCATTGATATTGTACTTCTTTTGAATGAATCATATCGGAGAAAATAATTACATGGCTCTGAATTCTCATATGTGATGTTGATTTTGTGTCTTTGTTGCAACATCAGATATTATAACAAGCAAACTGTGATTTCAAGCTCATGATGAGTTCTTCATTTGGTTATGGAGATCTTATGCTGCATTTTCTTCCTCGTTATAGACGACATGAAATGCTAATTTTATATTGTTTCTTAATTTTTTATATTTTGGTTTTTAATATGCATTGCACCTTTTTGCCAAACTTGGAGTCCTTTAATTATCAATGCAATTGCCTGTTTCCTTAAGATGAAACAGTCAACATGCTATACAATCTTAAAAGTTGAAAAGTGAGTGTCCAGCTTACTGTTGCTTAAATAAGGTATAGCCTTTTTGGATAATGTTTTCATAATATTATATTTTATATATATGCAATGCCTGTTCCCTAAGATAAAACAGTCAACAAGCTATAGGCAATCTTAAAAGTTGAAAGTGAGTGTCCAGCTTACTGTCGCTTAAGGATAAGGTAATAGCCTTTTTGATAATGTTTTCATACATATTATTTTTGATATATATCATATATATATATATGTAGCGTATACGGGCTTCCATGGATTGGAAGTTGGTTGATCCACAGTTACACATTGTATAAATTGTCATTTGAATTGAACTGGTATGATTGCTTAGTTATGCTATATATGTATGTATAGGGCTTCCATGGATTGGAAGTTGGTTGACCAGGTTACACATTGTAAATTGTCATTTGATGACTTTGGTAGTGTATTCTTAGTTATGCATGGTTCCTTAAGATGTAATTACATTATTTTTTATGAAGTTCCTGTGTTAGCTAGATGATGCTTCGAACATAACAATACTGCCATTTGAATAGTCCAAATATCTGAGGTGCTATATTCAATTGAATCAGTTGTTAACTCCAAGTTCTGCCATCAATTGTGAACACTACCTTTTCAGGTACCAGCCGCCGTTACCTGCGGATCTGGTGAAGGGATTTGCAGAATTTGATTATGATGGAGGTGATGCTTGATTATTATCTATTGTCTTTCTCCATCACCAAAACTGCATTTTTTTTGAAGTAAATTTTGTGCTGCAGAGGGCTCACCAAATGGCCGTGGTAGAGGTCGGGGTGGTAGAGGAAGGGCAAAGGGTAGAGGTATGTTTAAATGGACTTTAATTGCCTACTTTTATTTTATATTTTGACTTGATATGTGTGTGGTTTGGTTGCTGCAAAACTAGCAATTAGATAATTCTGCTTTGCACCTGAACCTAGTTCTTTCTGTGTACTTTCTAATGTGCGTGCTTCTCTGATGATTTATTGAATGAATTTTTCTGCTTAATACTAATGGTTGTGTCAGAAATGCTATTATTGGGAGTTTGTATACTATTTTACATCTGTTGAAGAAACATTTCAATGGTAATTTGCATCCGAGTTGATAGAAACTGCACATGTGACATCATAATTACAGTCAGTATTCTTCCTTCAGGAAATGGATTTGTTCCCGAGTATGAAGATGGTGGTTGGGATCGCAACAGGGGCCCAGGTAGGGGCAGGGGTCGAGGAAGAGGACGTGGTTTCCGTGGCCGTGGGAGGGGAGGATACAATGGACCTCGTACTGATATGCAGCAAGATGGAGGCTATAATTATGATGCACCTGCACCAGGCCGAGGTATTTTTTTGTCTATCATTTTCTTTTCCTTTTTTCTTTTTTCTTTTTTATTTTTTATGACAGCTTCTAGTTCTCTGGAGTCTAGGCTTTTGTCCTTTCTTGTACAGCTCCTTCACCGTTCGGTGGTCCTTGAGTTGAAACTGTAATTCATTCTCTATTTGAGCCTAAGTTTACATTTTAATAAATTTTTGGTTCTATGTTTAATTATTGTTACTTTATTTTATTTGAACTCCAGCCAATCGTAGGATCTATTCAAATAAGAATCACAATGAGGCTTGCAACTGATGCATTTTTTGAAGCTTATCTTATTGATTTATACAGATTGGAACTATGCTTGTTGCTATCTTGTGTATTTAGAGTCTTGATGTGTGACTCATGCCTCTGTAAACACCTTTTTGCTGCTTATGCGGATGCATATATATAATTTGTTGAAAGTTGAACATGATCTGTAATGTTGTAGGTAGGGGCCGTGGGAGGGGGAATCGTGGGAGGGGCCGTGTATTTAGATCAAATGGACCGATCCAAGCAGCTGCATGAGAATGCTCAACTGGCTTCCCTCTGGATGGAGTATTGTTACTATGTTTGATGCTTCTCCAAAATATTTATCATATTTTAGGCTCCATTTATTTTCGGAAAATAATTTATTCTAGAAAATATTTTTCAAATTAAAAAATATTTTCCAAATAACTTATTTTTCGAATGTTTGTATGCGATATGGAAATTAGTTAGCAGTATAAAAAATTAATTTGGAAAGCTATGTTTAGAATTATAAAAAGTTGATTGTTAAATATGAGAAAATGATTTTTTTTTTTTTTTAAATGATGAATTATGGTACTTGCTGATTACTGGTAATGGACAGCGGTCATCAGGGACCGGCGTTGGTGACTGTTGACTGATAATGGTAATTACCAGTAATTGGTGGATCAGTAGATGTGTTTCAGTAAGCTTTTTTTAGACTAGTTATTATCATGATAAGTCTGGCAAATGTTTTCCTCCCTTGAGGAGAAATCATTTTCATTCAAGGTCTGTTAACTAATTTTCTTAAGCATTCTGAACATGTGAAAATCTGAGAAATATTTTTTAGGAAAATATTTTTCGAAAACATATGGAGCCTTCCTTTTTTATTTTTCTGCCTTTGTCCGAACTATAGTAGTTTTAACTTTAGGAGGTATTCATCTGTAACCCCGTAGACTAATCTTTGTAGTTTGAAACTGTTGCCTTGATTTTGTGTAGGTGTAGGTTGGTTCTTGAACAATTGTAACTGTTTTTTATATCTTTTGAGCAGTGCATTCTTTTATTTTTCTACTATTTTTCTGGTTGGGCTCATTTTGCCTTTTCTCTCCTTCAATCACTTATATTATTCTTGAAGATGCATAAACGTGAGTTTCAGGGACCGGACAATTGGTTGGGTCAGGGGCCCAATTCCATATTTGACTTGAGTTTGTATGGGCATATTCAAAACTGCAAAACAGGAAAAAATTTGTGAAATACTGCTACTGTTCAAGCCGCGAAAAGAGAAATGGATGTCAAAGCCTGTACAATGTTCGTCTAGTCTACTGAAATACTCCTCAGTAGAGTCGTTTGTTTTGCGGTTTCACCTAACAGGGCCCAATACAGTTATGAACTTACCTGTTTTTCTGGGACCACATCTCTCTCAATTTATGGAAGTTGCATCTGCTGCATGGTAAGAACTGAATTACCTGTGTGTCTACTAGGTGTAAGAGATAAGAGATAAGAGTTAAAAGGATTAAAACGAATTCCGAGAGATCCCAAATTTTTATATGTCCCATCATCTTCCATATGAATACAAAAATCTTTCTGATACAAAATTTAAAATATTAAAGACCATGGAGGAATCTGCTTCCGTGTTATTAGCTTCTCCATGTGGATGTTCAAATCAAAGTCATCTCTCTGGAAAATTCCATTAGACACAAAGATCCCAACTTTACCAAATGATCGGCTGTAATGTTAAATGATCTCTCCAAGCCTTTACAAGCTTTCAATTTCCAATTTCCCTTAATAATGAGACATAACGTCAGTTTGGCAGCTGCTATGATCTTCAAATCTAATTGTCTCACTGTGATTATACTGTAAATATGCTAACAAAATCAACGGTAAAAATTATTATTGTGAATTTATAATCAGATCAAAGCAGGAGAAAACGTAACAAGAACTCATCACCGTCAAATGTGAAAATAGGCCATGTGCTTCACAAACATAAATAATGCAATTGTATCAAATGGTTCAAAGCATTGCCATGTGATTGTGAAGTAGCATGACATGATCTAAAGCCTAATATTCAATAACCCAAAAAAAAAAAAAAAAAAAAAAAGATATTTTATAATCAGTATCTAATACGCAGGAGAAGATACTAACAAAGAACCTCATCATGTCCGTCAAATGTGAAAATGGAGGCCATGTGTCTTCACAAACTAAATATATGCATGATTGTCGTCAATTGGTTCGAAGAGCATTTGCCATGTGATTGCTGAAGTATCATGACATGTATCATCAAACCTAATATTCATATAACCCAAAAAGAAAAAAAAAAAAAACGTAGAGCAGGGTAGGTGGTTTGTGAGGTTTTGAAATTTCACGGCTCTCTTGTTTGGGGAAGATAGGTAATGACCATGTGGAACTATATGCAATGGAGAACTGCGGAATAATTGAAGAAAAAAAAAAAAAAAAAAAAAAGAGCAATAGGGGTTTGTGGGTTTTTGAAATTTTCACGGCTCTCTGTTGGGGAAGAGGAAGACCATGTGGACTATATGCAATGAGAACGTGGGAATAATTGAATGAGAGTCAGTATTTCTTCAGTCTTGCAGAGAAGATAATTCAATCAACAAATAAATAAATGTAAACAAAAACAAAAACATATAGTTTCATGTTACTCTTTTCTTGCAGAGCCCACATGTGATGTGAGGTTCTTGGATTAAGCAACTCTGTTCCCTTTATTTATAGATCCGCTTCTTTGCTTGAAAATCCCAATATATTGTAACTACATTTCCTATTCATCTTCTTCTTCGTCTGCTGCTGCTGCTATCAACAAAATGGCAAAACTACTCCTTGCACTTCAATTCTTTTGCTTTTTAGCTATCAATGTTAATGCTTTTACACCTTCTGGTTGGACCAAAGCCCATGCTACATTTTATGGAGGAAGTGATGCTTCAGGAACTATGGGTATTATGTTTTATAATTCTTGCTTTTTTTGGGTTTTTCGGTATTTTGAGAAAATTGACTAATAAGCTAATGTTTCTTTCATTTTTTTTGGCTTATAATGTACAGGAGGAGCTTGTGGATATGGCAATTTGTATTCAACTGGTTATGGAACTAGAACTGCTGCTTTAAGCACTGCTTTATTCAATGATGGAGCTTCATGTGGACAGTGCTATAAGATTATTTGTGATTATCAAACGGATCCCAGATGGTGTATTAAAGGCGCCTCTATAACGATTACTGCAACAAATTTTTGCCCTCCTAATTTTGCTCTTCCAAACAACAATGGAGGCTGGTGCAACCCTCCTCTTCAACATTTTGATATGGCTCAGCCTGCTTGGGAAAAGATCGGGATTTACAGAGGTGGAATTGTTCCTGTTTTATTCCAAAGGTAATAACTTTAATCAATACACTAATTCTTCTGGTGAAAAAAACTATTACTTTTAGTTAAAACTACTTTAATCTACTTTAATCTCGCAGGGTTCCATGCAAGAAACATGGCGGAGTTAGATTCACAATCAATGGAAGAGATTATTTTGAGCTTGTAATGATAAGTAATGTGGGAGGAGCTGGATCGATCCAATCTGTGTCGATCAAAGGGTCAAAAACAGGGTGGATGGCAATGTCAAGAAACTGGGGAGCTAACTGGCAATCTAATTCTTATCTAAATGGACAATCTTTGTCATTTAGAATAACAACCACTGATGGGGAGACCAGATTATTTACAGACATTGTTCCATCCAACTGGGGATTTGGGCAGACTTTCTCTAGCTCAGTTCAATTTTAAATTGAAAAAGAAAAAATAATTATTAGAGTTGAAGGGGTTTGATTTGGCTGAGGCGTGCTTATAATTTTACTAGAGCAGCCCGCTGTATAATTCTTTTCTTTCATCAATATATGAATCCATGACTATGGACTCTGCCCTTTCTTCCTTATACAACAAAATTATTTGTTGAGTTGCAATCTCTTCTGCAATAAGAAGCATAATGTAATTTGTAATATGAATCTTTGTCATGGCTATTTCATTGTGAGTCAATCTATTCAATTATATTCCTTCCATATGCCTTTTTTCTTGTTAGATTAGTGCATAAATTTTATTAGATTAATCCACCTGATTAATAGTAGAAGATTAGTAAAAAGAAATTAGAGACGATCTTTATCATTAGTGAAATTCCAAATAGCAATTAGAGATGATTTTTAAACTGTAATTTCAACGCAATCCCAACTGCCAATTGCCTCATTGTAAGTTCCCAGGCAAAATGGGGGTTTTGTGTTTCAGATGAGGTAAACAACTTCAAGTTTCAGTTTGAACCCAATAGAGGTCCAATAATATTGATGGGGTTGTAAAATAAAGAACAGGATTCTTGCCAATCAGGTTCCCATTTTTATTCTGGTGTTCCTTATGTTCTGCAATGTATGTGAAAAATGAAAGCTTGACCGATCTTAAATTATGCGAAAATAACTTTATTGGTTCAACCTCATCTACCAAACACATTCCCTTTTATAATATATAATATTCTCTTATTGCATACTTTGTTTACAAATTTTTAACCATTACAAGGCTTAATTAATAACTCATAGTTAGCAAAAGTGGCAGTTGCAAGAGCTATACTTAATACTTATGAAGCATATATATATATATATTTGACTTTGTCTTGTTATGGGCATATAAGCTTCAATACTACTCCACTACGATTGTTGATCACCAAATGTGCTAACTGCTAACTACCATATCCATCTCGCTAACAACTCCACTGCAAATTCTAATCCTAATCCATAATAATATGTTTTCCAGTTGCAAGAGCTATACTTAATACTTATGAAGCATATATATATATATATTTGACTTTGTCTTGTTATGGGCATATAAGCTTCAATACTACTCCACTACGATTGTTGATCACCAAATGTGCTAACTGCTAACTACCATATCCATCTCGCTAACAACTCCACTGCAAATTCTAATCCTAATCCATAATAATATGTTTTCTCCATAAATACCCATCTGTTTGCTTAATTACTTACTCACAGAAACTGAGGCTAATTTAAAATGGCGGTCTTACTGGCTCTTGCTCTTGCCCTTGTGGTTTTTCCGATTTCTTATTCTCCAGTATATGCACTGAGCTTGAACTACTATGACAATGTCTGCCCTCATCTGGAGTACACTGTTACTTCTGCTGTCAAAAAAGCTATGATCAATGACAAGACAGTTCCAGCTGCTTTGCTTCGAATGCATTTTCATGACTGTTTTATTAGAGTATAATTAATTATGCTTAACCCCTAATAATTATTTTTCTGAACATTATCATATAATTGATTGCTTAACTTTTTTTTTTTTCTTCTGAAACCATTTTCATTAAGGGATGTGATGGTTCTGTGCTTTTGGAGTCAAAGGGAAAGAATAAAGCAGAGAAAGATGGGCCCCCTAACATTTCAGTGCATGCTTTTTACGTTATTGACAATGCAAAGAAAGCAGTAGAAGCTATGTGTCCTGGTGTTGTCTCTTGTGCTGATATTTTGGCTCTAGCTGCATAGAAGCTATGTTGTCGGGGTGTTGTCTCTTGTGCTGACTATTTTTGGGCTCTTAGCTGGCATAGGGACGCTGTTGCTTTGGTTTAGCAATTAAAAAATTAAAAATGTATTAGGTTAATTATTCATTTTCTTGGATTAATCCTTGTGGTTTTTCCGATTTCTTATTCTCCAGTATATGCACTGAGCTTGAACTACTATGACAATGTCTGCCCTCATCTGGAGTACACTGTTACTTCTGCTGTCAAAAAAGCTATGATCAATGACAAGACAGTTCCAGCTGCTTTGCTTCGAATGCATTTTCATGACTGTTTTATTAGAGTATAATTAATTATGCTTAACCCCTAATAATTATTTTTCTGAACATTATCATATAATTGATTGCTTAACTTTTTTTTTTTTCTTCTGAAACCATTTTCATTAAGGGATGTGATGGTTCTGTGCTTTTGGAGTCAAAGGGAAAGAATAAAGCAGAGAAAGATGGGCCCCCTAACATTTCAGTGCATGCTTTTTACGTTATTGACAATGCAAAGAAAGCAGTAGAAGCTATGTGTCCTGGTGTTGTCTCTTGTGCTGATATTTTGGCTCTAGCTGCAAGGGACGCTGTTGCTTTGGTTAGCAATTAAAAAATAAAATTAATTAGTTAATTACATTTTCTTGGATTAATGGCTAATTAGGCCTTAATTATGTGGCAGTCAGGAGGGCCCAGTTGGAATGTCCCTAAAGGAAGAAAAGATGGAAGAATTTCAAAGGCAAGTGACACTAGGCAATTGCCTGGTCCCACTTTCAACATTTCTCAATTACAACAAAGCTTTTCACAAAGAGGACTTTCCCTTGAAGATCTAGTTGCTCTCTCTGGTAATTTCTTAATAATTTTCTTGTTTCCTATACGTGTTTTTACGCTTGAACTGTAAGTTTCATATCATACTTTGTATTACGTAGGAGGTCACAGTCTTGGATTCTCCCACTGTTCTTCCTTCCAGAACAGAATCCACAACTTCAATAAGAGTATAAACATTGACCCGACGTTGAACCCATCATTTGCAACGAGTTTAAGGAATGTATGTCCGATGCACAACAAGGTTAAAAATGCAGGTGCTACATTGGATTCTTCAACAACTGTATTTGATAATGCTTACTATAAATTACTTGTCCAAGGCAAGAGTCTCTTCTCTTCTGATCAAGCTCTGCTAACTACTCCAAAAACCAAAGCTCTGGTTTCTAAGTTCGCCAACTCTCAGGAAGAGTTCGAAATGGCTTTCGTTAAGTCCATGATCAAGATGAGTAGTATTATTGGCTGTGGACAAGAGATTAGGCTAGACTGTAAGGTTGTTAATTAGGAGATGTTAATTTAAGGCTGTCGAAGTGGACAACCACAGAATTCGAATTTGAATTATTGTTTTTCTGTAATTGATTTAAGTGAAACATAAATTTTTTTATGGATTTTTTTTAATTATTACGTTGCTTTAAATTCACTTAATTGTAATAATAATTATTAAACATGTCAAATTTTGGTAAGATGGTGCTTATACGGAAAAAAAATATTATATTTTCATTTTTATTTGAATAATACATTAATCTTTTATTCTAATTTTTTCTGCGATAATTAAAATAATTTATAAAGATAAAAATTAAAAATAATTTCTCTTTTTAATTAATATTAAAATCAGATTAACTTCTATCAAAAAAGAATATCTATAAAATTGATAAAACTAATTAATTATGTAGCCGTTATTGTTATTGTGCTTTGGGCAAAATAATTCTAGTGGTTGTGAGCTTATTTATTTTTTGAGTTCAAACTCCAAAGCCCATAAGGTCCATATCATGAACCGGCCCAACCTTATTTGCAGTAACTGAACCGAACTTTCCAACTTCCTACATTGCCCTTGAGGGGTTAATAACAGAGCCGTCGGGAGACCGGTAGTCTGTCGAACTGAACTGGAACTGAAACCTTTGTAACTGCAACCAAATAACAGCCAAGTCCATCAACTTCTCTCTAAATTTCAATTCAATGAGCCATCAAAACCTCGACGAATCAAACATCCTCAAAACGACAATACAAGATAACACAATCCTGAAACAAGTTCGAGTTCCAGAAGTGGAAGCTATTGATGAGGACTTGCATAGACTCCTCGTACCTGATGTCTGCAATCTTCCTCTCGTTCCTCCCTCTGCAATCGAAACTAACTTCGTCTCGTATTTCGCTAAAGGTCCTTTCTCAATTTAATACTTTTCTCTGTTTTTTCTTGCTTAATGCTCGCGCTAACCTGTTCATGATGTTTTTTTTTTTTTTATGGATTTCAATCAGATTTTATGAAGGCAGGGCACGACCAGTATGTTTATCGCCATGCCAATGGGTATGTAAATTTTTGACCTTTTTTGTTTCTCTTACATACTGTGTTTCGCAGTTTCGGTGAATGTCGATTAATATGATGTCTATCTTTGTGATCGGAAGTTTATGTGTGATCGGTCTGGCTCCTACCCATATGGCTTTTAAGGATGAAGGAGGAATCAGCACCGTTGATTTTAATGTTGGAAAGTCTGATCGGAGTGGCATTAAGGTTACTGGGAAGCGCAAAAAGGTATTTGTTCCCTTCTTGTTTTGGAGCGACTATGGTTTTAGCTGATATGTTCTTTGGTGTTTGTGATGTTCTTATTTAGATTTTGAGATGCTTAAACATTCCAATTGAGATTGGAAAGGATTTGAGTTCTGTGTAAATAAAAAACACCATAGAACTTCCAAAGAATATCCAGATTTCTTTTTTGCACAAATATGTTTGACTCTAGCTGATTAATGTCTCTTATTTGTTCATTTAGCTGAGTTAATTGAAATTAGAGATAATCTTTTGCAGAATGCACAGCACTTCGAGTCTAACACAGCTCTTTGTAAAGTTTGCACAAAAGATTCTTCCTATATTGTCAGGTAGAGCTGTTTCTCAGCTTTCCTCTCCCCTCGCCCCAGGGCTACAATGTTGAGCTGAAGTTTGTTATTGACTTTCGCCAGGTGTTGTGTTAAGGGCTCACTATTGGAAGTGAATGATAAACTAATCAAACAGCCAGAACTGCTTAATTCTTCGGTAAGACCATTCCATGGATGCCAAATATGAAACAACATTTAAATTTAATTATAATTACTCTATGATGACATCTCTGGTGTATAACCATTTTGGTGGGGGTTTAATATCAAATCTATATAGGTTCTAATTTCTTGGTTATTTCAGGTTTTTGGAGTTTCCACTTGTGTTTTGGTGTAGTTTTTTCTCAGAAACATATTAGACAGGAGAGTTTGTCAGTTATAATTCCTTGAAGGAATAGAAAATTTTATCAGCATCTGAAATATTCTTATGGGACTGATTTGTTTATTTGTGAAGTAGTTGATTTCTGTTGCCATATGTGGTGTTCGTTATGCTTGTGTATGCATTGACAAAGATGTTCTATTGCAGGCAGATAGAGAAGGATACATAGCCATTATTATGCCAAAGCCAGCAGATTGGCTGAAGGTCAAGGCTTCATTACTAAGCCTTGAAGAATACAAGAAATTGAATGAATGTAGGTGAGCATCATGATACTTGAATCGGTTTCTTGGCCTCGGAGAAAACATGAAATACAGAAACATGCTGCCTGACAAAGGCATTTGCTGGGAATCTCAGCAAAAGCAAGGCAATTCAGATGCTCTCTCTACCCCATTTTTTAATGTTGTTGTGTTAAATTATTTATATCAATAATGATTTTGTATGGATAGAATAAGAACATTAATTGAGTAATTGGATAATGCTTTATAATGTAACTCTGAGCAAGAATGCTGAGCGAAAACAGGGAAATGCAGATCTCTCTACTGATGTTTTATGTACACATGAAACAGAACATGCAGGGATTCCACAGTTAATGAGTGTTAATTCTGTAAAACATTACTTTGGATAAGTTTATGATATTGCCATGTTTTGGCATCAATTGGAAACAAGACAAAAGAATAAATAAATGAATCACTAGTGACCAAGCGAAGTCGTCCCTGTCTGAAGACTAACAGGCAATTATTCTGCTTAAAAAGCAATTGGCATCTCCAACTTTGCCTTGTAAGCTGTCACGACCTTTAAGGATACTGTCATGATATGCACGAGAACTGTTGATGAGAGAAAAGAATCCATTATCAATTGCATTGATGTTTCGCAACCTTTATCTCTTGTAAAACGAGCCTTCTGGATCTGTTTATAGTATGAAAACAGAGATAGACGTGTTCTTCAAGTTCATCCAGCTGCTCTTGATAGCAAGAATCATGCATATAGAACTCTTTAACTACCTTCTTCAATAGTTCTGTATTTTTACTCCTAACACACATATCAGCAAGTGCCTTCTTATGTTCTAACTCATCATGTAAACTCATCACTAACCTACTCATAGTATCAAAATCATTAACCAATATATAAGTTCCTTTGGCTGCAAGATCAAGCTGTGCAGAGAGTTTTTCCAGCAAGCCTGTTTTAAGCCCTCCATTGATAAACTTGATTTTCTTTCTGAAAAAGTACAAAGAGCAACCCATAAGTCCCGGTGCTGCCACAATTCCAACAATACCATGTAGTGCTATTACTAGCAACGCAATTAAAAGTGCAGTATGCGAAATCAAAAGACAATATCCTCCAACTTTCTTGCAAATTCTCTTAACTTTCACTTTCCTTGTAATCTTTCTCTGCTCTGAAGTCAATTTATGAAGCAACCCCATGTTGTTATCATGAACATCCTGGAATTCTAACTGACTAACAAACGATAAGGGATTTCTAAGCAATGTATAAGCAGTTAGTTCTCTAAATATAACTCCATTTACTTTATCAGTATAATCTGCAGAATCTTGCATTCTGTTGCTTAATTTAATTACCCTTTCAATTCTCCGATAATTAACTCGAGTTTGATGAATACTTCGAAGCAGCAAATCGCAAAGATTACACGCTTCTAAGCTAGCTTCAAAATAGTCTATTAAAGAATGATGGAACTTGAACCTTTGTATCAGATCCGCTAAGGTCTGCTGTTTCTCTGGTTCAGAAAGATATTCTGAAAGATGAACATAAAAAGGAAGAGATGAAGAAGGAGAAAGTCCATCAATTCCATCAACATTTATTCTTTTTAGCTGGCCTTGAATTTTGCTCCACATTTCTACGTAAGATTTTGTCCTGAAAGCTTCCCTATACTCTTCATTCACGTTTAACTTGTTGCTTAAGCTGTTGCCAAGCTGATCTCGTGATCTCTCTAACAAAACAGAAACAACACAACAAAAAAGAAATTAGTGCAAAAAGAATTAGAAACTCCATTAGAAACTCCATTTTCTTGAAATGTGGATCTATGTTGGTAACTGGTTTAATGGGTTCTTAATCAAAGATTCTTAATTTCAGAAAGAGAAAGAATAAACAAAAAGAGTACCTGAACTAGAAAAGGAGAACTTGAACTTGGCCCACACAAGCTTTCTCATTGGAGTCATATCAATGAGGGAAGAAAATCTTTATATTAACGGAGGAAGAAAATCTTTATCTGTTGTTGAAAACTAGAAATAGATTGAATAAGAGAATCAAGGCATCTAAGTAGAGATATATAATATAAGGGAAAAAGAGAGACACGAAGTCGTCGAGTTGGCAGTTAGCACCGTCTCAAATTTAGTTTCGGTTAATGAAACAATAACTTTAATCACACGAAAGTGTGTTTATGTCTTTCACACGGTGTGGTTTATGTTACGTGTAATGCCCTGAGACAAAGCTTTTACAGCAAAAACAGTGTTAGCAACAAGGGGAGATTATCTTGTTTTGAAGTTGCTCATACGCAATTATTATTAATCCTAATAATCATTATTTTGTTTTCTTTTTATTTTATTTTCCTTTTCTACCGGAGTGAATTCTGACCAGACGTTATTTTATCATCTGATGCTTGCAAAAACTGGCAGTAAAAACTTCTCTCTCCTCTGATTATACACAAACTAATTACAAGTAAATAATAAAAAAATTATTTATGATTAAACAAAAATCTAAAAGCTTTCTGGGCCGCAAATTTGCCATAAAAATATCTAACAAAATAATATTGCTTCCACTCTTTGGCAATTGGCCCTCTTCCCTTATGGACAGAATTCAAAATAAGTTAATTAATGCATTTATATAATTAAAAGATGACCATGTACTTGTTTGTTTCCAAGTTCCAACTTCCAATTGCTTCTAGATTTTGCAAACTTTTCGCCACTTTCCCCATTCATACTCTGCTTATTCTCATGTCTTAAATTAAGATTGCATTAACCCAAGAATGTTGGAAACCGATTGAGCAAAAGATCTATATAATGCTTTTATGATTAGATGACTCTAGTTAAGATAAATTCAAAACTCTGATTAAATTTCATTTCGTGTAAATAAAATCATTACACAGATTACTAGTTGTATAAGTATAAAGACGATAAGTTCAGATTTAAATTCAAATTTCCTGCCAATACTCAAAAAAAAAAAAAAAAAAAAACTCTAGTTAAGATAAATTGTCAAAAACTCTGATAATTTCATTTCGTGTAAATAAAATCCATTACATCAGATTACTAGTTGTATAAGTAATAAAGACGAATAAGTTTTCAAGATTTAAATTCAAATTCTGCCATACTCAAAAAAAAAAAAAAAAACACTTACTGAATGCTGAATTATAAAATTGATATACTAGAAACAAGAAATTAACATCCTGTATATACAACGTTTGAAGCTGTAGCTATATTAACGACTCTTCAAATGCTCAACCACTATTTCATCAAATAAATTAGTAAGATATATCGCTACTCAATTTATTACGATTGTTTTATTTAAAAAAAAAAAAAAAAAAAACACTACTGAATGCTGAATATAAATTGATATACTAGAAACAAGAAATTAAAATCCTGATATACACGTTTGGAAGCTGTAGCTATATTAAGACTCAAATGCTCAACCACTATTTCATCAATATTAGTAAGATATACGCTACTCAATTTATTACCATGTTTATTTCTGGCTACGTGCTTCGCCATACAAGCAACAGAAGAAAACGCCAGTCAAATTCAATAAAGTAAGAGCATATAAATGAAATTAGGCCAAGATCTATAGATTTCTAAAATTTTGCAGCTCCAGCTATGTCAATTACAAAACGATACCTAACATCATTTCTTGCAAGTCGGTCTAATGCGTCGTTGATTTTGTTTGGTTTAACAACCTCAATGTCGCAAGTTATGTTATATTTGCCACACAGATCCATCATCTCTTGTGTTTCTCTCATTCCTCCTGTCATGCTACCTTTCACTGTTCTTTTCCCTGCAACAAGTTTATTTTTCCGGTTAAATTTTAGTTAATGTATACTCTCATTTGTATAAATTAGATAGCGATAAGCTAAGTAAAGAGATGCTACCAAATATTAAAGGGAAAGAAGGCAGCTCAAAGGGCTTCTCCGGTGCGCCGACAGCCACCAATGTCCCATTCACTTTGAGCAATTCTAAGATTGGGCCAAGAGAGTGATTAGCTGACACTGTGTCCAGGATAAAATCTAGAGTTCTCTTCCCTGCCTGTAAACCAAACGAAAAAGAATCAAAATCTGGCAAATGGGATTTGTTCATTTATAAATTTCCAAACAAAAAAAGGAAGTAGAAGACAGACCTTCATTTGCTTGGCGTTGGTGCTGACAATAAAATCATCTGCGCCCAAACGATCCTTGGCCTCTGTTTCCTTAGATGGAGAAGTACTAATCACAGTCACATGGTGACCAAATGCCTTTGCAAACTTCACAGCTACATGTCCCAGACCTCCGAGACCCACTATCCCTACTCTTTTTCCTGGCAACTCCACCAAGTTGCTGTCTTTCATTGGGCTAAATACAGTAATTCCAGCGCAAAGCAGGGGAGCTGCTGCGTCCATCGGCAAGTTTTCCGGTATGTGCACCACGTACCTTCATATCAAGCGTCATTAGATCAATAAGAAGTCCATTTTCAAATCAATTAATTTATCCTAATATATTTACAAACCTGTGATCTGCCACCAACATTTCAGAGTAGCCACCATAAGTGATGCTACCGTCCCAGAAAATGCCATTATAAGTAAACTGTATCTGGTCACAGTAATTCTCCTGAGAGGTCTTGCAGAATTCACACTCCAAGCATGAAGCTGTCAAGCACCCAACTCCTGCTCTATCTCCGACCTTGAAATTCTTCACATTGCTTCCCACCTTGGTGATTATCCCGGTAATTTCATGCCTAAAATACAGTAGAACACATATGTTTATTTATTTATATAAAACAATTAACAAAAAAAGCTCATGAAAATCAAATATGTTCTGTTACCCTGGCACCACAGGATACATGGTGATCCCCCAATCATTCCTCACATGATGGAGATCGGTGTGGCATATTCCACAGTACAAGATTTTTATAGTCACATCGTTGATGCCATTTTCTCTGTGCAAAGTTCAAAAACTATTATCTAGTGAAATCATGTTGAGAAATAATGAAACTCAACTTGATAGATAGATGGATACATACCTTCTTTTGAATATGTAAGGGGTGATCTTGCCTGAGGAATCATGAGCAGCCCATCCAGAAACAGTCTGTGTGTGATTAGGAGTTGTTTGAGCCATAAGACGAGTCTCCTTTAGATACAAATGGGGAAAAAAAAATTTCAAGCCTAGAACAATGGAATTGAAGTAGAAGAGGTGAAGTTGCTTCCTTGAACGCTCTCCCTCCTGGCTTTTAAAGAAATGTTAAATCTGACAGGTTGGGGGTAGTTGTGGTTTCACGTCGAAATTGAATATATGTGTTAAAAGCACCAGGAAGTAGATATCCTGTAGACTGAAAGAAAGAAGCAACTGGGTTAAATAATTAATGACCATTGCCAATTTGAGGTTCAAGACTTGAAGTCTTCAACTCTGGTCGGTCAGTCAATGTGAATGAAAGCTTCTCCACCAGACGATAGAAAATTCAGGGAAAATATAAGACACACAGAAAGCTTTTTCGCTCCACTAACGGAATGGAATCTGATCATTAAGCATATTAGTAGTTTATTACTTTGACTTGACTTAGCTACATGACAAATTTGAATCTGTTTAGTTATGTACTATGTTACTTCAAGTGAGTTGGTCGTAAATTGTTTCCTATAATATTTTCTTAGGAAATTGTTTCCCATTGATAAGCTTACCTACCCAATATAATTAATTAACAATTGACAATATAAATGTTTTTTAATCACTTGTAGCTCGTGCTCTATTTTAAAATCTATGTTGGTTGGATTACATTTTACATAGCTTTTTATGTTTTGATTACATCTTACCTTACTTTCTATGTTTCTTAAAAATTTAATGTTCTAATCAGTCAAAAAACTAAACGTTCGGTAACATGACATTTAAATTAACTTTTAAGATTAAAAAAAATATTTTATAAAAGATTAATCTCTTTAGATACGTAAAAAAAACTCTAACATTAGCATCACTAGGTACTGAAACAGATGACGATATCAAAATAATTACTGATATTTTGAGAGAATTTGGCCCGAGGTGGGAATACAATACAAACAAGCACAAAGCCCATAAAATAATTAGTTGAATTGGAGTCCTTGAAATGGGCCCAACCCAAGCAATTGAATAACTAGACTAGTGGGCCTGGATTCAGCCCAAACTGCTATAAGTTGTTCAACTTGTTAAATAATGACGTCATATATTTAGTATTTACTGGTAACAAAATAAACACAAATTTGGTGCCCCTCCAAATTCCAATCCGCTCGATAAAATAGGCATGCAAAGACAATTGAGTCCTTTTAGCGCGTCGCATTTTCTGCTGTTTACAAAAGTCAAAACCTCCTTAAATTATTCAGAAATTTTTTTATTGACTTCCACCAAGTTAATTAATGGTCTCTGAATTTTTGTTTGTAGGTATTCCCATGCTAAAAGAGTAAATTTAAACGAAATTGATTATTATGATAATTATTTTTTGAAAATAATTTTCCTACTAAAAGAAATATGTTAAAATTTAATAATTCTAGCAAATTGAAAATTGAAACTTTCCCCCAAAAAAAATACGAATCAAGTTTATCTTTTTATATAATTGAATCACGAACTGATTTTCAGTTTGATTTGATATATATTTTTTATCTTGACTATTTTTAAGATTAATTTGATTTGATTTTAAATTTTAATAAAGATTAAAAATGATTCAGAAAAATAAATTTAATTTTTTTATTAAAACTAAAATCAAATTCAATTAAATTATATCAATACATTCAATTTAATTTAGTCAATTTTGAATGATTTTTGTTCATATCAATAAGTAGCAAAGTTTGTTTAGGTTCTGTTTAGATTCACCAAATTTTTCTAATTAACTTTTTTCAAGATTAATTTTGAATATATTAGAGAGCTTATTGGGCTCGGGTCAATCGACTTCAATAAGTTAAATTTTTCTTAATTTACTATATTAATAAAATAATTAATTTTACCGATAAAAATAATTTATGACAACCCCTACCAATATTATTTATTAATTCTATTTACTTAAAACATTTAATTTTGCTAATGTGAATCCATAATAATTAGTAATAAGAAAAAATTTTCTTCTTTCTTTCAGGTAATTGTGTGATATCATCCATATAGGTGCAAGTGATTTGAGTTTATGAAAAGTTGATTTGTTTTTCTAAATACTTCTAAAAAAATGCTGGGGTTGATTATTTAGCTAAACTAAATAAATCAAAATGATCGAAAATTAAATATATGATAAATGAAATTAAAAAACCAAAAATATAAGTATTTAAAAAAAAATGTAAATCATCAATTAATACGAAGATCTCTATTTTTAAAAATTAGTTATGAGATTTTTAATTTATAATTTTTTTAATATATTGATATTTTTATAATTTTTATTAATCTTTTGATTTTCTGTTTCGAATGGACCGAGTCAAAATTTTAAAATGTTATAATTAAATTTTGAAAATAAAATTCTTATATATTAATTTTACTATAACTTGGGACCGATTGTTTTTTTGAGAAGTACAATCCCTAAATCGGGCAAATGAATAACATTTATTTTTAAAAATAATAATACTAGAATAATACTCGATAAAATTTCTATGCATCAAATACTATAAGGGTAATTTCATAGTTTCGCACGCATCTGAAACATGTACCAAAAAGAATGAAGTGCTCAGTCTCGCTCACACGCGGACATAACCATACAAAAGGATATTTTGGTAATTGGAAGAGTTACATTTGCATATCATAACAAATCCTTGCATCTTCCTAACTCCAAAGTCCTAAGGAGTAAGGAGTCCCTGTAAAAACAAAACTAAAAAAGAAAAACAAAAAGAAATAAAAGAAATAAAAACGACATTGGAGAGAGAGAAAGGAGCGAAGAAGGAAGAGAAGAGAAGAGGCATACAGAGAGAGGACTGTGTGACGGCGGCTTATTTGTTAATTTCACGTGTTAGATCTTTCTCTCGTCTTACTATTTTCGTACATTCCTTCAATAGCACCTAATGTCCTCCTCCCTTCTTAGTTTTGGTTGATCAATTAATTTAATTGACCAGTTTCAATTTTTGTTCTTTTGATTGATGTTGATCATCTTACACTGATTTTTGTTTTTGAAACCCTAATTTTTGATGGCGATGACTGCTGATTCATCACAAAGTCCGCGTAGTGGTAGTGGTTCTGTGTTATCTGTTGATGGTGTAAACAGTCCGCAAAAGCACAAAAGTCTTCACTCTCCCTGGGCTCAAATTGTCAGAGGTGAGCCAGAATCTGTTCCTCCCCTCAATCATTCGCCACCACCACCGCCACTACAGTCTTCCTCACCGCCATCCATTCTAACTTCCAACGAGCAATCTACTTTTTCTGATTGCTCTCCGGAGAATTTTGAAAGCAATGCAGAAAAGCCAAAGAAGCTGGCTTGGAAGAAGCCATCGAATGGCGTAGCTGAGGCTGTCAGTCCTGTGATGGGAGCCGTTTCATGGCCTGCTTTGTCTGAATCCACTAAATCTTCTCCTAAATCATCATCTGCTGATTCTTCTGATGGATCCATAGCCAATAATCAGGTTTGTTTTTGTTGTCGTCACTAGCCTTTTGTTATATTGATATTTGATCACCGAGAAAATCGAGGAAGCAATTGAATTTTATTTATGTGAATTATATCGTTTTAGTTTTCATTAAGGAAAGACTTGCTCTGTAATTTCAGATAGTTGCTATTGTAGCTTTCTCTGTCCCGAAACCCAGTGGATTGAAATATTTTACTTCCTTACGGTTTATTGGCTAGGCTGTTAATATCTTTAGGACTTGCTTATTACAATTTTCCTCTAAGAGGTATACTTGAGACTATAGGCTAAAATGGATTCCAAAGTCTTCTAACTAGTTATAACTAAAATTTTCTAATTGGCTGGTAAACCTGTTCATTTCTTTAGGAATCACGTATTACAATATGCCTTGCCTCCATTTATGGAAGATTGTGAGATAGGGGAGTCAGTCTGCCTCCACTTTTTGGCTGGCTAGTCTTTTGGGTTGATAGCAATTGAAATTTGTATATGTTGTTTTGTTGTTTTGTTGTAGGTGCCTGTAATACCTCCAAAGCAAACGTCTAGTAATGCAAAATCTAATGCTACTTCGAATCAATCAATGCCAGCTCGACAAAGATCTATAAAGCGTGGTGGCAGTGGCAGCAGCACTACCTCTGGAGGTGGGCATTCTCATTCTCATTCTCAAAGCAACTTCACCCATCCTCCCCCGCCACCGCCACCGCCACCACCACCACCTTTTCCTCTTTTTGCAATGCCTCCCAATGGATATGGTAATATGGTACCAGCCATGCCAGATCGCTCTCCAAGAGATCCTCCATATAGGGGCAACAACAATTGGGAACCTAGACCAGTTGGAGGGTTTGTTACTCAACCTCCTGCGGTAAATGATCACAGACATTCCTCCAGGAGAGGCAACTTTGGGTCACGTGGTGATGGTACCTACCATCACAATTTTGGGGGCAGGCGTGATCAGGACCGAGGGCATTATGGGAATGTCAGAGATGCTCCTGTGCAACAACAAAGATCTCCAAGGGGCTTTGTTAGGCCTCCACCACCGAATACTACCACATTCGTTCCACCCCAGCCTGTGAGACCCTTCGCAAATCCCATAGGTTTTCCTGGTAAGCTTTTTTCTTTTGTCGATTACTTTGATATGGAAGTAATCTCGTTCTCTAAAGTGAAAGACATCTTATTCAAGTCTCTTTGGTTTTGGGATTGCAAAGTGACGGGTAATATTTGTTTTCTTTTTTGTGAATCAGTGAATAGATAAGTTGAACTGTAAACTATTCTTTTGGTTTTTGCTTCTGATCTCTTTTTCGTAACACCAGTATACAGGCGGTGGTATCCTTCAGCATTTATTAATAGAATATTTTGTTTTATGGACAAAAATAACTTCAATGTTGATTCAGATGTGGTATATATTCCAACTTTGCCGTTGGAGCCCTTTAGGGGGGTGCCTTTCATCACACATGCACCAGCACCTGGAATAATTGTACCTGTCCCTGAACCTCCTTTGCCTGCAATGTTAGTCCATCAGATAGAATATTATTTCAGGTATTGTTACATTCTTGATCCTGTTCAAGTCATTAGAAGTAACTTAATTAAATTTGTCATTGACTTCTGTATGTCTGTTGAAACAATTGTTGTTTGCTTGTTGCAGTGATGCTAATTTAATTAAAGATGATTTCTTAAAGTCGAACATGGATGATCAGGGCTGGGTTTCAATTACTTTAATAGCAGGCTTTAATCGCGTAAGTGAATTTATGAATGAACTTGGGAATTATGATCTTTCTTCTTGTAGCTTAAATTGTCAATCTATGTCAATTGATTTATATTTGCATCGCCCTTGTAATTTATGCTCCTACTTGCCTTAAAACTCCATGGAAGCTGAGCAAACTTTAAAATCGTGTTGTCCATTCAACCGTGGGAGACACTTCTTTCATTCTACCTTTGAATAAGAACTTGGATTTATTGAATTGATTACATTGTCATAATAAAATTTGATGAGATTCTTAAAAATTAATAGTTTGAGCAAATATTAGAAAACATATGCTCAATATTAGTTTTCTGGATTTATGGAGATATGAGTAAGGTTGTGTATGATTACCAAATAGTTTGTTAAAGAGATATGCTTTCTGCATAATTGTGTTTCTGGATTCCTTGACATTTAGTTTCTAATATCTCAATTAAATTAGTGCAGATCAGTTATAAACTGAGCGGAATGAAACAAGAATTCACATAGCTGACTTCAACTGGTTTGAGATTAAGGTTTAGTGGTAGTTGTTGTTGGGAGTAAGGCTTAGTGGTTGTTGTTGGATTCTCCTTTTCCTTCAGTATTCATCTGATGCTTGGTTAATATGCTTGTTGTTTGTAATCTTCTTGCAAGTTTAAACTGAAATAGCTTTAAAAAACTAATCTGAGTGGAAGGATAAGAGAATAATGTGAAGGGTTCAGGAAGCACGAAGCACACTACACTAATATAAGAAAGGGAAGGCTATTCCTTTGACCTTGAAGTCTGAGTTGGAAATGGCATTTATTGCTTTTATTAGGTTCCTATTCTTCTCATTTGCTTTTGACATGTTGCTTTCTCATAGTTATTCGTGACTTAGCTCAACTGAACTAAGCTTTAATTTCAAATGAGTTGGGTTGGCTATTTATGTAGTAAGTACAACTTTATTTCCTTTTTTTCTCAGAGGGGTGGTTTAATGGTGGATAAGTTTGAAAATAGACTGATTTCATGCAAGATAAGGTATCTTGTGAAGCTGACGATTTTTTATTACTGGCTTGTGTGATCTACTTGTTTTTCAAGTGAATTCTGCTTTTTCTATGTTATTTTGCTGGACCTGTCTAGAAGCTAGTATGAGAGTTTTATGGACCTTGAAAGTTGGAGTATCTGTACACAGAATTCTTTAAGGTATGGAGAATGCAGAAATAAGTTGCGGAAATAGGTGAATGGTTGCATAATATTTGGGAAATTTTTGTGGTGGATGCGGTTTCGGAGGGCTAATTGTCTGTTCAGTCAGTGTTCTGTAATCAGCGATGATCCTCTTTTTTTGATGGAAATCACAATTATAATCCTCATTCTGCCCCCATCCAACGATTAAAATTTCCAAGCATTATTGGTTTCTTATGGGTTGATGTAGTTGAAGGTTAGATTTTGGGAGGATCAGTCTTTTTAAATTAGCAAGAGCTGTAGATGGAAGGATCATTGATATGGTAAATTGCTTTCTGGAAAATACTAATTCTCCCTCTTTGGTTTGTAATATTAAGGGAAAGGTTTTAACTTTAGGTGGAGATGGCTTTTGGACAAGGTTTCAGAATCATGTAGAGAGCTTCTAGGTGTTTGTGAATGTATACTTAACTATCTCATTATTCAAACTCCTTCCTCTAAGATAAAAAATGGTATATTTGATGCAACTGAGTTGTTATCTATTGTACGGTACTGTTAAGAAAATGCATACAGATTGTGGAGGAATTGTATATGCCTTGTGGATGGAATTCAAGTAATTTGTTATTTTTGTTATATTATTTTTAATATAAATGGAATTTCTTCCTGTTCAAATCTGTGCTTCCATTTGCATCTTGATGTAGTGGATTGTTATTTCAGCATCCACCTTCCATAGGTGAGTCTTCCTCAAAAGGAAGGGAGGTTGGGATTGCGTATGATTGAATAAAATCTCCACCATCCCAACTAATGAGTTGGTATATGTCACATTTAGATTCAGTTTGTTCTCTATTTTTTTATTTATATCTAAATCTCTGATTGTTAATTAGATATAATTTATAATAGATGTGTTTGCAGACTAAGTTTTTTTGTGGTTATGCTTTTGCAGGTTAAGAGTATGACCAAGGATGTCCAGTTAATCTTAGATTCCTTGAGGACCTCAACTATTCTAGAAGTGCAGGTACCTTTCTTTTGTTATAACATTAATCATGGAATTAAATTAGTTGGTTTCTGTCGTGTTATGCTTGATTTCAATCCATCGTTCAGAAGTTCAGTTTAGCTTCAATTAGCAAGTGTTTAATATCACGTTTTGAGATTAATTATTCATGTACCGGAGCCACTATTTCAATAGTTTGATTTGCGACTCTAATAATGAAATTTGATTCAGGAAGAAAAAGTGAGAAGGCGTAATGATTGGATGAAATGGATTCCTGGTTCTAGTAGGCTTTCTATTGATTCAGGCCTACAATCCTTCAATTCACCAAGTCAAGGTATGTTGACTAATTCATTTCAAAAGATGACAGTGGAGGAAGTCACCTCTAACCAAATTAGTACGCCAGCTAATCCATTGCCTAACCCAGAGGATACTTCTATAAGGAGTTCATCAGAGCTAATGACTCGTTCTCAAGTCTCGCAATGGGAAGGTACTGAAGATTCAAGTTCAAGCTGAAACCAATCTGTTCATGCTGCTGCCTTAAAAGCAAAATTCTTTGAGGATAATGCACTTGGTTTTTGTGGAGATGGAAGATAGATGCTGCTATGCAAGGTTAGAAAGGCACCTTCACTTTTTATTTTGCCATCACCGTGCCTGGTTTTGACAGAATTTGCTGAGGCACATTGATGAAACCAAAATAAGAAATATATAGGTATTTATTCAAGGACAGAAAAAAAAAAAAAAAAAAAAAAAAAAAAAAAAAAAAAAAAAAGAAAAAAAAAAAAAAAAAAAAAAAAAAAAAACAAAAAAAAAAAAAGACTCTCTAGGGCTTTTTAATCTGGCAGGACTGCACAAGTTTTTGGTTCTTGTATCTCAAGCTTTGATTTTGGTGCTGGATTATTGTCTTCCTGCTTTTTTATCATTTTCACTGTTGGTCATAACATGGATGGCAAATATCAGCAGGGCATAATATGAACATTTCTCTAAAGCCAAAACAAGTGTGCCCAAAGCATATGGTTCATGAAAACTTCTAGTTTCGAGAAAGGGGAATTTGAATTTTAGTCTCAAAGAAAATAGTTTGCTTTCTCGATTTTGCCCCCTTTTCTAATACTCACCTATGCTTATCCCTATGCCTCTTGTTTCTATCTTTTTTATTGTCAAAAGTTGCTTTGTTCAGAGGCCATTTATTGTCAAATCGTCAGGTACATTTAATTATAGATATTAGAGTTAGCACTGTTCCTCCTCAGCTTTGCAATGAAAATGAAATAACCCTTTTTAGAAAGAGAGAAAAATTATTCTTGATTGGCTAATAACTAAAAAAAAAAAAAAAAAAAAAAAAAAAAAACAAAAAAAAAAAAAGACTTTAGGGTTTTTAACTGGCAGGACTGCACAGTTTTTGGTTCTTGTATAGCTTGATTTTGGTGTGGATTATTGTCTTCTCTTTTTTATCATTTCATGTTGGTATTAACATGGATGGCAATATCAGCAGGGGCATAATATTGAATATTTCTCTAAAGCCAAACAGTGTTGCCCAAATATATGGTTCCATGAAACTTCTAGTTTTGAGAAAGGGATTTGAATTTTAGTCCTCAAGAAATAGTTGCTTTCTCGATTTCCCCTTTTCTATTATATGCTTATCTATGCTTTGTTTCTATCTTTTTTATTGTCAAAAGTTGCTTTGTTTCAGAGGCCATTTATTGTCAATCGTCAAGGTACATGTAATTATAGATCATAAGACGTGCACTGTTCCTCCTCAGCTTGCATGAAATTGAATAAGACCCCTTTTTAGGAGAAAAATTTTCTAGATTTGCTAATAACTAAATAGTAGAAAAGTACATAATTCTTTGAAAATTCTAACGATCTCTTCCTGTTACGAATTTCTACTATGAGTAAATGAACATGGACATGGAATTGTGGAGCCAAAGGTGTATGCACAGGTGTTGTGTTTGGTTTGGTTGGTGATTTGGTTTGAATGGCACTGGAATGCAATTTGTTTTGTTCAATAACGTGAAAGAGCAGAGCCTGTAAGTGGTAGACATGATGTTTTTAGTACAATTAGAAAATGATGGGTTTATAATTATTAGCTTAAGACTAAATAGTGAACATGGGAAATCGATAAAAAATTTCTTTCAGAGTTGACAGCTGTCTGTGTCAATCATCAGACATCAATTTTGACAAGACTCCCTCTGACTCCCCCACTGGTTTCTCAATGTTTACAATGTCATGATGCTTAATGGCTTTAAAGGGGGAATTGGTTTCTTCTTTTTTGGAAATTAGCAGAGAGAGCAAGATTTTTGCTTACCCAGACCTAACGATCTCACATTTTTACTGTAAGAAAGCACCTTAACCCGTAAGCAAAAATAATTGGAAAACACCAAGCAAATTTAACCAGTAACATTTATACCTTGCACTGACCAGTTCCCACTCAAGAAACATTATTTTCCATTATAGATGAATCACTAATGCTTGTTTTGTGGTTATAAATTTTGAGGCTTTTAGTGGCTATCTTGTCATGGACATAGCTCACTCAATGTGCTGCCTTCCTGTCTTCCAAGACGTTCTTCTAGGCTAAGGCTCATATGCTTGTTACGTTAAATTAACCCATTATTTTTAAAAAAAAAAAAAAATTCCAAAAAACTACTCGATGCTGCTTTGTTATTCTATGACAAAAGAATACATTAAGCCACTTTTGTAATAATTATTCCATTTAATGAATCTTTGGTTAGAAAAAGAAAAAAAAAAAAAAAAACTATTAGTGTTCTGTAATTATTTCTCCTTGTAACATTTGTTTTGCCATTGTGAGGACAAGATAAGAAAACAAAACAAGAAAGTACAGTCTAGTTAGGTTTGGTTGGGGTGCGAAAAGGAATCTCCCAAAGACCAATTAGAGAGACTAATGGGTTTTAAGATTTCTAGAGAAACATGTTTAGTCGACAAGGGTGCAGCCTGTTATGTTCGTTGTTTAAACAAAGGTTAAAACTTTCTTTTCTGTTTCCAAATAAACTAATTTCCTCAAACTAATCCTCCATCACAGACTTACTGTCTGCTCTCGACAAGACGTTTCTCTTTTTTTTTATTTGAACAAGTGTCTGAACAACACTGCGCCTGTGTATGTGGTTAGTGGTAGGAGAATAAAGGGTAGATGAGAATCACTGGCGATCGATTTTTCTAAGGCTTCGGCTTTGAGATGAAATATGGCAGTCTTATTCCGCTTTCTTTCACGAAAATTTGATAAAAAGCAACAAAATTGAAATCATGTAACTTTGTTTCTACTGCGGAATCCCACATCCAATCCAAACCTTTCTCTTACTTTTTAAATCTATGTCATGTACGTAGAATAACTCTATGTTATGGATTACAAATGGAGACACGTTGCAAGGATATTATAATTATGTTTTGAAATCATGAATTTCTTTTTTCCTAAAAAAAAAAAGAATAATATGTATTTCTAGCATACTACCCTCTTTTGATTCTTGGTTAAACATTTTAGAAAATTCCTGCATATGAATTACTAGTAAATAATAAAAATGTAACAAATTTAAATAAAATGCTGCGCTGATTAGTCACCTCATGTGAATAAAATGACATGGGTACAAACAAGAAATACATGACCCGCTTGCAACCGCAGCAACTATTTTGTACCTACCAAGAGAATACCCATTTATGGGACGTGTGTATCAGTTTCATTGTCCCCGTTGCTTATCATAGTTAGTTGCTATGGTAATAAAAATGTCAGCAAGCAATGAATTCATGTTGTTGAGTATTTCTTTTTGTTTTAAAGGGACAAAAAAAGTTGTCGGTTCCTATTTATTCAAAAGAAAAAAAAATAATAATAAAAAAAAAAGAAGAATCTACATAGTATGTACTACTGATCACTGTTCACTCATTTACACAATTTCTCTTAAAAGAATTAAAGAAGCTGCAGTTGATGGATCCCAGAGCAGCTCTGGTTTTAAGTTAATTTTGATTTAGTTGAATTATATAGTACATTTTATGCACGCCCAGCAAATCACAAGACAGAGACATCCCTTGTTTTCAAGCTCCAATTCTCATTTCTTCCTATAATTAGCTCTTTCCTTCTCTCTCTCAAAGAGCATGCGTCCATTCTCTGGAGGAAACGACTACTCCAAAAATAGAATCTCTGCTTCACCTTCTAAATCATACCCTACATGCTCATCTCTTTCATCTCAAACACTATCACCTAGAAAATCCATGGAAGAAGTTTGGAAAGACATAAACCTACCGTGTCTTCATGACCGGCCCACCACGACCCTAACGAACGCCGGAAACCACCCTGCTTTTCCTGGTATGATCCTTCAAGATTTCTTGGGGAGACCTTTCAGCAAAGACCCATCTACTACTGATCATCAACATAGACCCTCTTCTTGTGTTAGTCATGATAGGGGTAATAATGATTTCTTGAATTCTTTACTAGGACCACGACCTGCCACTATGTTGAGCTTGAATTCTGCCTCCCCTGATTTTCAATTCCTTGAAAACACTCTCTTTAGAAAATCAAATCCTCCTCAGCTACGTAGCCATCGTTCTTCCTCCTCTTCCCTCGATGCTCTTCCTTCTTCTTCTTCTTCTTCACTTCGCACTAAAAGGGCTAAAGCTCAAAGTCTTGACAATTCTACTGATCAGAGAAGTAAGCGAATGATGAAGAATAGAGAATCAGCTGCTAGGTCCAGAGCAAGAAAACAGGAATCTCTCTCTCTTACTCTTTTCTTTTTCTTCTCATGACAATACATATTAATTATAAACCCAAATGAAATTACCGTTCTTATTTATACATAAAACATGTGCAGGCTTACACGCAAGAGTTAGAACTAGAATTAAGTCATTTACGAGAAGAGAATGCTAATCTAAGAAGGCAACAAGATAAGGTAGATTACAATAATTATTACATAGTAAGAGTATGAAAAAGGGAATGTTTTTAATTAGTTTCTTTACTTGGAATTTGTTTACTTACATTGATTGATAGACAATAACGGACGTGGGTTTTTCTTTTTCTTTATAATCAGTTGCAGACAGTTCCTGTTAAGCTTCCAAAAAGGAAGAGTCTTTACAGAACCTTAACCGCTCCATTTTGAGAAGCAAGGTTTATTTTAGTCTATACATCTCCTTTCCTTTTCTTTCTCCAATTCGACTATCTTAACAATTTTCCTTTAAAAGAGAAAATCTCACTCCTAAGACTCTGTGGACTGCGAGTCTGATATGTTTATTATTATTATTATTATTATTGCTTACTATGATATTATCTATCATTAAAATATACAGATCTCTTCTGTTGCTAAATAGATACATCGTACATCTCCATCGAGCGGTTGGAAAAGGAAGGCCAAGAAGGAGAAAAGGTCTCTTGGATCCCAAGCTACAGGACAAATTTATGGGTATTTTGTTAGCTTTTTTTTTTTTTATTTAGAAAAAATATGACTTTCTTGTCTACTTTATATGTTGTTGCTTTTTCTTTTGCTTCCTCTCCTTATCCCCTGATAAGGACCAAGGACGGGGGTATTGTATTGGGGAAGAGAAAGTGCAAATAGAAATGCTCTGGGAGGAAACGCCACTCGCTATCTTGTTTGCCTATATTTATTAATGTAGAGATGGGACATGTTTGGCTATCAAATATCTCTTTTTCTTGTCTACATTATTAGTTTGTGTTTTCTTCCCAATTCCCAATAGTTCTCTCTCTTTTTTTTGTCTTTTTTTTTTTTTTTTTTCGCCACTCGCTATCTTGTTTGCTATATTTTATTAATGTTAGAGATGGACATGTTTGGCGCTGATCAATATTCTCTTTTTTTGTCTACATTATTAGTTGTGTTTTCGTCCCCAAATTCCCACATACGTTCTCTACTTTTATTTGTCTTTTTTTTTTTTTTTTGTTCTAAAAGTGATTAAATAATCTTGTAATTCCATTTTATAATACTAATAAAATTACCACTAATTAATTTTTGATAAATTCATCATTTTTTATTAATTTGGAATGTTTTATAATTTTTAACCAACATTAACATGTATTTTTTTTTGTCTTTTTTTTTTTTTTTTTGTTCTGTGATTAATAATCTTGTAATTCCATTTTAATACTAATAATTACCACTTTTTTTTGGATAAATTTATATTTTTTATTAATTGGAATGTTTATAATGTTTTAACCAAATTAATGTATAAATTATCAAGAAAATTGAAGACGATTTGTTTTACCTTGTTTGGAAAAAATGAATTTTACAAAATTTTGTGGAAAATTTCATTTATAAAACTAAATTTTTATATTTGATATGAAAAAAATAATTTTGTGGATTTGAATATTACTAATCAAATTTCATCAAAAAAAGATATAACTTCTATAAATTTAAACGATCCCCTAAGTTTTATAATAAAACTCTCTGCCTTTCTTTCCTTTTAAAATTATTATATCAAGGGCATGTTATGAATAAAAGCAAATGAATTTTTAATTTTTAAATTTATATTATTTAAAACATCAAAATTTTGAATTTCGCATTTTAAATTTATTTATAGTAAAAGAAATGCTAGATTCTGCAGAGTTCACTTATAAATAATTCTAGTTAAAATTCTTTTGTAAATGAATTTTCCATATTTGAATAAATTTGAAAATTGAAAATTTATTTCTTTTTATTTTTAAAATACATTTGGCCAGATAATTTCAGAAAAATGAAAGGATGAAAAGTTTTATAGTAAAAGTTTGGGCTCTTTAATTTGTGAAATTCTTGAAAATTTCCTTTTATTTAGAATTTAATTTAATTATATTTAAATCTATGGAATTAAATTTATAGAACTCAATTCTTTATTTTTTTTCATAGTAAATATAAAATTTTAAATTTATAAAATAATTTTACAAACTTCTGTGAAATTCGTTATTCCAAACAAGCTGTTAGAATCCAGCCATTTGGCAGTTGCAAGTTTGTTTGGGTATGATCTATAATAGTGCTACGTAAAGGCTACTGCACGCGCTTGGGACAGTGGAAACCAATGAATTAATGTGCCTTAATGAGAAATTCCAACATAAACGACAAAAGCTTTGGAGGCTCGTGTTTGCCTTGAGGCTTTCACGTGACCTTCTCTGGCCAATTTTTGACGTGGCCATGGCCCATATTTCATTGGTTTAATATGCTGTTGACTTTTGTAGGATCCTATTTTATATGAAAGACTTATCTAAATATCCAATTTGACTGTTCATCAAATTAATTAAAAAAATAATTTTAATTCAAATGTGAGTCTTTTTAATTATATATTTAAAAAAAAAGTAATAATATCTTTTTATAAAATTTTTAAATTGATTTGATATATTAAATTATCCATACATTAAATATAAGCGAATAACTTCCTTATTTTATATTATTATTATTCCTATTTTTTTTTTTTAGGTGAATAATACTTTTACGAAGGAGAAAAATAAATAGTATAGTATTTAACAAGTTAGGACAACGAATAAGTGGATTTGCAATTGGGTCGAGCAGTGATTTTAGTATTTTCATTTAATTAATATTTAAAAAAAAGTATAAATATATCTTTCATATTACAATTAATATTATAATTATATTTAATATAGATATTCTTTTATGTTAAGATAAAATTTTATAGATAGTACTATAATTGTACTCAGTATAAACGTTATGTTTTTTTATCAACCTAAAATAGTATTTTAAAGTATATATTTTTTATTAAGCTAAAATAAAATTTATGATTTTTGTATTTTTATTTTCAAAAATGAAAAAATAAAATAAATTTTTTAGTATTATATGGGTATTTAAATAGATTTGACATTTTAACGGATTTAGAATGAATTTAAATAGTAAAAGTGAATTTTTAAATGAGTTTGGTTACCTAAATCTCTATCGTAATTAATCATAATGCTTTGATTATGATTTCCCTCCCGATAGAAACCTTAAAGATTGGCAAAGGTCAACCATTTTGCCATCAATGATTTCTTTATATAAAGTTAAGTTAGTAATTAATTTCAAAAAATTGGTGAAGTTGGTCATTTTCACGTGGGCTAGTGGGCCATGTTCAATTGAGCTCACAACATAATGCTACCTGCTAATCAAGCCCAGCCCAGCTCAGAAGCTGCATCTTATTGTCACTACAGCCGAATACCATACTATAGGATTGAATTGTTGTTCTTTTCCAGAAAAACTCTTGCAGACAGTTGAGTTGGTATTTTTGTCTACCATTATTATTATTATTATTATTATATTTGAGAAATAATTGATAATGGCCCAATAGGACAATAATGTATGATTTTCCAAATACTGCTTAATTATGAGTTGTGATGAAATGCTTATCGTGCTGGTCACAGACAATTATATTATAGTGTTTTATTGAGATAATATATATAAATAAAAAAAAAAAAACATAATCCATATTTTCTGTGCATCCAATCGATGCCTGCATTTTCTTTTCTTTTCTTTTGTTAACATAAATATATGATGTCTATATTCAACTATTTGAATCAGTTCATGATTCAACAGTTAAGTGACATTATTTCAGTTTTTGAATTGGATTAATTAGTTAACCCACGCACTTATTGGGATTCTTAATTAATGGAAATGAATTCATAAAATGACAAGTCAATAATGACCAACGTATAATTAAAATATATATATATATATATAGTTTTAGGAGCCAAAAAATGGTGGGCATCAGATTGAATTTGCAATTTGCCCATAATGGAACACACTCGTAAAACTTAATCATCACACAGCTTGTCTATTGTGAACTTCAACATTGTAAATGATGAAAAAGTAAACTCTTTTCTTTTTTTCTTTTTTTTCTTTTGAAAAGAGATGAAAAGTAAAATTTAGAAGTGTAATAATTCTCTCTCTGTCTCTCTCTCTCTCTCTCAAAAGGAGCATGTATATATGCAACTGTGCATCATCTCCTAAGCTCCCTTCTAGTATCATAAAGTAAAATTTCTCTTCCAACATAATGATTTTTAGCCTTCTCAGTAATTATATTTTTAAAAATTAAACTTGTGATTTGAGGTATTAATAATTTGTATCACATGTGAGACTCAAATTCATTGTCACGTCTGAGTCGGTCTTAGTATTTCATTTCTTTTTCCCAAATACTAGAATGGAAATTATAACAGAAATTCACTTCTAAACATATTTTCAATCTGAAAAACGTGCATTGCTTTCCTTTCTTTCTTGCAGGAAAGGCAAAACGAGAAAGAAGAGTTAGTTCTTGTACGAAAGCCAGCCATCTAAACGGCATGAACGGATGAGCAGTTCAATTACTCAATTTGTTTCCTAAGATTTTGGCTTAGGCATTTAAAAAAATTTTACTTATATAAGGAAGCAAAATCGATCGAGTAAAGGAAAATCTTTCTGTCTTTTACCATCTCCACTTCACTACTATGCCACCATAATTAAAACCTGGTAATGGCGAGAGATGAGCAATGGCGCACTATATGTGGATATCGATAAGCATCAGATTGACGAGTGTTCAATTATGTCACGCCAATATCCACCATTTTTGCAATTATAAATGCCTCTAGTTTAGCTTCAGATAATATATATCTTTATCAATCATTCTCAATAACTTAATCAAACCCATGAAAGGTCTTTTCATTTTCTTCCTTCTCTTTCCTTTATCTTTTCTGATAGAAACAACAGCAATCGCAAATCAGAACGATGGGGTTTATATTGTTTACATGGGAGCCGCCAATGGTTACGTAGAGAATGACTATGTCCAGCTTCTCAGCTCCATCTTAACACGGTAATTATATATTTATATATATTGGAAATTGTTAATATTATATGTTTTTCCTTTTAATTTTGTGTACTAAATGAATTGATGATTCGTGTCAGGAAAAAGAATTCTCTAGTACGTAGCTACAGAAATGGATTCTCAGGTTTTGCAGCTCGTTTATCAGAAGCAGAGGTGCAATCAATTGCTAAAAGACCAGGAGTTGTGTCTGTTTTTCCTGATCCTGTGTTGCAACTTCATACTACTCGATCATGGGATTTCTTGAAATATCAAACTGATATTGAAATAGACTCTAGCTCAATGTCTCATGGATCGGACACCATTGTTGGGATAATAGATACAGGTATTTGGCCTGAATCAGAGAGTTTTAATGACAAAGATATGGGTCCTATTCCATCTCACTGGAAGGGAACCTGTGTTAAAGGTTACAACTTCAAATCATCCAATTGTAACAAGTAATTCAATTTGTTCTTCTAAGTTGATTATGAATTATTAAACCTTTTGTTTGTTTGTTTGTTTGTTTGTTTTATATATAATCACAAGGCTTTGATTATGTACAGGAAAATAATTGGAGCAAGATTTTATGATAGTCCTGAAGATGATGAAGATGAAATTTATCAAACTCCTAGAGATGCGATTGGACATGGCACTCATGTAGCTGCTACAGCAGCAGGAGCTGTTGTGTCAAATGCATCTTACTATGGCCTAGCTGAAGGGACAGCTAAAGGCGGCTCTCCTATGTCGCGGATTGCTGTGTATAGGGTATGTTCAGAGAATGGATGCTATGGCAGCAACATATTAGCAGCATTTGATGATGCAATTGCAGATGGTGTTGATGTACTATCAATATCACTTGGTACTCCATCAGGATTTGTTTCTGATTTAAATAAGGATACAATCGCCATCGGAGCATTCCACGCTGTTGAGAATGGGATCACTGTAGTCTGCTCTGCAGGAAATGATGGACCTACTTCAGGAACAGTTGTGAATGATGCACCTTGGATTTTGACTGTCGCTGCCACTACCATTGACAGAGATTTTGAGTCAGATGTTGTGTTGGGTGGAAACAAAGTGATCAAGGTAATGATATTTTTTACAGGTGAATTTATCTATAATTTGAACTTTGATAGAAAGCTACCGTAAGCACTATACAAATTTTAATCATATAGATTTATGAAAATATGTTTAAATTGAAAAATGGGGAGTTTTGTCATTCTGCTTCAGGGTGAAGGCATAAATTTTGCTGATATTGGAAAATCTCCAGTGCACCCTTTGATATATGGAAAGTCAGCCAAGACAGATGTTGCAACTGAAATGGATGCAAGGTATGCATTGCAATATGCTGTCCAAAATGAGCATATCTATAGTGGCTTGAAAATTCCGGGACTGAAGTTTTTATCGAAAACATGTATTGCTTCCAGAAACTGCAGATCAGGGTCCATGAAGAAGGAGATGATCAAAGGAAAGATCGTATTCTGTTATAACGATGATTTTGAATTCCCAGGTGATGAGATGAAGCAGGAAGTGCAGAGCTTGGAAGGAATTGGTCTGGTTTTGGCTGATGACAAGACAAGGGCGGTTGCATTTAATTACAAGGAATTTCCAATGACTGTTATAAATTCAAGGGATGCTGCTGAAATCGAGTCATACATAAACTCAACTCGGTAAGCAAAAAGACTATTCTTTTACATATTTAGATAAGCAACTTATGGTTGACAAATTTCAAAACTTCCACAGAAATCCAGTTGCAACTATCTTACCGACCACCACAGTCATAAATTATAAGCCAGCGCCGACTGTTGCATACTTCTCATCTAGAGGTCCTTCAGCCATCTCAAGGAACATCCTCAAGGCAATTTTTTATTTTTTTATTTTTTTTAATTTCTCACCATCTGATTTGAAAATTTTCTTAGAAAAATCTAACCTAAGAGTGCAAGCACAAATAAATTGTTGCCTTGTTTTTTAATTGCTCTGCAGCCTGACATTGCAGCACCAGGAGTAGAAATAATTGCAGCTTGGATTGGCAATGACACACAAATAGCTCTTAAAGGCAAAGAACCACCACTATTCAATGCGCTCTCAGGAACTTCCATGGCATGTCCGCATGTTTCTGGACTCGCTGCATCTGTAAAATCCCAGAATCCCAAATGGAGCCCCTCTGCGATCAAATCAGCCATTATGACCACAGGTTAAGAATTAAGAACTGAATTTAAATTGTAAAATTCATTTGCATAACTTCTTTCTTATTCTCCTCCTCCTGGCCTCCAGCATCTCAGAGGAACAATGCCAAGGCCCCCATAACAACAGATTCAGGTTCCATAGCCACAGCTTATGATTATGGGGCAGGAGAAATAAGCAAAAATGGACCAATGCAACCTGGGCTAGTTTATGAAACGACAACAACTGACTACTTAAACTTTCTTTGTTATTATGGATACGATACAACCGAAATAAAACTCATCTCAAAAACTCTTCCAGACGGCTTTAGTTGCCCCAAGGATTCAATCTCTGATCTAATTTCCACCATCAACTATCCATCCATTGCAGTTTCCAGCTTAAAGGTAAACAAGGTTCTGAATATAACTAGAACTGTTACAAATGTTGGTGGAGATGGAGATACAACATATCATCCAATCATCACATTGCCAGCAGGAATAATCGCTAGAGTCTCTCCAGTTCGCTTGCAATTTACAAAGAATGGACAGAGACTGAGTTACCATTTACTTTTCAATGCAACTTCAACTTTGGAAAATGTGTTTGGGGACATTACATGGAGCAATGGAAAATTTAACGTACGAACTCCAATTGTTATGAGCTCTACAAATCAATAATAAGTGACAAAAAATAATTTTGATATGATAAAGTAATATGCCCCCGAAGTTAATGCACTACAGATGAAAATAAATATATTGATTTAATAAATGATGCTGCATGAATCCATCATTTTATAAGGATGTTAACCATTTTGCATTTCTTTGTTCAATCTGTTTTGATTATTTGTTTTATTAATAATAATGATAAGTTTAAATTAAAAGATTAAACCAGCTCTTTTTTTGTTTTTTTTTAGAAGGATGGTAAAATCACACCGTAACTAGGAAATCCGGCTCCCAGGGGATAAGCCTTTCCCTTCGCATGGGAAATAGCTTCCTATTAGATAATTTAAAGCACAAATTTATATTGAAAGAACAGCAATAACCATATTGACATAACAAAGGGTTTGGAACAAATATTAGAGTTTCCCGATAGGTTCAGGTACGGAATGGAGCAAATAAGAAGACAAGTGCTTGCAAAACAAGTAATCCCTAAACACCCAGGTCTAACACAAGAAGGTAACTAGGAATAAAGATACAATTTTTCATGGTCTTTTCACTCGAAGGCCCACTGGTTCTCTCTCCGAACTTCCTCTTCTTCCTCTGGTGTGAAATCATTCTTGATGTTGAACGTTTTGCGTATCTCCTCTGGAGTTTTGCCCTTGATCATGTCAGCCACTGTCTGACAAGTGAGATCCAGTAAACTCTTGATGTTCAGATAATTGGCAGCCTAACAAAAGACAAAAAATTCCAAGTCAATATGATCCCTCTCCCTCCCATGGTGTATCAAGAGGTGGTTAAAATAATACAGCAATGCATATATCAAGAGTGACACAAGTTAAACTAATTCAAGCAGACAGCCATAACAGAGCAAGGTTACCATTTATACTATTACCTCACTTCTAGGATCAGGGATGCATCTTTCTTCAGATCTAATTCTCCTACTATGCATTTCATTTCCAAGAATTGGACAAAGTATCAGAAATGTGTATCCTAAAAATAATGTCGCTGCCTACAGAGTCTGGAGTATGGACTTCTCAACCAACTTGCACAGCCAGAATAATTGATAAACTACTGCTTCATGTATATAGTGTCTAATAGATTCTACTGAACACTGCAAGGAACAATGATGCAGCCAGCACTAATCTCCGCTTCCTAATCCTTCTTCTCTTCCCTCAACCACTTGGCAAAGAGTCCATAGAAGAAAGAAAATCATAACACAATCATCTCATTTCCCGTTAAAAAATCAAAAATTTAAGAGGGAAAAGATGGGTGGAGCAGCAAGCAATGGGCCATTTCATCCTTTCATCAAGAGGCAATCAAATGCGTGGACAGCGAACAAATATTGAAAACAGAATATCTAGCAATAGCATTTTGCTATCTTTACAATAGAGGTAAAATGCACAAAATCCTCATTGCGCTGACATGACATTTCATTAGATTTCATCAGCAAGCAGACAATGGGAGGAGGCGTAGCATTTTCCGTACACGTGTTATTTGTGAAGGCAAAGTGTGTAATTTAATCATTGATGGAGGAAGTATGGAAAATATAATATCAAAGGAGGCTGTAGATAAATCAAAGCTTCCTAAAACAAAACATCCTCATCCATACAAAGTAGGTTGGTTGAAGAAAGGGCACGAGATACCAGTAAAATCTCAGTGCTTAGTGCAATTCACAATGGGAGATGATTTTTCCGTACACTGTTATTTGTGAAGGCAAGTGTGTAATTTAATCATTCGATGGAGGAAGTATGGGGTAAAATCATTAATAATCAAAGGAGGCTGTAGATTATAAATCAAAGCTTCCCTAAAACAAAACATCCTTCATCCATACAAAAGTAGGTGGTTGAAGAAAGGGCACGAGATCCAGTAAATCTCAGTGCTTAGTGCAATTCACAATGGGGAGATGATTTGGCAATGAACCACTATGTGATTGTTTCAGTACCAATGGATGTTGGGCATATCTGTGGGACGACCTCGTTGTATGATTCAATGATTAGTGGACCACAAGGCCCAATACTTATTCTTCATACAAGCGACAACAAGAAAGTAACACTTTGCATCCTCCTCAAGGAAGAAAACAAAGGCAAATAGACAAATTAAAGAAGCTGCAAACTAGTAAATTAAAATTGGGCTGTGTAAAGTGTTAAAGGGAATTTGCAGCTGCGCATAGTGATGGGGAGTCGACGTATGCCTTAAGTGAGCAAACTGATTAAGAGCTGACCCAGGTTGAAAAATCAGTTGAATTATTCTCCCGTGAACATCGATTATTGCAGCAATTCAAGAATTGATATAGTAGAAGAAATGTAAACCAAAGCAATTGCCACCGTTAAGAAGCATCCAACATACTATTGATTTGTGCTCAACAGCAGCTCTGACAAATCTGCTTGCAATACTGGAATGACTCCTTTATAGCAGGGCTGAAATAGAGAGCACAGCGCGTTAAGGAATATTGGAAAAAGTCTAGTGCGTGAAAGTAAAAGTCTATGTGCCTGCAAGCCTTATTAACTTCCACAAGGAAAGACGGTCTTGAGAATGTGTGTGGATAGTCATGCTATAAATAAGATTACAATCAACTATTGCTTTCCAGATTACCATGATTGGATGATATGCTTGATCAAAACTAGCGGTTCTAAAGTGTTTTTTCCAAAATTGACTTGAAAAGTGGATATCACAAATTAGAATGAGAACACGATATGAATGGGAAAACAGCTTTTAAGACACCGGATTGGTATTTAATGGTTAGTACAGCCATTGGCCTTTCTAATTGCACCGAAGGCACATTCATTGGAGTCATGACAGATGTACTCAAACTTTCTGAATTCTTTCGTTTGAGGTATGATTTCTATGACATAGGCCCGCACCAAGGAAGATTCATTTAAAACACTTGCGACAAGTGTAAGAAGTACTTCCATCAAGAGCAACTGCACAATAACCTGAAAAAAATGCAATTTACCTGCAACCAAAAAGTGGGTATCCTGGAATTACATTGTTGCCGTTATTGAAGAATTTTAAAACCAGGATCCCAGAAAAAGGTTCGTTGCCAATTAACCGAATGCCAGCACCGGCAAATCCATTCAAAGAAGTCAAAAACTTTCATGGTTTGGCCTCTTTCTATAGGAAATTTATCCAAATTTCAGTTCAATTATGAGTCCGATAATTGAATCTATAAAGAATCTATAAGAAGGAAAGTTTGAGTGGCACAAATTCTGCACCAACAAAAGGATTAGAAAGAATCAAGTTTTGGGATTGACTAAAGCACCTGTTCTTGCACTTCCAGTTTAGAGAAATTATTTATTGTCAAAATGTGATGCTTCCACATGAAGGATTGGCGAGCTGTTCTTAGCCAAGAGGCAGGGACCTCTTGAATTGTTAGCGAGAAGTTGTCTGAAGCTAAGAAAGCGTTACTCAACTTATGATCGTAAAGTTCTATGCCTTGGTACGAAGCCTATTTCAGAACATTGGCAGCATACTTAGCTTATCGTGAGTTGTGGTGTTTGTCTGATTCATCAGGCCTGAGAAGATCACTAATTTTCGTTCAATTTTGAAGCACTCAAATTACTGTGTGTTTGAAGACTGAAAAACCAATCGATTTCAAATTTCATGTTTTGGCAAGATAAAGGCTGATTGCGTGCATTTCTTCAAAAGGATCTTTAAGGTTTACTCTGTCGGAAGCCGAGTCTTTTCAAACCCGGGGAGAATTGATGTAGGAGCAATCTAGTACTTTAATTTGGATTACCTAGCACAAACTAGGAATTTTATTTAACTTTACTGTTATTATTTTCAAATTTGGCATTAGTTTTCCGGTTTCATTTATTTGAATTAGGATTAGAGGTTTTAATTCTTTTCTTTAGATTAGGGATTCCTAGTACTGAAAGTTAGGATTTATTCACTGGTAATAGGACAGGCCCCGACTAAGTTAGTATTTGTTAAACTTTAAGATCTTATTTTTCCAACCAAAATCTTTTCTTTTTTCTTTTTCCCCCTGTTTTTTTAATATTATATTAATTG